GAGCGATTGCCAACAATCTTTCCGGTCAATATATGATGTACCTACTTATTTGAAATTGAGCACCGCTGGGCAAAATGATTAATTTCGGATCCTTCGCCCAAAGGAACGCGTTGGATCAGTGATCCAATGATCCGTCTTTAGATCACGCAGATCAGTGATGCGATGAATCGTTGTTCAGAGTGGATTTGATAGATCACTGATCTGAAAATGGATTTGCTCGAAAGGAACGCCACAGATCAGAAATCCTGATCCGTATTCTCGCAAAGGAACGCACCCTTAGTCTTGACGCCCAGCAACGTTTTCTCGAATCATCTTTCATTTCAAACGGGGTGATGTTTTGTTACCTTTTATAGAGTTTTGCAGTGGAGCTTTTTGTGAATCAGGAAAGAATATCTTCGCATTCTATTTCTATTTTAAAGTCATGGAAATAGTTTCTGATCCGCGAAGTGTCTTTGATGAGCAGAAAAACAGTGATGTTATGGATTGGAATTGTTTGTTGTGTTTGTGTCATGCATCTGAAGAGAGTTGTTGACGCTACCTATGGCTCAAATAAGTGACTTAATGCCGTTAATTGAGCTTATCGTAATTTCGATGCTGGTGAGCATATTTAGAAATAGCGTAGTGAGTGATTTGGATAATTTCCTCCGTTAAAACGAGATGTCGATACCACCAGCGTGCTCCGAATCTAACCTCCAGTTCTCAGAGAGTAACGTGGGGATGTTGTGTTCAGGAGTTTCACTTTGAACTGTGATAAGCCATCTTCCTTCCCTCTAATGCGCCGTTGAGGAGCTAAGGACGGTTTTCCCTACAGTCGTAATGCAAACAAACGATTAACTTTGACAGGTGACTTCCACTTAAAAATCAAGGTTATCGATATCGTGTTATTCCAATTTCTTGTCTCCGTTCGAATGTATTTGATGCCACAAGTTTAACATGGCTTGTAATTATCCCTAGCACTACTTCAAAACCCGCCTCAAAATAAGCCCCTTTATTCTATCAAAACTACTCTTCAGGTGTCCTACTTTATTTTTAGGCCACAGCGTTATTAAATGATACGGTTCAACTTCTTTTCAACCGTAACTTATTCGTCGTTGAGTAGGGAGTCGATCAGACCGTCATACGCATCTACAAATTTACAAAAAAGAAAGCTGAAAGGAAAAGACAAGTTATAGTGTTAAAAAATTAATGGCTTAACTAAGTGTACCACCATGTGTGTCTTTTGTACCGACTTACAAAAATACTCGTTATACCTTTGTATCAGTTACCTTGTATCATGTGAGCTTGTGATGCTATGGTCATTAGCTTGGAATTGTTGGCTTATTAACCATCAATATTAATATAATATGGCTATTTTAACGACGTGAGACCCTTATTAGATGTAACCCAAGGTTACTAATCGTTTAGCTCGATCTCTTCGGACAATCCCAGAACTTAAGCTTTGTAGGTTGGGAAGGAGGCTTGATTCTGAATAGTTTAGTTCTGGGACAATTAGGAGATGAAATGAATACTTATACCCCCTGGGATAAAAGCAGTATTTTGATTCCCTTTTATATCCACGGTCATCATAACAGCACTCTCTCTTTTGGCTAACTACTTTAGTTATTCCAATCCATGCACATTTGGCACGTTTGTGGACAGCAATGGACTGAAATTTGTTATCTGCCAAATTTTTTTTTAAGTTTCGTTTATTACCCGAGACAGTAGCTTTGATTAGACGATTTGAGATTGAGCGTTTATCTTATACTTTTTGTTTTTTGGCAGCTGAGAAGGAGATTGTTTCTCGAAGCAGTTGATATTGCGGGAAACGTCACCACGCCTTTCAATTGAACACTCCAATGCCTTTTATTTCGCATCCTGAGCATTTTTTTAACTTCGATCTCGCCAAAGTTTCATCGCGTTTAGAGTACTTTAAAGGTTTCCACTCCTGTTTAATGGGTGTTATCAAGAATTCTGGTGAAATGTATAATTCAGCCGTATATTGTATCATAAGTAAAAGGTAGTTTCCACTCACCGAGATCTTTTCTACTTTTGAAACACTAGGGCGCGCCTTGATCGCTGTTGTCATAGCAACATTGTCGGTCAACGCACTGTTGCTTTGTAATACCATGAAAGTTGCAGTCTAACCGCTCATGAGGGTTAATATCATCACAGTGGCCATCTTTAAGGGAACAATACAGACAAAGCAAACCGAGGATTGTTATACAGGTAACGAACTTTCCTTTTCTTTCTCTAACCAACAACTCGCGCTGTAATTGGTCAGTTTAGCGAACCATTATCTACTGTAGAGGCCATTACAATTTAAGCTGGTTGTGTTGCAAAAGTAAAAGTGAAAAGATTGAACTTCTTTAAATTGTGCTTTAAAACGTGCTGTTGTCTCTCAAGTGAGGATACAAATTTAAAATTGCATATGTCGGCTGAAGTAACAGCTTCTTTAATGAAACTTCGCAGAATTACTTGATGATAAATGTTCATCATCCATCATCCAGTAATTCCAATTATATGCGTGTTGCTTGGTATAAATTTCCTTGGTGGCTTTAACTTAACTGTACTTGAGCACGGTGTACTTTGACCTTGTTGTCAAGTTTTTAGTTTCCCGCTCCAACCATATCAGTCCCATTAAAAAATTGCATTTAATGTTGCATCAGATAACAAGATCCAAGACGTTAATGAAAGTTCTTTAGTTACTCTGCTTAAGTCCAAAAGAAATGTGAGTTGAACATGGCCATATATTTACGATAAGTTTACATATTCTCGTTTGTGACAAGCGAATTCTAAAGCGTTGGATGTATAATGAACCTTTTTTGTGCCAATTTCTCAGAGCTGTTATGGATTTGACTAATACCTGTATACAATAAAATGAGTTTCCTTACCTCCAAAACTGTACCCTGATTCAAAAAAGAAAGAGAATAGTTAAGATAACGAAAGCCAGTTGCATTAGTAAAGTGAGCATAAGTTTTACCCGACACAAAGAAGATTCAAATTGGAGTAAGTTGAGAAAAAGACATTCACAATCCGTAGTTCAAGATATCTGTTTAATACAGAAACAGTTGACCATAAGAGGACACATAAAGCAAGTTGTATAATGTGAACGAAACCCTATCGATGGGAAGGCAAATAAATGACATCTTGCCTTGAGATCTTAATGGTTTTACCCTTACCTATTTCAAAAAGTGCCAAAAGAATGAGCGTGGATAACATTTTTATGTCGACGTTCCTGCTAGTGAGCTCGCCTCCTTTAGTTGCTGAGTATTAAGGCGCAGTCTTCCTAACAGAGATCCGGTGCGTTTCGGGTCGAAAAATCGATTTCTTTCAAACTTCGCCCAGGACCTTACCTTAGTCTAAAAGTAATCTAAATCACCTTTGTTTTTTCCAATATAGTAAAGTAATTTTTTTTTTATGAGCGAAATTCGCTTTAGCGGTCAAACGCCCATTTTTAATAACACCGATTATCAAAAAGAGCACAAATTGCTGAGCTCGTCTTTTCCCAAAATTGTAGTTTGAGGTTTTGTTTTGTTTCGCATATTTAGATCAACCCTTTATAAGAACATAGCACATACGTTTTGTTTTTAACGTTTTTTTTTTCACTGAATTTTTCTTGTTAGACACCTACTTTAACACTACCGCCATAACCTGAAATATGCAAACACCACTAGGTAAGGAAAAATCATCTTCATCTAGAAAAACAGAGCCGACGAAAAGCTGACTCTCAGTTCTCATGAGGCTACCTATTGTTTTGTTTAGCAATCAATTAATGAGAAAGGGAAAGAAAACTTCTGTTTTTCAAGATGAAGATGAAGATTTTTCTTTACTTAATGATGTTTTTTCCTATTGCAAGTCATAAAAAAGCTTTTGTAGACTCAAATCAATTGTCAAACATAAATTGGCCGTACATGAATTTCGTTTATTTTTGAGACCGTCCTAAGTCCATTGTTAAATCGAATTTTCGAAAGTGCGCGCAATTTGTTTGCCGGCTATTCTAGAAGTCCGCCGAAACCACAGCAAGTTTTTATATCTTTCCATGCTCTCGTACCCTATTTTAGCCAGTCCGAATAAAAATATCGTGGGGAAGAATTTTTTTAAAGAAGGGTTTCTCTAAACCTATCAAATGAAAACCAATTTTAGAGAAGTAACCGTAATTTGATCATTAACACTTAACTATTAGCTGACGCACCCTCGAAAATGTAGCGGTTTTCTCCTGTAAATTTATTATTTCGTTGTAGAACATTGACGTGATGTTGGGTTTTCACAGCGATTTTGTTCAAGTGGATGAAATTGAGAACAATTTTACTTCGGCAGTTGAACGTAACCCTTCGGGCTTTTAAAATTTAAGTCACAGAAGGATATAGAAATGGTAGTAAGGATACTTCATCAGTAACATGGAATTCTCAGGGTTCTTGTGGTTTTTTGGAGTAAAAGGCAATTCGGACTTCGAAACATATAGTTAAGTATGTTTTTATCTTAAACAGCTAATAGCTTTAAAGAACACCAATGCTCTTCAACAGAACACACTTCACCTTTTACGTTTGATTGCGTTTTGTTTGTTTGTTTGTTATTGTTATCTGAGAAGCAGCTGGGTACACTACGCATAACGCACTGGGTACGATAGATGACAGAGAAAGACTAAATTAGGTGGGAATTTTGTAAAACTGGAATTTTTTGGAGCCCTAACTTTAGTCTCCGTCTCTAGGGAGTACTAAAGTACACAGGCGATATCTTTTATCTTCGCCATGTGATTGTCAGAAGAGACAGATTGCTTAATTTCTAATCGCGCTGGAAATTGGCATACTGGATTTCTGCGGACAAAAAAACATTTGGCGTCCACCGTGGTGAGAGGAACTATTCATGGTGTTCGCCCTTAATAACGTATAAACTGCGTTTAATTTGTTTTGCTTCACCTTTTGTTGGTTCTGGTTTGGAAGTCATTTTGAATTCAATTTTTTTTTTTTGCTAGTAGTCTCGTGCGACGCAGTGTGGCTGAATTGAGACTTTTCTTTCATACAGTGCATTCTTTATTAGATTTTCTCCTTGCCTAAAAAAGTTCCGCAGATGATATGGAACCAGAGTGTGAAAGATTACACGTAGGAATTTATGCAAACAAAACTTAACCCGTAAAACATGTGTTTTAACACTTAATAGAGCGCAAACGATATTCTAGGAAAATGCCATGTACCTTGCTACTAGTAAACCTGCTTTACCGTAGCCTGACAGCAACGCAACAATTTTAACGCCTAGTTTAAACTCGCCCCTTTATTTGCTCACATGAAAAATAGGCTGATCAACACATATGCGGCATCATATGAAAGTCAATCAAATGCGAATCTCTCGGAGCGTAGATCAGATGCAAAAAGAAATTGTTGAAATTGAATCCACGGCTCTTTTTCATATTAGAGTGAAAAAAAATTTCACCGTATGCCAAAGAAACCGACCAATTGAGGATTGATCATTCAAAGCTAAGCCTCGGAGGCTCCTGCAGATCCTTCCTGAGTTTCTACTTCAGGTGGGGCCACACTCACTGGTCCAGTGGCCTTGAAGCACCAGGGTACACCCTGTACAGTGTGATCAAAACAGCAACCTCTGTCGTTCTCACACTCCTCACGCTGAATACCAATGTAACCACAGTCTTCGCGTTCTTGTGGTTTAATACCATAGCATTTGTTGTCTTAAGAAAAATAGAAAATGAAATCAATGAAGATGGGTAGTAAGGCGAAAGTTACAATGCAATATCTAAGAGAAAAGAAAATTTACTTTGCAAATGTTGATTGAAAGATGATAAAGTCGTCGTGGTTTAGTATAGATAAACCGCTGCGATGAGAAAAGCCCAAATGATTCACAAAACTACTGCTTTTTAATTGTTTAAATAATTTTACTAATGAGGTCTAAACTCGAAACCGTTTCCACATAGAATTCTGTAGACACTCTTTATTCAACGAGAGTGAAAAAGACGTATCGTATATGAACCGAATTAAAATATGACTTCATTTGCAAATACGTTCTCTTTATCTCAGATAGTACAGCAAACGGCCAACCGTCGAATTTAAATATTCATGACTAAGAACTTAATCTTTTTGTCACATCCTTTTCCCAAGGTTAACTACAGTATTCAGCTTTCTTTACCTGTTGGGTAGAAACACCACTTTGCTTTTGGCTTTGTGTCGTCGTAGCAACAGCCCCTGGCCTCGCAAGTAGCCTCGTCGATGCCGTACCATCCACAATCGTTGCGATCCTCAGATTCGACATCGCATATGTCGCCTATTTTTGAATTAAAACTTCACTAAAACTTTACTGAAACTTGTCTCAGGGTTTCATTTCACGAAAAATTCAATCATCTTTTTTTTTTTAATATTAGAGAAGCAAATCAAACTAGTGATTAATGTTAGGGAAGAATTCCAAACCTTAGGACCTTTTTCTATTTATTTTTTTCATTGTTGGCGATTTTTGCTCTTTTAATCTCCAACAAAAACCTTACCAAGAGTGGAAGGGTCATTGGCTGGTTTGGCTGGTGGCTCAGTTCCTTTAAAGCACCAAGGTACATTTGGCACAGTGTGATCAAAGCAACATCCTCTATCGTTTTCACACTCCTCTCTTTGTATCCCAGAATAGCCACAATCTTCTCTTTCTACTGGGTCAATACCATAACATTTGTTGTCTGAAAAATTGACAGAAGTAGAGATATGAACAACACATTTTTAACAAAGATTGTATTTTTGCTAAAAAAAAAAAAGGTTTAGAAACACACTATTTACATTGGTACATTTTACATGACAAATTTTCTGTTTGATTTCGCATGTGTGCGACGCACTTGCCATTGGTGATGATTGTTTGGAATAGAATGACTTTAAGAGTTTTAACTCTGTGTGTTGGACGTTAGCAGAATGCATACTATTCGTGTCACTTCTTTCGGGATACTGTGCGATTTCAGGGTTTCAGCGTCATCTTGGACAGAAAGAATAGGAATATATGTGGATAAATTGTGACCATATAGTCGAACCCAATGAATTACTATAAATCAGAACTGTGAGCCATGCCACCATTTGGTGTTCGGAGGCTTAATTATACAATAGTTTTCGTTTGGCCGAGGCAAAAAATATCCACCCCCAAGCTAGATCTAGCGCACTTTACTTTTCTTTGATTATTAAGTTACTTATCCGTGGTTTAATAATTACAAACCAGTTGGATAGAAACACCACGCTACATCCGGCACTGTTTCGTCATAGCAACAACCTCTGTTTTCGCAGGTGGTATTATCGATACCGATCCATCCGCAATCGTTGCGATCCTCAGCCTCAACACTGCATACTCCTCCTGTACAAGAAAATAACAAAAGCATTGAATCCTTCACTGAACTCTTTCCCTCCTGAGGACGATTAAGACATGATTTATCCCTCCACTTTCGATATCAAGCGCACAAGTTATAAGAACACAAAAGCATTTCAACGAGAGGATTATTTTTTTGTCTAATGCAAAACTCTTAAATGTAAAGTAGACAAGAAGGAAAATGACTGATTTAGATCTTGGGATTGAAAGGGTCAGAGGGCATTTGTGTCATAGATCTGGTTAACCCATCATAATTAGTCTGTGCTTCACAAAGCGCCTCAGTAATTGATCTTAAGACGGATATAAAAACTGTCCTTTCGAATGCCACGCTGGTAAGACGGTGTAACTTTTGATTAGAAATGGTTTTATCAATGGACTTATATTCTGTTCCACTAAGTTACTCTAGTATTTGAATTTAACGCGGATGATATCCTAATCATAAGATAGCTCAGGCTTCTTGGGTATTCGTTTTGGCTTTCATTTCCCGAAACATAAAGGACTCTCACACTTTCATGCACAAGTTCTTTTTCAGGTGCACAGGTCAAACTTAAGCTTCTCTCTGTAAAATCCACACATTAATATATGGCATACAGCTTATCTCTCGTAATCTCGAACTATTATTCGCTATGATGTATTAAAAAAAGACAATTCGATAATGTCGTGTTGTTATGAAATACACAAAGGTGAAATTACCTTCTGAAAGCTCTTCTGTGGATAAAAAAAAGACAGGAAATAAATAAAAAAATGATTGTATCCCAGAATTAATAGATAATTACATCCACGCTCTTCCTTTCCCTTCAGCGATCGATTGTCAGCTTGTGTGAGAGAAATTGCCACTTTTTTAAGACAACATATCAGTTGGTCAGAAAATTAAAACAGTCAAAATCAGCCAATTTTCTTTTAAACTATATTACTTAAAAATTCAACTCAGATTGTGTTCCAGTCGTAAAATCATTTGTGCCTCTAAGGTTTTCAGTTTGGGTGTCTTCTTAGATATCAGTTTTTTTTCACTGTGGCAAGTATGTAAGCCCGGCCACGCATGAGGTATTGTTCTAGCAATTCTTAAGCTTACTGGCGTACATATGATCTAGAAATGGTTATTCAGTTTGATAATTATACAGAAAAGATAATTCAACAACTTAAAATGATCTAGCGAAGGTTTATCAACGTATAATTACCTGCAGAAGACTCCTCTGTAGATAGATAAAGAAAAAAAATCAGGAACAGAAGATTTCATCAATATGACATGATATAACAAATTTGCTTTCAAATAAATCTTAGTCAGTCAGATTTAATATACTTTTTAGTTGACGTTTCAGTCCATAAAGAAAACGAACAAACCAAGACTTTGAATTTTACAGAAAATCTTAAGTTCGCCTAGTTTTGTTGGACATATTCATAAATGAATAGTTGAGAGATAATTTCTTTGCCCTGAGGATCTTACTATATCTTGTTTTTCCAACAGCTACCTCACAGCACTGAATTATAGAATAATTTGTCTACTTGTTTAACAAAAAGGGTCGTCTTTCTTTTTCTCCTCCATGACTGACCGGTCAGGGTTTATCTTACCAAGGATTACACGTGAGAAAAATTTTGAATTTTATCAACGAAGAAAATGATGCAGTTATCGCGATTTTCACTTTGTTGCTTCATTTGAGGAAGTATTAAAGCAGTCATATTTTCCCCCAATATTTAGTCACCTTATATTATACCTACCAGTCTCCTCAGGCGGAGGTCCTTCGAATTCTTCGACTTCCTCGAGATCCTCGAGTTCCTCTTGATCTTCCAATTCCTCGGGATCCTTGAGTTCCTCGAGCTCTTCGGGCTCCACCGATTCCACGGGCTTAGACTCGTCGAGTTTCTCGTACCGATGGTTCGAGGACGTGTGACGGCCATGGATAATGGGTGCCAAAGCAAGTAAGGTGAAAAGAAAGACAATCTTGGTTCTCATTGTTTTACCTGAGGAGCAAGAATCATGATGTGGCCACCATCAATGATAGATCCTCATTTTGAAACTCTTTCACTGGTTTTGTTTCTATTTTTGGAAATCATATAGCTGTGGAGTTTTCGAAGAATTAGTTAAGATCTCCTCTCAATAAAATAAGTTATAGCGATATTCCCCGTGTAAATTAAAGCGGTAGTTCTGAAATTGAAATCCAGGAACCTGAGTTTCTTTTCCTTTCTATCGTTATTTAAGTAAACATGGTTCTGAAACCGGGGTCAATCACTTGAATTTATTTATTTATGAAATGACGACTTTTTATTACCGAGTCAAAGTCCCAGTGCGATTTGTAAAACAAGATATGCGTTTACGATTAGAATAGAAAACAGAAATGAAGTTCAAATTCTGCACGATTCTTAAAAAGCTGCCTCACAGCTCTTGCCACGTCTCAAAAATAGTAGTCGTGAAAGTATGACTTTTCTCCCTGATGGGAGAGGGAGGGGAGGGGAAAAGTTGGGGCTGAGTGGAGGCCGAGTGGGTGGGAAGTCAATGATGCTTTCTTGTAACCTTTACTGCAGTTATCGGAGACAAAAAAACGATGGGCTTTCAACTACCGCCATATGTACGAAGGAATGGAATTTTTTTTATTACCAAAGAATATTTTTAACAGATTCGCCCAATCCTTATGTTTTCTTAACCGTTCTCTAGAAAAACATGGCTTGTAATTAGCGGGGAAGGAGAGATAAGGGGCTTCTTTTGTATTCTTGGTTCTTCAGACTTCTTACCTCAGTGATTTTAAAAGGTTTTGATGCAAATAGGTCCGTCATGCTTGAAAAATGCGGTTGAAAAGGATTACCTTGAATGACGCGATGACACTTTAATTCGATAGTGTTGATAGAAATGAAGAAAGATCTTTCCCCACTTTTAATCCCTTGTTCATGCAAGAAAATTGGAACATTTTATGAACAAAATGCATAGAGTATTTTACATTTGTATTAGTTAGAAGCCCAGCTTAAATTTGCACGGTTACCACCGCAGTGACTTTGAATGTTGTATGCCTAATGTTTTGTAATTAAACCTTACTTGATTGTTATGGAGCCAAAAATTGTTTACGACCTCTTGTGTGATGATCCGATTCACTGATTTGTAACTTATTTATTGAAATACCTCTGTAAAGAAGAAGGAGAAGAATAGAGAAGGAATCGTCTTCAACTTGTACGATTGCTTATCAGAGCACACTTGAAGCATTTATTGAACAATCATCTCAAAAACTTAGCCTTTAGAGGAAAAAAGCTTTTAAGTCGTGGTGCTGAATTATTAATCTATGCTAATTTGTTTTTTTAATATCCGCGCGGGAGGAAGGGGGTGGACCACAATTTAAAACTACAGAAAGGACTCCCTTTTTCGTCCGTGGAATGTAGCTCAAGTGGATGGTAGGAAGACATGGAAGTGAAAAGATCACCTCTCATTGGCAAATTCTTTGGCCTCGATCTGCAGTGTCGAGCACATTTGTATACAGTTATTACGTTCATGTGGAAACTAAACGGTCGATTGGTTAATATGGTTCTGATTTAAGGAAAGTTAGGCGCCCAAATAGATTATGCTGATTGAAAGTAAGTGATCCATAAACTCGGCGTCCTTTAGAAACCTCAAGCATATTTTGTCATTCAGTATATTAAAATGATGGTTTTAGTTTCACAAGTTTCTGGTATAAATTTTCCTATTTGGATGAGAAGTATTGAGCGACAAGTGAAGTCCACTGGACGTCTTACTCGCTTAAATCGGTTTTGTTCTTGACCCCTTGATGTTTGGGCGGACACCGCCTTTCCAGCGCAAAGCGCCAAAACTTGAAAATAAATTTTGAGAACCTTCATCTCGCACTTCGGGCAATAATCTCTTATAAATGGGTACGTTTCTTGAGCCAACTGTTCACAATGGTAATTTGGCATCAGGAGTAAGGAAAAACTATCTCACTTGGGGCAAAATTCCCCATTGTTGTCAATTTATGAATTTGTATCAGCGACATTCTAATCTAACCGTTCATAACGTTTATCGAAATTATGTCTCGAGAGAATTACATTTGAGAAGTTCAATTCTTCTCCGGCAGTTGTGAGTTGTAGTTTGTACGTTTAGGCTGTTAGAATATTTTTGGTGTCCTTTACAGTGAGCAGAATGCTATGAATTTTTAATAATTATTTTTCACGTTTAGGCTGTTAGAATATTTTTGGCGTCCTTTACAGTGAGGAGTTATAAATTTTATAATGATTACGTTGCAGATAGGTCAGATTATCGAAAGGAGACTTACGGCTAGTTATTTGTTGCAATCTTTCAGCTTACCTGTGGGCGATGCGTGAAGAGAGATCGTCAGGAAAGCTGCAAACTTCAAAACTTCTTGATGCTTCGTTCAGCAACGCAGTAAATGAGTGAAGCGAATAAATTTGCGCACATTGCTATATGAAAATGTCATGCATGGCATGATACTTTGTTTTGCTCAAATTTCTTCATCAATAGAAATCATAAACAAAAGAGACAAGAAAACACTGTCTTCATTGTTCTCCCGGTGGACTAATCACGAAATGTTCTTCTCGAGACCCAATCTTGCCTGTGTTCAGTTGTTTCATGATTGGACATCGTACATGTTATCCATTGAGTACTTTGACTCGTATAGAGGACGTTTTGATGATGTAGCCTAACTAAATAACCAAAACATTATGCACTTTTTCCCATTGTTTCTGATTTCCACTGATTTCCATATATCTGCAGAGGGTGTTGTCTTAACCTTTTACACTCTACCGTCACTATGAACATCTCCATATTGTTTCCTATTCATTTCTTAAGGTGCCGTGAACAGAGGGTTAAGTTGATATTTTCCTCGTGTATCGTTATCTTGATTCGACAAATGAACACATAGATATATCAAGTCCCGACCTGCCGTTTTGAATTGATAGGAAATATTTGACAAGTCAAGAAGAGGGCGATTATTGAACCACGCACTGAGGAAAGAAAAGATGTTTGAATAACGAACGTATAGCCATTTAAAGGCAGTTTTAAAATTCCTTTACCTACCGTAACTTAAAGGGAAAAAAATTCCCTGCAATGGGCGGCTGCCAAATACATTGCTTTACCACAAATCCACAACTGAGTTGTCTCTTGGTCTCGCTTTGATGTTTTTGTTAGCTTCAGTGACCCTTTCACACAAGCTTTGCAGCAACTGGAAATCTTTTTCATGCCGGTTGAAGATAACTTCTTCAAAGAGTATTTTGGCTACACTTTCGTGTTATTTTCAAGAAATTAAACAAAATTGAATTTTGGTAAAGTTAAGCCTTCTCTTTTGAGAACTTAGAATCAAAGGGATTGAATTAATTTATGTGTAGTATTTTTTAAAATGGCTCTTTGGTACGAAGCTCAAAGTAATCGAGAGTTTTTGCATATTACGCTACTTCCTACTGGTTCACATGTCAGCAAAAAAAACGAGCCCACCCCTTAACGTCTCACTTTTGGGATGAATTATAGGTTTACAACAGTATTTATATTACAATTATTATTATTAATAATCATTATTGATATTTCAATTTCTCTCAAAACGGAGACGTTTAGAGATGGGGTCTATATTGTTCGCATTTGGAAAGCGCGCTAAAAAAAAAATTTATTGTCAAGCGTATTTAGGATCTCACTTGGTGTTGTGACAATGGATGGGCATGTTTTGAATTAAGATATGACCTAGCGGTTACGTTTAAAGCGAGTTGCAATCACTATTATTTTATTATGCGCACTTTTCAGAAGGATCGATTCCGCGACGAGTAACCTCTGCCTTTCTCCATTCAAAACAACGCGTACTGTTTTCCATGTATTCATCAAGTGATTAATAAGGCGCAAAAAAGACTTTTTAACCCATTGATGGTCAAAGACCTTTGATTTTATTTCATTACCGTTTGGTTTGAGGTTTTAAATCATGAATAGCCTGTTCCAGGTTCTCCTTTGACTGGAAGAGAGAAGACAAAAGCGGGAGGAAAAAATGGCGGAAGGCAACCGAAAGATGTCGTTGGCCCTCACTATCGCTCGGTTCCAATGACAAAGAGCTTAGACCGGACTACACCGGCCTTATATGATGTATGGTTTACAATGACCCTGACAACTTTCATCATCCTCAAATGCCATTTATCTGAATAGTGAGAAGAAGTATACAGTTATTTGACAAAATGCATAAAAACGGCGTCGTTGATAGCATTTGTTTCAAATTTAACGTGACGATAAGGATATTACATTTTTTCATTTTCATTGCGCTTCATGGACTAGACCTTTAACAGTTTGGATCGGTAGCTTCACAGCATCGATACAAATAACTGCTTTATTTGCGCTTCACTCGGGAAGAAAAAGAGAATAAAACAAACAAACTGCCAATCCTTGACATCCTCACACAATTCACAAACAATAAACTGACACATTGCGAAGTGTCTTTACGAGCGCGCCGAAAGTCCCTAAACGAAACCTACCATCTATAAATTAAAAACGCTGTTCTCGTTTTTAATATTTAAGTTAATCTTCTGCTAACCAAAAGGGAAAGAGGCGATTCATACGAGCTGTTGGATGAGAACCAGTCTTAGTCATTGACATGGTTTATTTTGCCAAGAGTAAAACTGAAGTTGATTTTGAACAAGTAACATTTTTTCGTTTCCTGGTTCATTAAAGGTCTCGAGATAAAACCCTTAAATTGCATGAGTTTCCCTAAAGATATCAAAGAAGTTGATCTTGATTGATCAGTGATTTTTACGTTTTTTTCCTTCTCTCAAATTCTTTGTTCCTTTTTTTTCTTTCTTGCTCTTATTTTTTTTGTTTCGTTTTATTTCATTTTTCCTATTTTTTCTTGGCACAGCTGCTACTAGTGATTAAGCGTTTGTCTGTTATAGATAGTAGCCCCTGTGTTCTAAATATACCATTATAAGTCCAAGGCGACCATGAGAAAACAAACACGCTTCCCCCTTCTACTATAACTTTTAGTTTTGGTTGATGTGTTCAACTGGTGGTAGTTTGTTGTAACGATTTTTATTATCCGTCACAATGAAGCATCTATCGTTTGTATGAGAGTTCTGGATAAACGTCTTGTTATAACTCAGTCTTACCTCTAATAAACAGCTGTTGGATAGGCTGTGACGACCTTGCCATAACTGTTCTCGACGGTTGTAACCTCTACTCTGCTCGTTCCGATCCCAGGCGTATCTATATCGCACTGACAGTAGGTTGATATTGTCTGTCCCGGAAAAATCGGAAAACCCCTTCCGCCAGCTCTGCGTCCTTTAAGGAAGCAAGTGGTGAACAAGGCCAAATCAAACGCTGGGCTTGTTCCAACAAACATGCTGCTCGGGTTGGCTTTTTTTGCCCCTCTCCATGTGAACAAGAGATCCCTCAGGAAATAAGGCTACAGATGAAATGATACGTACGGAATCATAATTTCACGTTTTAAAGCACCATCCTAAAAAGAATTTACTCAAAAAATTCAAGCTTCTTTTAAACCGTTCATATTCTTTTGACTTCCTACACTCGGAGAATATCCTCTACTAGTATTCATCTTTGATGTGATTTCTAAGATGAACTGCAGAGGCCATATCTCGATGCATAAAGTTCACGTCTATAACTATTTAATGTGAAAACTGACCCGTTTGTTCGCCTCGACATTCGGTAGACAGATTATCCCTGTTTTGCCTCTAACTTCTTCCTTGTAGAACTGGTACCAGTTGTGAAATCCGTTGTATTCGTTGGAAGCTGGAAATTTATTTCCTGCGATTGGCACAAGCATAAACACCCAAGTTGATTGACAAGAAGGAATTTACTTAGGTTTGCACAATTTTAGCGTCTTAGCGCAGTTTTAGAGAACAGGAATTGAATAAGACTTGAGCAGAGTTTTTAGATGGAGAGCCTTGAAAGAGACCATGGAATAATATTTTTGAGAAGTTAACTCACCAACAAAAACATGTTTAAAGCCGTGGCTGTACACGAACCACATTTGTTTTAAGAGATTTCTAAACTGTGGCATGGTAGTAGTCTGCAAATTAATATCACAAAAAGTTAAAAAAGAGTGACACAATGAACGAAATGTATTTCGCTGAAATCACTGATTTCTTTTTTCGTTTATTACTTTCCATTATTTTCTCGTCTAATACTACTTAAAACAGCAACATTTTGTCAAACATAATACCCATGAATTTCTCTGAATGTATGAAATATTATTTTGCAATCTTGCTTTGAGAAGTGACGAGTTCGAACGCATTAAATTACGTCTTTGCGTCACCAGGGAGCTTTTTTAATTTGACCCCCAAGAAAAATAGGTAGGCAACTGACTGTGAAACATACCACGCCACGAGGAAGTGCGTTCGCTTGAGTTTTCAGGTAGTTGAATGCCGCTTCCCCGGGTCCGCCTGGTTGGGTTACTGCGGTGATGAAGGCATTTATATGGTGCTGATGGTGCAACCCACTCGGGTGGGGAGCTTGAAAGTCAACTAATAAATCTGTTGAACATGACAAACTCGATAAATAAATAAATTAGTTGACCCAATTTTTTTTTTTAAATATTGTCAACGTCTACCCAACACTTTCTCTTTTATGGTCACTTCAGCTGGTTAGAATGAAAATAGGTTGCTTCCTTTTTTTTCTAAATATTTAACTCGCTCACGCTCTTTCAGTGACTTCAGTTTTGTATGATGTAATGAACATTTTCCATACCTCTCAAAACAACTAGACTCATTTCAAGCCTAAGAAATGTGGATCGACTAAAAGAAAACTGTAAAAAAAATACACATTGCAGAACATAAATTTTTTTGTGTCCAACAGTAAGAAAATGAATGAATATAAATGATGTTTCATTTCACAAGTAAATTTTTAACTACCATTTCTAGCGATGATCGCATCGAAGAATTCTGCTTTTATTTTTATTTCGTCATCGAAAATTTATCAGTAAGGTTTGTGAAAAAAGGTTATTAAAAAAACAAAAACGAAACAATTACGTATACCATGGAAGCTGGTAAAGACGTCACTTTGAAGTTTTTGATCTCCTCGGGATCCTCCTCCTTTCACCAACATGAACAACGCGTTTTGGTAATTTCCCTCATTAACAGCTAATTCTCCAGGAAGCAGCAGATTGTTTTTAGCACTATCCCATATATTTTGACAAACATGACCTCCAAGGTAGACAGACCTTAAAAATAGAAGGAAAACATGTCTTTTGAAATAATTTGAAAAATATTGTCCACCTTTCTATAACTAGAAACATTTTTCAAATGTAAAACTATTGATACACTAAGTTCAAATAGTAGAGCGGAGTCACTGCTAAAGGACTGGAATACGAAGAATCTGTTACCTTGCTCTGAACAAAAGAAAAAGTTAGCAGGAAAGGGGGGGTAATTTCACTTAAAGCAGTTTTATACACGGACGTGCAAGCGTTGATTTGGTTTAATAAATGCTAGTTTAGGCCATTTGTTGGGTCTCTCTCACACACGAAATGAAATAAAAAAATTACCTCGCGACATACGGTGAAGTCAACAAAATGAAGACGAAGATTTTCATCTTAATGATCTCCCTCTTAGTACACGAGATGTCCGTCTATAACAATTGGTCGTTCAACCACCGACTTTCTTGGAGGTAAAATTCCTACGCACTTAGTAACAATTTCTGCCGGTTCGATTTATAAATATTTAAATAAACTGAAGTGACATGAAAACAATGAGAGCTAACATAAAAAGATGAACATTTTATTCATTGAGGAGAGCAGCCATAAGGAGTGGTAATCTCGCTGTTAGAATTTGAACGAAGCAATTAGAATGTGATATTTTTCGGGAACTAAGGATTCGTTGTCGTTCGAAATAACAAGCATTGAGTAGCATTAAACTTTACTTTATGTAATTAATCCTTGCCTGATATGATATCCCTTTTTTTTAAGATATTTACCCTTTAGCCATTAAGATATCGATTACCTTCACAGTCTTTAGGTTTCGTCGGTACGTATAGAATTGCCTCATTTCGATGCAACGGTTTGATGAAGTTCACCAACTGTGTGTTATGTTAAGACAACTGTCTCAACATAACAAAATTATTTCTATGAACGTTACCGCTGATACTTAAAAGTTAATATATCAGTGAGAGCCTTCTGTGGTCATCCTTCTTCCTTCGAGCTTCCCTATTTACCTGTCTGTCGTTCCTTATAATCTTTTTCGGCGGACATTCTAGTCCGGAAATAAAAACTATTCAAAGAAAGGTTAGAAATGAGCAAGTTACTGAAGAAACCACTTAAAAGGCAATTAACGAGTGTCGTGAAGAGGTGTTACCACAGTCATCTCTTTATAATTCTATATCGCAAGTGTTTTACAGTCAATTAAGGTTAATTAATATTTCAGAGAGTATTCTGTTCCTAAAAGGTGCGGATTCTATATCGCAAGTGTTTTACAGTCAATTAAGGTTAATCAATATTTCAGAGAGTATTCTGTTCCTAAAAGGTGCGGCAGGTTCCTGTAAAAAACCGATCCGTGTGCACTGTAATTAAGTTGATGCGATTGATTTTCTCGTTGTTTTCATCGCATCAGTTTAGATAGCTCCCAAGCGGTTTTGGGAAATAAGCTGAAAATCTTACTTTGGCACCAGGTGATTAGATGGAGACCCAAAGTCGTCAGAAGTACTTTAGAGCCACGAGTACTTTTTTTTTTTTTTATCAATGGTTCCTTTTGAATTAAAATTTAAAAAATTGATTTACCATGTACTCACTTTCCATACGGAGAAAATTGGTGATCGAACTTTTTTTTCGTATCCAGGACATTAAATTGACACACAAAAATATCTCTTAACTGGTTAGGAGCCAAATGTTTATTTATTTTATCACTGGTTTGAGGTTATAAATCGTTTATTAGTTTTGTCAGCAGCCCATACGTGATGGGTTCTTGCTTTTGTGTAGCCTGTGCCGGGCTCACGGTTAGAAGCAGCAAGAGAAAAAGCAGGCAGGTAAGAAATGGCGGTGAGCAACCACCAAGGAACATTGACCCGCTATTTCATTTTTATCTGCTGAACGAGATCCCGGAAGTGATTACTTATTTTTTTGTATTTAGTGTTTATAATAATTCGGAAATCTTTGGTAATGGTCTCGGCTGTTATCTTTGTGTGCCGTTTATCTGAAAAAAAAAGAAGCTATTCATAAGTTATTTTCACCAAAATTCACGAAATGACAAGTTGTTGCTGGCATGAGTCTATGAACCAGTCTTAGTTTGTACACCGTAATCGATTGACAACAAGAGCGACATCCTTCATCTCGAGGGATATTGCAAGGGGAAACTTCAATCCTCACAAATTGCTTCCAATTATATTAAAATATTAAAAGTTCTTGATAAACCTCGAGTTATAGCACCGAACCATAATCTTACTTCTAATGGACATTTGTAGGGACAGCTGTAACGACCTTGCCATTCTGGTTCTCGACGGTCTTTACTTCTACTGTGCTGTCCCCAATTCCAGGCACATGGATGGTGCAATCACAGTTGGTTGTCCTATACGGTCCCGGAGGTGGATGTGCACCTCCAGCAATTCCGCGTCCTTTGAGGAGGCAAGTGGTGAATAAGGCCAATTCGAAAGATGGGCTGGTTCCAACAAACATTCGGTTGTCTGTAGATCCTTGCTTACTCTTCCCTTTCCATTTGAATTTAAGGTCCTTTATAAAGGTTGGCTACCAATGAAATATAAAGTTAGAAACTTAGGGATCTTTCATTAAAAATTTTAATATTTCAAAGAGTTGCTGCAATATTTGCGCACCCGCGTTTTATTTTGTTTATTCTCGAGTGCTCTGATTGGTCGCGGATTGCGTCATATCTTGTTATACTCACCTCACGCAAGGAAATTATAAAACAGCGCTAAATTTTAAAATCAATGTTTCAGAGGAAGAAATTTTATTCGGAAAAGCACTAAAGATGATGATACTTATGGCGTAACACTTTTTTAAGAAAAGATATGAAGCTTTTGCTGATTGGGTTAAAAAAAATACCTGTTGAATTCTAAGCGAGATCGGCTGCTTAGTTCTAGAGCACAATTGCCAGAATAGTAACATCACAAAGCACATACAGCTAAAGAGTTTCCGTCTAAATAAATTAACTGCAGAAAAACAGACCCTTTTGTCCATAACGAATGTCGGTGGATTCTGTTTCTCTATCGCGTTCGGTTTATTTTCTTCGGTGTAGTACTGGTACCAGTTTTGAAATCCTTTGTAACGGATTTCGTTTGGGACTTTGTGCTGGAACTGTTCCCCTAAGAAAGCGAAACGTGAACACAGCATTGGGTTAGGTTGGATGTTAAGCTTTGTAGATTGTAGCTTTCGTAGCTGATTATGTCAAGAAGACCTTTAAGAAATTTTACTTACCAACAAATACATGCTTAAAGCCATCGCTGTTGGTAAACCAGAGACTTTTCAAGGTGGTTCTGAACTGGTCTAAGGTTGTCTGAACGAAAGAGTCAACGTAACAGTTATCACAACTTGAATACCATGAAAGCGAAATGTATATTTCCCACTTTGGCAGTAATATTCTTTTAACTCTCTGCTTTGTTTTGATGCTACGATTGCTAACTATTTTTTTCATAGAAATATACAGCTATAAGCATGGTAAAAGGTTATCTTATAATCTTGCGTCGAAAAGAAACGAGCCTATTGACTTTTTAGATCATGAGTTTGACAAGCACAAAGTATACCACGTCAACAGGCAGTGCGTTCGCTTGAGTTTTCAGGTAGCTGAATGCCGCTTCCACAGGTCCACAGGGTTGGGTTATTGCACTGATGAAGTCATTTATGTGCTGTTGATTAAGAATGTAAAGTTCAGCTTGATAGTCGACCAATATATCTGTAAGACAAAAAATAAAAAAAAAACGCGATTATCAAATGTTAACGCCAACCTATCTCTAAGCTACTCCAACCTGCTTAAATGAACAATTATCTTCATTTCCTATTTTGACATGGTCGCTTTAACTGTTTAGAACATAGAAAATTGTATCCGCTTTTAAAACGACAGCCATTTACGATTGTTTGTTTTGCTAGTCTTCTGTCTCAATCAAGAATCTTTCAATCTACGACCGCATCATTTCTGAAATATAGATCAACATTGCACGTTAAAGAACATATGCATTGGAAAGTGAAAAGTTGAGAACTTTCTCGTCAGTCTTAATAAGTGAATTTCTAGCACTCCTATAGAGCGGTGATAGCATTGAAAAATGTAATTGAAAATGTCCATCCATCATTGAAAAGTTTCCTATAAGGTTCTGTATGAAAATGACACTTGAGAGTTATTTATTATACCATGAAATCGGGTGAACTCTTCGCTTTGGAGTTTTTGGTACCCCTGAGCCCCTGCTCCGTGCACCAATGTGAACACTGGATCTAAGTTATTTCCCTCATTAACAGCTAATTCTCCAGGAATAATCAGATTATTTTCAGCGTCGTTCCACATTTTTTGACAAACGTGACCTCCAAGGTTGAGAGACCTTGAACATAGAAGGAAAAGACGTTATTTGATGTTATTTGAGGAATATCGTCCTTCTACATCTAAATGACAAACTTCTCGAATAGAACATTATTGATACACCAAGTCAACTGTTCGAGAGTAGTCACTGCTACAAGACTCGAATATTAATAAACTTTTAAATAACTTGAACTGAACATAGGAGGAATGAAAGAGACCATAGTTTCAGTCTAAAGCATAGTTTACACTAACAGTTGATGAAAAACGTCTAAAATCTGGAGTAATAAATGCTAGCTGAGCCATTCAATGGGCCCCTCTATCTCATATACAAAATGAAAGGAAAGAAATGTACCTCGCGTCATAAGGCAAAGTCAGCAAAATAAAAACCAAGATTTTCATGTTAAAGATCGCTCTCTTTGTACACCAATTATACATCCGTCAGAATTGGTCGTTCTTTCACCGAGGTTCTTGGAGTTAAAAATTCCTGCGCTCCAAGTAAGAATTTTTACTTGATCATGCCATGAATATTTAAAAGTTCCGGTCTAGAGTGGGAAGTCCTCAGGAAGTGAAAGAAAATAATTAACAATGCAACCAGTTGTAAGTAGTAATGGTTTCAAATTTTTTTTATGAAATATCAGCCCCTAGAACATCATATAGTGAGGAATGTATGTACAATGTAGCCTTTGCATAACCATTTATTGAAATAAACTTCGAACGTAATTTACTCAGGAACAAAATATAAACCCTGGTGATGCACTGAGATATCGATTGACTAAGAACATGCACTTATAAATAAAGTTTCTTTCTCTTAGAAATCCAAGCGTGAAAAGACTTGTCCTTTTAGTTTCAAATATCAACGATAATTATAGCCATTAAAATATCGATTACTTTCAAAGTCATTGGGTTTCACATGTCCTTATCACATGTCCTTTTATCGGTCTAAGGGTATATCGAAGTTTATCGACAAAGGGAAAATAGTTACTAACATGAATATCTCCACAACAAAAAAAAAATTATTCTCAGGCTTCCTAGGTGATACCTAAATACACTTGGGATAAACTTAAAAAAACATATGCATGCTATGCATGCAAGAGTTATTTTTTGGGGGTGGGTGGATTAATTGAAACATTGCAAGTGATGTCTACATTTTTACAAAGGAAAGAGTATTAACGCGGAAAAGAACAAAAATGTCGTAAACGGCGTAATTTCTTCCAGTTGGTTGTGTTTATATGGAAGATTTTACACCAGTAACTAACGGCGTAATTTCTCCCAGTCAGTAGTCTTTATAAGGAAGATTTTACGCCAGTAACTTACGGCGTAATTTCTTCCAGTCGGTAGTGTTTATATGTACGATTTTACGCCAGTAACTTACGGCGTAATTTCTTCCAGTCGGTTGTGTTTATATGTAAGTTTTTACGCCAGTAACTAAAGGCGTAATTTCTCCCAGTTGGTGATATATATATATATATATATATATGTAAGATTTTACGCCAGTAACTAACGGCGTAATTTCTCCCAGTCGGTGATAAGTATATGTAAGATTTTACGCCAGTAACTAACGGCGCAATTTCTCCCAGTCGGTGATATATATATATGGAAGATTTTAAGCCAGTAACTAACGGCGTAATTTCTCCCACTCGGTGATATATATAAGATTTTACGCCAGTAACTAACGGCGTAATTTCTTCCATTTCATTTTAATAAATGTCGGAACAGCCGTGTAAAGACAATAAACATCGTAACGATCGATGCAGTCACAATGGCCCCAAGAATTGGAACTTATTTGGAAGGATAGATCTCGAGTTCGGAGCCGACTAATTACGAAGGGTCCACGCCAATTTGCATATCCCAAAGAGCCCACGACAACTCGTTTCTACGCTATCGCGTATCCACGAGTTAAAAACGACGCTCTGATTGGTGCGAGATACATACCACTCTATACGCCAACATAGAGTTAAAAAAAAAAAAACGTGGGATGTTTACCTGCGGCTTTGTATTTTTTCGTTCGTTTCTCTTCGCCTTTGAAATCATTTCGTTCTGCGATATCCTTGATAATTATTTGACCAGTTTGGCTAGTATCCATCGCCATTTTATTAAAAAATTAAGACTTTTCAAGAAAATAAAGGAACTAGCCAATGAAGGAACTGGTCAATGGACACTGAATGAAGGAGCGAGAACATGAATATTCCAATGCCCTCTTTACTGTTCTACAGTTGTCACGTTGTCACCTTTTACTTGCGATTTACTTTTCTCAATCAGCATGGATGATATTGCAGGTTACACACTTGGTACTGTGTGAGTAGAGCAGTATACCGTATTTTGAGATGTTCCTTATGCCGTCCTTAAGGTCACTTTCTCTACGCTAGGCAACAGGTATGACAACTCTTAGCAAAAAAACCGTTTGGTGTGTTGCTTCACATAAAAAATTCGCTGTTGTATTTGCATCAATTTGACTAACCTTGTTTTATCGGCTGAAATGGTTGCCTTTTTATAAAGACGCTCTAAAATCTTTAAATCTATCATTGCTTACAAGCGATTACAAGGTGACGTCCCTGTTTATTTTAATAATCTACTGAAATTAAACAGTAACATCCACAGTAGACAAACCAGATACTGTAACCTTAACCTAACCTCTCCGAGGTATAATCACGAAACAGAAAGAGGCAGAACTTTTGCCGTCACAACTTGCAAAGCATGGAACATTTAATCATTGCCTGTGAGGCAAAGGGATTCAGTGGAAAAAAAAAAGCATTGTGGAATGAATTTTTAAACAACAGTAGAATCTTGATCATTTTTCTATTTAAGTTACTTGATGAATTGTGACATGATGATTATAATGTTATTAATATTTTATCTTTTAAATAGTTTAGTAGATTCTATAGTATCTGTATTCTTTGGTTTTTTACCTTTTTATATTTTTTATAGCTTAGTATACTCATTTATTATTCTATTACTTATTTATTTATTTATTTATTATTGAGAGGGCCACAAGTTTATTAGCTCCGGCTATTTCATGCCAACCCTCATAAAATAAAGTCTTTACTTACTTGCTTACGATTTGTGTCGAGAACCAAACCCTATTTCCGGGTAATAACTTTTCACAAGCACGTCGCAACGACTTGCGCCCTGTGACTCGAGGAACACTGGGATTCACTTCCCGGCCTATTCGTAATTCAAAAACATTTATCAGAATTTTCAACGTAAGGGAGTCGCTCCTAAATCAAATGAGCTGAACATCAAAATTTTGCCTGAATACTCTCCAACGATTGTTAATTACACAACCGTGTAATGCTTGAAGTTTTCAGCTCTATTACTTGAGGAATTTTTTCCTTAATGGCTATCTTAGACCTCTTTTGGAGAGAGTCAGCGCTCTCTTTCCGTTCCAGTCCTTTGCGAGGTAAGAGCAGTAGGTACGCAGTAAGCTATTTTCACTTAAGTAATGCATGGCATAACATGCAGATAGAACACTAATGAGTTAACGTATCACGCTCTCGTGTGTAGGTACGCAGCGATCTCGTTGATTCACGAATTCTGACTGGTCGGCAGACTGGATAGTAAGTGAGAGGATATCTTCTCCGCTGCAGAATATGAGTTACACTCAAACTGATCAAAAGAGTGGACAGAAAAAGTTAAATTGTTGCCGTTCTCCGCAAATGCGGTATCACATCCCTCATAGGGAAAGATACAAACTTATAATTTACTTGGTAGGGGACAACCAGGAGCCCATTACCCGGAGCCTCCGTACCAATTGTACCCTTGAGTCAACCCTGTGCTGTATTTTGTTATTTTTAGAACTGAGATATGTGGGGGGCTCTTTAATTTCCCGCGAAAACATGCTGACGTTCGCATGACACCCTAAAAAAAATAGTAAACTTTCCGCGCTTTTGTCATTATTGAAATACTTTCGTGTGGCCTGCATGTAACGTAAATAATAGAGAACCACAGCTCTCTTATGATTGGCTATTATATAAACAGCCGCGAAAAGCCCCGTGGGAGGTGCTTTTCAAAATAAAAAGATACGGGACAGGGTTGACTCAGAGGGTAAGTATGAAAGATGGAAGCTCCGAACAATGGGTTCCCGGGACAACCTTGTCCTATTGTAAATTTACCTGCCTTTGGCAAATTGTTAAGTAGATTTCGGTAGCCCTAAGACAGCCGAAGGAAAAGTTCAAAACTCTTTTTGGAGGATCGGTTTTTTGGCATGAACCACTCGCGATGAAAGATTTAATGAAAAAGCGGCTCTTAAGATTAAAAGAGAACAGTTTATAAGGACATGGGGTTTGAGGGAGGCTTTTCCCAGTTGCAAGTTTGACCTCAACTTCTTCAGTTGTCAGGTTCGTAATCGATCTTTTTTGACATTTATTATCATAAAATCCTTATCTAGTAACGGCATGGAAAATTATGCCTCGCGGTGCGGCGTTAGATTCAGATTTACGTTTTGATTTCGACTGAAAAGGAAAAACTTTTTTCCCCTAAATTGGTTGCATTATGGTTGAGTCGCTGTCTATGGCTTCAGATCTTGACTACTCTATACCAATGTTGAGGGTCATTTCATGCAGATTTGTGTACCGTTTGTTCGTAAGACATCTGTCTCACACATTATCGTCTAAATTAAAATTTTAATGCCCCAGATAAATCCCGTGCGGTAATACAAGATGGTAATCTTTCATTTATCGAACATTGGTTGGATAGGCTGTAACGACCTTTTCATTCTGTGGGTTCTCGACGGTCTTAAATTGTATCAGGCTCTGCGGTAAACTTCGGGCTGGTACATGGATGTTGCATTCACAGTCTGTTACTCTATTGCCGTTTCCTCCTATTACTCCTACTCCTGGCGCACGTCCTATCAATACACAAGCAGTAAACATGGCCAAATCAAATGCTGGGCTGGTTCCAACGAACATGCAGCTGGTGCTGCCCTGTGGTGCTTTGTTCACCCCTCTCCATCTGAATGTTAGTCCACGCATAAAATATGGCTGTAAATAAGAATGTAAGTGGGAAACTAAGTATTTACCTCTTTGTTTTTAAAATTCAGCAATCGGCTGTCAAGGGCACAAAAATGTTTATGGTGTCAATTAGGATCACAACGGTACAAACCCAACGGAGGTATGCAGCCTAACACCACTCCTCAGTGAAGAAAATTGGAGTAACGGACTTTTAATTGCATAACACTTACGACATCACGAGCAGTAGGCTAAGATTACGTTACGGCATCTTGTTTAGCCAGCGCTGAAAGCCTGCTTAGTTCGGATTATTTCGAAGCATTTTTCTCTTGGTGCCTTTTTGAACATGAACATTCAAGTAGAATAGTGTGATTGACACTATACGCTTGTATCCTACACCACCTTCCTTTAACGCCGGTATGAATGAATGAATGAATGAATCAATCAATCAATATTGCATTTACGAACACAAAGAGAGTACCAATCGAAATTAAATCTAAGGTTTGCAGGAAGGTATGGCTTCACAGATTTTTTGGTAGATATTTCCACTCTGAATGAAATAATAACTAACCAGTCTATTCCCCACGAAAGCCGGCCGATTTCCGCGTGTGTTGAAAGCGATATTCCTCGTCTGAGTTGGGTTTCTCTGTTGCTCAAGCAAGAACTGGTACCAGTTGTGAAATCCCTTGAAATTGTTTGCGTTTGATAGTTTCTCGCCTGTTAAACAGAAACGTGAACACAGAATTTGATGGGGATGACTGCCGGAAATTTTTTTTTGCATTCATCGAAGAATGTAATAGCACGCCGGGTAGCTTAGTTCTCAGGAACTGTTTGAAAAGACCCAACTAATAAGGCCTTTCATGGCGGATTATCTGCACATATTTATTTATTTCATTTTCCGTACTTACCAACAAAAACATGTTTAAATCCATTGCTGTTTCGAAACCATAATTCTTCCAAAACACATCTAAACTGTTCTAGGGTTGTCTAAAAGTGAAGTTTATAACGATAGGGGGGTCAACGAACAGCAGTTGAACAGGGAATATGTGATACGAAAAAAGATGTGATCTATGAAGTTAGAGGAGCGAACATAGGACTAGTCCCCTACAAAAAAGTTGATTTGATCAATTGCTCCTAACGCTTTTGAATGCTATGGACGGTGACCTCGCAAAAATGATGTCAAGTCATCGTCATCAGCTTCTCACGAGCCCTCACGTTTAGTTATCTGAAATAGGGAATGGTCTTTATTTAGCCCGGGTGGGGGAAGGAGGGAGTTTGGTTCTTTCACGATTAAATTTACCTGATTTTCCTCCCCCCCTCCCAGGGCTCTCTATTATTCTTACGATTCTCCCCCTTGGCGGCTAATTGGCATTCAATTTTCTAAAGTCCCTGTTTATACTCTGTAGGCGACGACTGATCTCCCCTCCGTTCCCCTGGTTCATAAATGAATTCTCTGTTGTTCATTATAAGGCCGTCATACGGTAAGATCAGATGTTCTAAAGTTCGACTCTTCTTGAAGGTTTTACATGTTGAGGACACATGGATAACATATATTTCTTCGCTGCAAGAACTGGTCTACACATACCACGCCTGCAGGCAATGATCCCTGTTGAGTTAATAGATAATTGAATGCAGCCTCCATAGGTCCGTTTGGTTGGGTTACCGCAGTTATGAAGTCATTTATATGTTGCTGATTGAGAACAAATGGCACAGCTTGGTAATCAACCAATATGTCTGTTTGAAATTATAGAAAACATTTACATTTTACCACCTGACCCAACGGCGTTTTTTCGAAACATCAAGATCTAGTGAAACTCCTTTTTTTTCCTCTGGAAGCGTACGTGATCTCGATTTTAAGCTAAGAAGCAGGAAACAAAATAATTGCCGTAAATCTTTGTCATAATACTACAAAAATCTGAGTTGCCTTGATGAATTGTAACAACCCCGGCGCAACTTTGGACTGCCAATTGATTTCTCGGTTATTTTAGCCTATAGGTCAGGTTTCTCGGCAAACTGTTTTTTTCTTTTTTTTTTTAGTCGTAAAAGGGAAAACGTTTACAATTGATGCATTTTTGGCCCAAACAATCTATCCTTGAGTTTTATTTCCTCTGTAGAAATAGATTACTTACAACGGGTTTGTTATTGAGCAGCGCAATTATTTTTTTAGTAGATTACCACGACTGATTAGGGCCGTGATGTGCACTGTATCGTAGATTTTCACCTGTCAATTGCAATTGGCTCTAAAACAAAAAATACCAAAGACACCTTAACTACCTCGGAATCGTTGAAATACAGGAGAAGCGATTTTTCCAACTCCTCCTGCTCCTGGAACAACCGTAAACAACGGGTTTGCGTTGGCCACCGGATTAACAGTTAATTCTCCAGGAAAGATCAAGTTATTTCCAGCGTTATTCCACATATTTTGGCAAGCGGCTCCAAGATTTACTGATCTGAAGTATAAAAGACAAACTCTTTGGCTGAAGTGCCGAAAAGAATATTTTTCACCAACTTTCTAGAAATTTTTTCTATCAGTTATATTGAATATTGTCAACGCATTTGATGGGTTCTTCTAAAACGACGGTAGACTAAGTTACCTCGCGAAAAATGGGAAGGTTAATAAGATACAGACGAAGACTTCGATGTCGGCTCTCATTTCCTTGGCACTCCAGATACACGCGAGTAAGAACTGTCCTTGCCTTCACTGACTCTTATGGAAATGATATTCATACTCTGTTGTTTGCAATGTTAGTCTCCCCGTTTTATTAATATTTAAATGATTTGGTGTGATGTAAAATGGGAAGTCATTGAGAAAATAATTAGCCTTTGATAAATTACTCTACAATTCAAATACAACTAGCTTTCACATCTCTTGTAAAATAACCAACCATAGATATCGATTGGCTCTAAACATAGGACCTCTCATCAACTATGCATTTCTCCCACAGACCGTAATGACCCCTTTGTTCGTTCGTTCGTCTTGAAGTAACCACCGAAGCAGCTATGATATCGAGAGGGGATACGCAACCTCTCGTTAAACATGAACTAAAACGAGCGCTATTACATATTGATTAACTGGACGGATATGACAACATTTACATTTTTCCTATACAGACACGTTTTCAACAAAAAACAGATGCACGATCTACTTGCTTACTGGGGATTTTATTTTAGTTTCACTCTTAAGCTTGTTCAGGTATTCCATATATTTTTAACAGTGTCACAGGGTGGTTTAAGAAGTCACCCATTGACTGTGATCGAAAAGTGAAGTTTCGATCTTAAGGAAATGTCACATTGCTATGTTGCTGACGAAACCACTTACAAGGCAATGAACGAGTGTCGCGAAGGGGTGTAAACCACGGTCATCTCTTTACAATTTTATATCGCAAGTGTTTTACAGTTAATCAAGGTTAATCAACATGTCAGAGAGTATTCTGTTCCTAAAAGGTGCGACGGGTTCCTGTAAAAAACCGATCCGTGCGCACTGCTTTGTAACTAAGTTGATTCAACTGATTTTCTCGTTGTTTTCATCGCATCAGTTTGGATAGTTCACGAGCGGTTTTAGAAAATGAACTGAAAATCTTACTTTGGCACCAGGTGATTAGATGAAGACCCAAAGCCGTCAGAGTCACCAGTATTTTTTTTTTTTTTTTTTTTTTATCAATGGTTACTTTTAAATCACCATGTACTCACTTTTCATATGGAGAAAATTGGAAATCGGAGTTTTTTTTCGTATTAAGGTCATTACTGATTGACAGACAAAAAGACTTCTTAGCTGGTTAGGAGCCAAATATTTATTTATTTTATCACTGGTTTAATGTTATAAATCATTATTTTAACAGTTTTGTCAGAAGCCCATATGTAATGGGTTTTTTTTTTTTTTTTTGTATTTTATTAATTTTTTTTAATTCAAAGTTACATACATTTTTCATAAACAAACATAATTCACATAAATAGACAGACACGGTACATCATATATCTACATACACAATCCACAGTTCCTCTTAGCTCTCCTCGGCTTCTAAATATAATACTAGTACAGTGCAGCAACAAACATGAGATTCTATATCATCTAATAATTTTTGTACTTGTCCCATTTCATATTATGAGCTTTTAGCTTATTATTTGATTTTGCGATCATAGTCTCGAGTTGGTGGATCGTAATCTTGAGGTTTAATACTTTAATTGAAGGAAGAGATTTGTTCTGTCGGCAAGAATATAAATACTGTTTTGCAATTATTAAAATATGATTGATTAATAATTCGTCTTCGCACCTTAAAATACCAAACATTATATCTTTTTCAGAGAGGTGTTTTATCTTTACGCCTTGATTATCGAACAACTTTATTACCTCAGCCCAGAAATCCTTAGTATAACGACAAGAAATAAAAAAGTGCTCCAAGGATTCGTTCATTTCGCCACAAAAGGAACACGCCGGGGATGGAATAATACCAATTTTGTTTAAAAAAGAATTTGTGATAAGACACCTGTTAAGTAGTTTATACTGGAATTCACGCGATTTTGTGTCCAAGGAAGTACGATGTAATGGGTTCTTGGTTTTGTGCAGCCTGTGCCGGTCTCATGGTGTTGAGCAACCAGCAGAAATATTTGCCTTCCTTTATCTGCTGAACGAGATCCCGGAACTGGTTACTAATTTTGTGATATTTAGTGTTTATAATAATTCGGAAATCTTTGGCAGTGGTCTCGGCTGTCATTTTTGTGTGCCGTTTATCTCAAAAATAGGAAGTCATAAGTTATTTTAACCAAAATGCACGAAATGACAAGTTGTTGCTAGCATTTGTTTCCGAGAATTTCCGACTCGCTCCTACGCAGACCTCCGTTATTCATTTCACAGCACGTCTACATCATCGGACACCGTGCGCTTTGGAATATTACATTGCGGGATAAGACAGGTGATGCAATTAGGAACCAGTCTCTGTTTGTACACTTTAATCGATAGACAACAAGAACGATATCCTTCATCTCAAGGGATACTGCAAGGGGTAACTTCAACCCTCACAAATTGTTTCCAATTATATTAAAATATGAAAAGTTCTTAATAAACCTCGAGTTATAGCACTGAACGATAATCTTACTTCCAATGGACATTTGTAAGGACAGCTGTAACGACCTTGCCATTCTGGTTCTCGACGGTCTTAACTTCTACTGTGCTGCCCCCAACCCCGGGCACATAATAACTTGATTGTTCCTCCAGAAGTAACTGTTAACCTGGTCGCCAATGGAGACCCGTTGTTCCCTGTGTATAAGGAGAAAAAAATCACTTCTCCTGTGTTTACCCGATTCCAAGGTGATTAAATAATAAGGTGCCTCTCTGTGTTTTGCTTCAAAGTTACTTGCCATAGACAGAAAAAAGCACTACAATTCAAGTCAGAGCTTTAAGACGCAGTCTCTCTAAGTGTTGTTAAAATGAACAGTTTCTAAATGAACAACATGAAATAATCTGAATAAATCTGAATCTTGTTGTAGCTATCCTGGCCTCTGAAGTTTTTTTCCCCTTTCTCATTAATTCAGGCTGATAAAAAAAAAATACAGGTCGCTTAGAGCTTTCGGCGACTCTCTTTTTCTAGATGAAAATGAAGATTTTTTCTTTACTGAATGATGTTTTATCTTATTGCGAGTCATAAAAAAGCTTTTATGGACTCGAATTACGTGTCAATCATAAGTTGGCCGTATAAATTTCGTTTATTTTTGAGACCACTCCATTGTTAATTCGAATTTTCTAAAATGCGCGCAATTTGCAATTGTTGACCGGCTATTATAAATGTTCGCAGAACCACAACAAGTTTTTATATTTCCATGCTACTCTACCCTTTTTTAGCTAGTCTAAAGAAATTTATCGTGGGGAAGTTGGAATTTTGCGCTTAACTGAGATAAAAAGTTGCATTTTTTAGGTCATGGCGGTAGCATCAAAGTAGGTGTCAAACAAAAAAATTTCAGTAAAAAAAACCGTTAAAAAAACAAAACTTATGTGCTTTGTTCTTATAAAGGGTTGATCTAAAGATGCGAAACGAAACAAAACCCTCAAACTGAAATTTTGTGAAAAAAAGAGTTCGGCAATTTGTGCTATTTTTGGTAATCGGTGCTGTTAAACAGAGGACCGCTTTTAAGGAGACTGCGTCTTAATAAGCCTTTGATATCTTCGCAAGTCAACGTAGTTAATCTACAATATCTTAACCAGATGATCATGAGTAGTATAGGTAAACAAAGGTAAACATAACTTACGTTATCCAAGGGAACGATGGGGCTGAGGGGGGCTGAGGGGGGGAGAAAATCAGGTAAATTTTATCGTGAAACAACCAAATTTTTCCTCCACCCCTGAGGGCTAAATAATAACCGTTCCCTATTCAAGATAACTAAACGTGAGGGTTCATGAGAAGTTGATGACGATGACTTGACATCATTTTGCATGGTCACTGTCCCTTGCATTCAAAAGCGTTAGGAGCAGTTGATCAAATAAATTTTTTTGTTGAGGGCTAGTCCCCTGTTCGCTCCTCTAACTTCATAGATTACATGCCATCAATTTTCGTATCACATATTTCTTGTTAAATTGCTGTTCGTTGATCCCCTTTATCGTTATAAACTTCACTTTTAAACAACCCTACAATAGTTTAAAGGTATTTTGACCGATTCATGGTTCCAAAATAGCCATGAATTCAAACATGTGTTTTGATAAGCACGGAAAATAAAATAAATAAATAAACGGAAAGTCTCTCAAGGTTCATGTGTAGATTATCCGCCATGAAAGGCCTTGGTAATAGGGTCTTTTCAAACAGTCCCCGAGAGAACTAAGCTACCCGGCATTCTTCGATAAATGCAAAAACATATTCCTGTGGTCATCCCTACCAAATTCTGTGTTTACGTTTCTGTTTAACACGCGATTTAAACGGCAACGCCAACACTTTCACTGGATTTCACAACTGGTACCAGTTCTTGCTTTAACAAGACAGAAACCCAACTCAAACGAAGAATATCGCCTTCAACCATCCGCAACCTTTCGTGGACGAGACTGGTTAGTTATTTCATTCAGAGTGGAAATATCTACCAAAAAGGTTGTAAAGCCATATCCTCCTGCAAACCTTAAATTTAATTTCGATTGGTACTCTATCTGTGTTCGTAAATGCAATATTGATTGATTCATTCATTCATTCATTCCTACCGGCTTTAAAGGAAGGCGGTTTGGGGACAAGCGTACAGTGTCAACCACACTATTCAGCTTGAACGTTCATGTCACGTTACTCTGATACTTCTCGATAAAAAAGATGTTTTTACAAGTGTGCGTGCTAAACGACAAGAAAAAGGCCCTAAGAGAAAGTGCTTCGAAATAGTCCGGGCTGAGCAGGCTTTCAGCCAAGCCCTATAAATCCTAAGCTCAGCGCTGGCTAAACAAGATACCGTAATGTAATCTTAATCTAAAGCCCGAGATATCGTACGCGTTCTGCAATTAAAAGTCTGTTATTCATTATTATTTCACCGAAGAGTGGCGTTCGGATGCATATCTCTGTTGGGTTTGAATTGTTGTAATCCTAATTGACACCATGAACATTTGTGTGCCCTTGACAGCCCATTGCTGAATTTCAAATACAAAGAGTTAAATACTAAGTTTCTCTCTTACGTTCTTATTTACAGCCACACTTTCTGCGTGGACTAACATTCCCATGGAGAGGGATAACACAGGGCAGCAGCAGCAGCAGCATGCTCGTCGGAACCAGTCCAGCATTTGATTTGGTCATGTTTACTACTTGTGTAATGAGTCTACGTGCGGCAGGAGGGGGAACAACAGACTATGTGTGCAAAATTAATGGCCTAAGTTTAGGGGAGAGCACTGTAGAATTTAAAATCGTCGAGGACTCACGGAATAAAAAGGTCGTCACAGCCTATCCAAGAAATGTTAAATAGATGAAAGGTTACCGTCTTGTATTACTGCACAGGATTTATCTGGAACATTAAAGAGCCACTTTTACATTAAATCTTTCATCACGTGTAATTCCTGTGAAAAAAAAACGATCCTCCAAAAAGACTTTAGCATTTATAAGTTTGTATCTTTCGTTATGATGGATGTGATACCACATTTACAGAGTACGGGAACAACTGAACTTTTTCTGATCACTCTTGATTAGTTTTGAGTGTAAATCATATTTTACAGCGGAGAAGATATCCTCCCACTTACTATCCAGTCTGCCGACCGATCAGATTTCTTGAATCAACAAGATCGCTGCGTGTGTATACACGAGTGCGTGATACGTTTACTCATTAGTATCCTATCTGTATGTTATGTCATGCATTCACGGTTAAGTGAAAATATTTTCCTACTGCTCTAACCTTGCAGAGAAGTGGAACGCAAAGACAGCGCTGACTCTCTCGCAAAGCGGTCAAAGATAACCATTGAGGAAAAATTGCCTCGATTAATAGAGCTGAAAATTTCAAGCGTTGCACGGATATGTAATTAATAATCGTTCCGGAGTATCCTAACAAAATTTTGATATTAAGCTCATTTGACAGGGTGCAATGCAAGTCGTTGTGATGTGCTTCTGAAAAGATTCGTATTCGGAAACAGGGTTTCCTTCGATTTTAGTATAATCTGCCGGTAGCATCTCAGTATAATTTCTCAGGTGCTCTCGGATACTATTTAAATTCGTTTTGTCGTTGAAACCATTCGATTAAAATCGTTTTGATTACTCGTATCGATTTAAGCAGCCGGTCTTCCCTAACAGCTTTATTTAATTGAATCAACAAAAATTTAATATCTTCTTTTAAAAGTGTTACGCCAATAGTATCATCATCTTTGGTGCTTTTCGGAATTAAATTTCTTCCTCGGTAACTTTGACGAAACACGAAAGCCATTTTGAAATTTAGCGCCTCTGATATAATCACCTCGAGTAAGATATGACGCAATCTTCCACCAATCAGAGCGTGCGCATCTCTATAATCACTGGAACAATTATGCTAAATGTGAATATTAACCGTCTGCCTATGTAGACAAACATTAAAGTGCCGAGAATAAACAAAATAGAAACATCGGAGGATGAAGAAGAAAGTTTGAATCAATCTTACGATGCGAAAATACTGTAGCAGCTCTTTGAAATATAAAACTTTTATAGCAATTTGTGAGGGTTGAAGTTTCCCCTTGCAGCATCCTTCGAGATGAAGGATATCATCCTTGTTGTCAATCGATTACGGTGCACAAACTGAGACTGGTTCCTAATTGCATTGCCACTCTTATCACGCAATGTAATATTACAAAGCACATAGTGTCCGATGATGGAGATGTGCTGTGAAATGAACGGCGGAAGTCTGGGTATGAGCGAGTCGGAAGTTGTGTTCTTGCATTTTGTTCCACACAAGCCCTCCAGCTGTATCAAGCTGGATAAGTGCAAACGGAGCGCATAGTAATTCTCAGAAACAAATACCAGCAACAACTTGTCATTTCGTGTATTTTGGTTAAAATAACTTATGACTCCTTTTTTAATTTTTCAGATAAACGGCACTGAAAGGTGACAGCCGAGACCATTGCCAAAGATTTCCGAATTATTATAAACACTGAATATCACAAAAAAAAATTAACCAGTTCCGGGATCTCGTTCAGCAGACAAAAGTAGGCAAATGTTCCTTAGTGGTTGCATACCGCCATTTCTTATTTGCCTGCTTTTTCTCTTGCTGCTGCTGACCGTGAGCCCGGCACAGGCTCCACAAAACCAAGAACCCATCACATATGGGCTGCTGACAAAACTGTTAAAATAATGATTTATAACATGAAACCAGAGATAAAATAAATAAATATTTGGCTCCTAACCAGTTCAGAGATCTTTTTTTGTGTCTATTCAATGACCTGGATACGAAAAAAAAACCTCGATTTCCAATTTTCTCCATATGAAAAGTAAGTACATGGTGAATCAGTCTTTTAAATTTTAATTCAAAAGGAACCACTGATAAAAAAAAAATACTGGTGGCTCTAAAGTAGTGCTGACGACTTTGGGCCTTCATCTAATCACCTCATGCCCACTAAAGTAAGATTTTCAGCTTCAAAAACCAAATGTCAACTATCTAAGCTGATGCGATGAAAACAACGAGAAAATCAGTTGCATCAACTTAATTACAAAGCAGTGCACACGGATCGGTTTTTGGCAGGAACCCGTCGCACCTTTTAGGAACAGAATACTCTCTGACATTTTGATTAACCTTAATTGACTGTAAAACACTTACGATATAAAATTGTAAAGATATGGCCGTGGTTTACACCTCTTCGCGACACTCGTTCATAGCCTTGTAAGTGGTTTCGTCAGCAACATAGCAATGTGGCATTTTCTTAAGATCGAAACTTCACTTTTCGATCTCAGTCAATGGGTGACTTCTTAAACCACCCTGTAACACTGTTAAAAAAAATATGAAATACCTGCACAAGCTAAAGAGTGAAACTAAAATCCCTAGATGGTAAGCAGATCGTATTATCCGTACTTGCTTTCCGTTGAAAACGTGTCTGTATAGGGCAAATGTAACTTTGAATATATCGTAGTTGTCATATCCTTCCAGTTAATCAATATGTCGTAGCGCTCTTTTAGTTCATGGTTAACAAAAGACTGCGTATTTCCTCTCGATATCATAGCTGCTTTGGTAGTTACTTCAAGACAAACGAACGAACAAAGGGGTCATTATGGTCTGTGGGAGAAATGCATAGTTAATGAAAGGTCCTATGTCTATAGTCAATCGTATCTATGGTTGGTTATTTTACAAGAGATGTGAAAGCTAGTTGTATTTGAATTGTAGGGTAACTTATCAAAGGCTAATTATTTTCTGTCATTTCTCAATGACTTTCCATTTTACATCGCACCAAATCATTTAAATATTAATCAAATGACGAGACTAACATTGCAAACAGCAGAGTAGGAATTTCATTTTCAGAAAAGTCAGTGAAAGCAAGGACAGTTCTCACTCGCGTATATCTGGAGTGCCAAGGAAATGAGAGCCGACATCGAAGTCTTCATCTGTATCTTACTCACCTTCCCGTTTTTTGCGAGGTAACTTAGTCTACCATCTTTTAAGAAGAACTCATCAAATGTGTTGCCTAAGCGTTCAATATTCAATATAACTGATAGAAAAAATATCTAAAAAGTTGGTGAAAAATATTCTTTTCGGCACTTCAGCCAAAGAGTTTGTCTTTTATACTTCAGATCAGTAAATCTTGGGGCCGCTTGCCAAAATATGTGGAATAACGCTGGAAATAACTTGATCGTTCCTGGAGAATTAACTGTTAATCCGGTGGCCAACGCAAACCCGTTGTTTACGGTTGTTCCAGGAGCAGGAGGAGTTGGAAAAATCGCTTCTCCTGTATTTCAGCGATTCCGAGGTAGTTAAGGTGTCTTTGGTATCTTTTTTTTCAAAGCCACTTGCCATTGACAGGTTAAAATCTACGACACAGTACACATCACGGCCTTAATCAGTCGAGGTAATCTACTTCCTGCGCGGAAGTAAAAGAATAATCGCGGCGAACATCTATGCACCACTGAAGACGTAGTTGATCTACAATACCGCTCTGCTCAATAACCAACCTGTTGTATGTAATATATTTCTACTGAGGAAATGAAATTCAAGATTGGACTATGTGGGCCAAAAATGCATCAATTGTAAACGTTTTTCCCTTTTAATAAAATTACGACTTAGAAAAAAAACAGTTTGCAGACAAATCTGATCTATAGGCTAAAATAACCGGGAAATAAATTGGCAGCGCAAATTTGGCTCGGGGTTGTAAAAAGTTTAGTGTTTAGTGTTATAACCAAGACTTACAGTAATCATTTTTTTTCCTGCTTTTCAGCTTAAAATCGAGATCACGTCGCTTTCAGAGAAAAAGTAGTCTCAATCTAAAAAAAACACTTCACTACATTTTGATGTTTTTAAAAAACGCCGTTGGGTCAGTTGATAAATTGTAAATGTTTTCTATAATTCCAAACAGACTTGATGGTTGATTACCAAGCTGCACAGCCTGCTCCCACTCAGCAACATATAAATGACTTCTTAACTGCAGTAACCCAACCAGGTGGACCTATGCAGGCGGCACTCAATTATTTATTAACTCAGCCGGGATCATTACCTGCAGGCGTGGTATGTGTAGACCAGTTCTTGTAATGAAGAAATATGTTATTTATGTGTCCTGAAAATGTTAGTCCTTCAAGAAGAGTTGAACTTTAGAATATCTGATCTTACCGTAGGACGCCCTTCCAACAGAGAATTCGTTTATGAACCAATGGGGTAGGGGACCAAGAGGGGTGGGGTGGGTGGAGACATTAAGGTGGAGATCACATGGTATTCAGGGAACGGACGGGATATCAGTTTTCGCCAACAGAGTATAAAAGAGGGACGTCAGAAAATTGATCGCCAATTAACCGCCAAGGGGAAGGGGGGGGGGGAAATCATAAGAATAATAGAGAGCCTTGGGGTGGGGGGGGGGGGAGACAGGGTGAGTGTTATCATGAAACAACCAAATTCCCCCACCCCACCCCCACCCGGGGGCTAAATAATGACCGTTTCCTAAATAAGGTAACTAAACGTGAGGGCTCATGAGAAGTTGGTGACGATGACTTGACATCATTTTGCAGGGTCACCGTCACTTGCATTCAAAAGTGTTAGGAACAATTGATCAAATCAACTTTTTTGTTGAGGGTTAGTCCTTTGTTCGCTCCTCTAACTTCATAGATTACATTACATCCATATTCGCTTAACATGTCCCCTGTTCAATTGCTGTTCGTTGACCCCCTTTATCGTTATGAACTTCACTTTTAGGCAAACTTGCAACAGTTTAGACCTATTTTGGAAGCATTATGGTTCCAAAACAGCAATGGATTTAAACATGTTTTTGTTGGTAAGTACGGAAAATAAAAAAATTAATAATTTAAAAGAAAGTCTCTCACGGTTTATTTACTTTGTCTAAATCTGAATTACGAAATCTAATTCTCTCAAGCCCATCCTCTGCCGAGCACTTGGAGGATCGACTGTGCGCGACTTGCCGCTATTCTACTTATTGTAAATGTTCTTCATAATATCAACCACAACGCCTATCGAGTATTTTGTGCAGATTTCACTCTCTTTCATCACTTTAGATATTACAATTTTACGTGAATATGAAAGAGATCTTCGCAGTAATGAACGTGAATATGTGAAAATAAGATCTAAAAAAAATCAGGCCTGAACAGGATTTGAAATGAACAGGGCCGCTAAGTTTAGAAAACTGTAAGAGGTTATCCGTACAGGCCGTCTTATTTTCCTCTTTAAATGCGAAAATGTCTTTATGTATTCAAATTCATTCATATATTCATTCGTTAATTACAACACGTGAGTTTATTCTTATTTCCGTTTCTCTTGTATATATGTATTAAAATTTATTTTTGAGGGCAGTAAGTTAGAAAACTGTAAGAGGTTATTGCGTCTTCCTCTTTAAATAAAGTTATGTATTCATTCATTCATTCATTCATGTACAGATTCTCCGCCATGAAATACCTTGGTAATAGGGTCTTTTCAAACAGTCCCTGATCGAACTGAGTTACCCGGCATGCTAGTGCATTCTTCAGTAGGTGAATGCAAAAAAATATTCCTGCAGTCATCACCACCAGATTCTGTGTTCACGTTTCTGTTTAACAGGCAATCACAGAAACGTCAACGATTTCAATGGATTTCACAACTGGTACCAGTTCTATCTTGAACAAGGGAGAAACCCAACTCAGACAACAAATATCGCTTTCAACCCGCAACCCGCACATCTGCCGCCCTTCGTGGGGAATAGACTGGTTAGTTATTTCATTCAGAGTGGAAATATCTACTGAAAAAGCTGTGAAGCCATAACCTCCATCAAACCTTAAATTTAATTTCGATTCGTACTCTATCTGTGTTCATTCATTCCTTCATTCATTCACATCAGCGTTAAAGGAAGGCGGTGTGGATACAAGCGTACAGGGTAAAATTGTCAATCACACTATTCTGCTTGAATGTTCGTGTCATGTTACTCTAATCCTTCTCGATGAAAGAGATGTTTTTACAAGTGTGCGTGCTAAACGACGAGAAAAAGGCATTAAGAGAAAAGTGCTTCGAAATAATCCGGGCCGAGCAGGCTTTCAGCTAAGCCCGGTTATAAATCCTAAGCTCAGCGCTGGCTAAACAAGATGCCGTAATGTAATCTTAGCCTAAAGCACGTGATATCGTACGTGTTATGCAATTGAAAGTCCGTTATTCCATATTATTTATAGAACTGGCGTTGGGCTGCAAACCTCCGTTAGGTTTGCAATGTTGTTATTCTAATTGAAACCATGAACATTTTTGTGCCCTTGACAGCCGATTGCGGAATTTTAAATATAAAGAGGTGAACACTTAGTTTCTCATTTAGAATCTTATTTACAGCCATTTTTTCTGCGAGGACTAACATTCACATGGAGAGGGGCAAACAAAATACCACCGGGCACCAGCAGCTGCATGTTCGTTGGAACCAGCCCAGCATTTGATTTGGCCATGTTTACCGCTTGTGTATTGAGGGGACGTGCACCCGGAGGAGGAGTAATAGGAGGAAACGGCAATAGAGAAACACAATGTGAATGCAACATCCACGTACCGGCCGCAGGGTTACCGCAGAGCCTGGTACGATTTAAGACCGTCGAGAACCCACATAATGGAAGGGTTGTCACAGCATTTCCAAGAAATGTTCTATAGATGAAAGGTTACCGTCTTGTATTACAGCACAGGATTTATCTGGAACATTAAAACTTTAATTCAGACGATAAATGTGTGAAAGAGATTTCTTACGAACAAACGGTACACAAATCAGCACGAAACGATTCTCATCATTGGTATACATCGGTCGATATCTGAAGCCATAAACAGCGACAGAAACATATTGTGTTTTGGTCATCTAATGGCCGGTATCTGAAGGTGTCGCCCCATCGCAAGTTCGCCCCAGCCTTCTTTGCAAGTTCACTCCTTGAAGTAAACCAAGTCTTTCCCCCAAACCTTTACCAGTTCGTACCCAAATCTTCCTACTCGTTTTCTTAATTTCAAGAAACAGTTTTCCCTTTTCGGTCGAAATCAAAGCGCAAATCTGAATCTAACGCCGCAACACGAGGCATGATTTTCCATGTCGTTGATAGATTATGGTTTATGATAATAAATGTCAAAACAGATCGATTACAAACCTGCAAAATAAGTTGAGGGCAAACTTGCAACTGGAAGAAACCTTCCTCAAACCCCTTGTCCTTATAAACTGTTCTCTTTTAACCTTAAGAGCCACTTTTACATCAAATCTTTCATCACAGGTAATTCCTGTGAAAAAACCGATCCTCCAAAAATAATCTTGAACTTTTACTTTGGCTGTCTAAAGGCTACCGAAATCTACTGAGAGAGTAAACATGTATAAGTTTGTATCTTTCGTTACGAGGGATTTGAAACCCCATTTAGAGAAAACGGCAGTTATTGAACTTTTTTTGTCCACTCTTGATTAGTTTGGAGTGTAAATCATATTTTATATCGGAGAAGATATCCTCCCTCTTACAATCCAGGCTGCCGACCAATCAGATTTCTTGAATCTACAAGATCGCTGCGTGTGCGTTCGCTTGAGTTTTCAGGTATCCGAATGCCTCTTCCACAGGTCCACATGGTTGGGTTATTGCAGTGATGAAGTCAGTTCTATACTGCTGATTAAGATTGTAAGGTTGAGCTTGATAGTCAACCAATATAAAATAAAAAAAAACGCAATGATCAAATTTTAACGCCAACCTATCTCTAAGATATCTCAACTTGCTTAAATGAGCTATCATCTTCATTGCCTATTTCGACATGGTCATTTTAACTGTTTAGAACATAGAAAATTGTATCTGCTTTTAAAGCGACAGCCATTTACAATTGTTTGTTTTGTTAGACTTCTATGTCTCTAAATCAAGAATCTTTCAATCTACGACCGCATCATTTTCGTGAAATATAGATCAACATTACATATTACAGAACACGAACATTGCAAAGTGAAAAGTTGAGGACTTTCTCATCAATCTTAAGAGATAAATTTCTAGCACTCATATCGAGCGATGATAGCGTTGAAAAATGTCGTTGAAAAGTTGCCTATAAAGTTCTATACAAAAATGGCACTTAAGAATTATTTATTATACCATAAAATCGGGTGAACTATTCCCTTTAGAGTTTTTTGTGTTTTTTTTTTGAGCCCCAGCTCCGTGCACCAATGTGAACACTGATTATTTTCAGCGTCGTTCCACATTTTTTTGACAAACGTGACCTCCAAGGTTGAGAGACCTTGAACACGGAAGGAAAATACGTTATTTGAAGTTATTTGAAGAATATCGTCCTTCTACATGTAAAGGGCAAACTTCTCAAATTTAACATTACTGATACACCAAGTCCAACTGTTCGAGAGTAGCCAGTGCTTTAAGACTCAAATATATATAATCTCTTAAATAATTTGCACTGAACAGAGGAGGAAGGAAAGAGACGATAGTTTCAGTCTATAGAATATTTTACACTACCTGTTGATGAAAAACGTCTAAAAACTGGAGTATTAAATGATAGTTTGAGCCATTTAATGGGCCTCTCCTATGTACAAAATGAAAGGAAAGAAATGTACCTCGCGTCATAAGGTAAATTCAGCAAAATAAAGATCAAAATTTTCATGTAAAAGATCACTCCCTTCGTAAACCAAATATTCATTTTTCAGAATTGGTCGTTCTTCCACTGAGGTTATGGGTGTTGAAAATTCTAGTACTAGTAAGAATTTTTACTTGATCATATCATGAATATTTAAAAGTTCTGGTATAGAGCGGGAAGTCCTCAGGAAGTGAAAGAAAATAATTAACAGTGCAATCCAGTTATAAGTAGTAATAGTTTCAATACTTTTTTTATGAAATGTCAGCCATTAGAACATCGTATAGTGAGGAATGTATGTACAATGAAACCTTTGCATAACCATTTATTGAAATAAACTTTAAATAGAACAAAATATAAACCCTGGTGATACTGAGATATCGATTGACTAAGAACATACACTCAAAGTTTCTTTCTCTTAGCAATCCGAGCGTGAAAAGACTTGTCATTTTAGTTCTAAATATCAACGATAATTATAGCCATTAAAATATCGATTACTTTCACAGTCATGTGTTTCACATGTCCTTATCACATGTCCTTTTATCGATCCAATGGTATTTTGAAGTTTATCGACAAAGGGAAAATAGTTACCAACATTAATATCTCCATCACAAAACAACTATTTCCAAGTTTCCTTGGTGATACCTAAATACAATTGGGATTAATTTAAAAAAACGTTGGGTGTTGTAAATATCGATCGGTTGACCCCATAATGTTTACCTGCGGCTTTTGTATTTTTTTCGTTAGTTTCTCTTTGCCTTTGATATCATTTCGTTTGCGATATTTTTGATAATTATTTGACCAGTTTGGCTTGTATCTACTACTTTTTTATTAAAAAATTAAGACTTTTCAGGAAGATGAAGGAACTAGTCAACAGACACTGAATGAAGGCGCGTGAACAAAAATATTTCGATGCCCTCTTTACTGTTCTACGGTTGTTACGTTGTCACCTTTTCAAGCGATTTACTTTTGTCAATCAACATGAATGATATTGCAGGTTACACACTTGGTACTGTGTGAGTAGAGCAGTAGACTTTGTTTCTAGATGTTCCTAATGCCGTTCATAGGTCACTCTCTCTAAGCTAGGCACCAGGTATGATAGGTCTGAGTAAGAAAAACGTGTTTCGCTTTACGAAAAAGTCGCTGCTGTGTTTGCACCAATCTGACTGCGATTTGAGCCAAGAAGCAAACCCTGTTTCCGAGTAATAAGCTTTTCACAAGCACGTCGCAACGACTTGCACCTTGTCAAATAAGCTGAACATCAAAATTTTGCCAGGGTACTCTCAATTAACGATTGTTAATTACATAATCATGCAATGCTTGAAATTTTCAGCTCTATTAATTGAGGCAATTTTTCCTCAATGGTTATCTTAGACCACTTTGCGAGAGAGTCAGCGCTGTCTTTCCGTTCCACTTCTCTGTAAGGTTAGAGCAGTAGGAAAATATTTTCACTTAACAAAGGAGGCTGGGGCGAACTTGTAATGAAGCGACACCTCCAGATACCGGCCACTAGATGACGAAAACACAATAAGTTTATGGCTTCAGATCTCGACCGATGTCTACCAATGATGAGAGTCATTTCATGCTGATTTGTGTACCGTTTGTTCGTAAGACATCTCTCTCGCACATTTATCGTCTAAATTTAAATTTTATTGCTCCAGATAAATCCCGTGCAGTAATACAAGACGGCAATCTTTCATCTATTTAACATTTCTTGGATGGGCTGTGATGACCTTTTTATTCAGTGGGTCCTCGACGGTCGTAAATTCTACAGTGCTCTCCCCTAACCCTAGGCCTTTAACTTTGCAGACACAGTCTATTGTTCCCCCTCCTGCCGCACGTCCACTCAATACACAAGTAGTAAACATGGCCAAATCAAATGCTGGGCTGGTTCCGACGAACATGCTGCTGGTGCTGCCCTGTGGTGCTTTGTTCGCCCCTCTCCATCTAAATGTTAGTCCACGAAGAAGATATGGCTGTAAATAAGAATGTAAGTGGGAAACTTAGTATTTACCGCTTTGTCTTTGAAATTCAGCGATGGGCTGTCGAGGGCACACAAATGTTCGTGGCGTCAATTAGGATCACAACAGTGCACGCCCAACAGAGATTTGCAGCCGAACGCCACTCCTCGTTGAAATAATAATGAATAACAGACTTTTAATTGCAGAACGCGTACGATATCACGGGCTAAGATTACATTACGGCATCTTGTTTAGCCAGCGCTGAGCTTAGGATTTATAGGGCTTGGCTGAAAGCCTGCTCAGCCCGGACTATTTCGAAGCACTTTTCTCTTAGGGCCTTTTTCTTGTCGTTTAGCACGCACACTTGTAAAAACATTTTTTTATCGAGAAGTATCAGAGTAGCGTGACATGAACATTCAAGCAGAATAGTGTGGTCGACACTGTACGCTTGTCCCCACACCGCCTTCCTTTAACGCCGGTGGAAATGAATGAATGAATCAATCAATATTGCAGTTACAAACACAGATAGAGTACCAATCGGAATTAAATGTAAGGTTCGCAGGAAGGTTATAGCTTTACAACTTTTTTGGTTACTACTACTAACCAGTCTCTTGTCCACGAAAGGTCGCAGATGGCTAAAAGCGATATTCGTCGTCTGAGTTGGGTTTCTCTCTTGTTCAAGCAAGAACTGGTACCAGTTGTGAAATCCAGTGAAAGTGTTGGCGTTGGCGTTTAAATCGCCTGTTAAAGAAAAACGTGAACACAGAATCTGGTATGGATGACTGCAGGAATATTTTTTTGCATTTATCGAAGAATGCTGGGTAGCTTAGTTCTCTCGGGGACTATTTGAAAAGACCCTATTACCAAGGCCTTTAATGGCGGATAATCTGCACATAAACCTTGAGAGACTTTCCATTTATTTATTTATTTTATTTTCCGTACTTACCAACAAACACATGTTTAAATCCATTGCTGTTTTGGAACCATAAATCGTTCAAAACACCTTTAAACTGTTGTAGGGTCGTCTAAAAGTAAAGTTCATAGCGATAGAGGGGGTCAACAAACAGCAATGGAACAGAGGATACGTGATACGAAAATAGATGGAATGTAATCTATGAAGTTAGAGGAGCGAACAGGGGACTAACCCTCAACAAAAAAATTTATTCGATCAATTGCTCCTTACACTTTTGAATGCAAGGGACGGTGACCATGCGAAATGATGTCAAGTCATCGTCATCAACTTCTCATGAGCCCTCACGTTTAGTTACCTTAATTAGGGAACGGTCATTATTTAGCCCCCGGGTGGTGGTGTGGGGGAATCTGGTTGTTTTACCATAAAATTTACCTGATTTCCCCCCCCCTCCAGGCTCTTCCTGTTTTCCCCCCCCCTCCCCTCGGAAGCTAATTGGCAGGCAATTTTCTAAAGTCCCTCTTCATGGCGATAACTGATCTCCTCACCGTTCCTTGAATACCATGTGATCTCCACCTACCCCACCCTTCGTTGTCCCTTACCTTATTGGTTCATAAACGAATTCTCTGTTGTTCATTGGAAGGGCGTCATAAGGTAAAATCAGAAGTTTTAAAGTTCGACTCTTCTTGAAGGACTCACATGTTCAAGACACATGGATAAAATATTTCTTCATAACAAGAACTGGTCTACACATACCACGCTTGGAGGCAATGACCCCTGCTGCTTTAAATAATCGAATGCCGCCTCCATAGGTCCGCTTGGTTGGGTTACCGCAGTTATGAAGTCATCTATATGTTGCTGAGTGGGAGCAGGATATGCAGCTTGGTAATCAACCATCAAGTCTGTTTGGAATTATAGAAAACATTTACAATTTTCCACCTGACCCAATCGCGTTTTTTCAAAACATCAAAATCTAGGGGATTTTTACTTTTTTTTAGACTGAGACTTCTTTTTCTCTAAAAGCGCACGTGATCTCGATTTTAAGCTAAGAAGCAGGAAACGTAATAATTGCTGTAAATCTTTCTCATAATACTACAGAAACCTGAGTTACCTTGATAAATTATAACATTCCCGGCGCAACTTTGCACTGCCAATTAATTTCTCGGTTATTTTGGCCTATAGATAAGATTTTTCTGTAAAATGTTTTTTTTTAAAGTCGTAATTTCATAAAAATGGAAAAACGTTTACAATTGATACATTTTTGGCCCACACAGTCCATCCTTGAGTTTTATTTCCGCTGTAGAAATAAATTACTTACAATAGGTTGGTTATTGAGCAGAGCGATATTGTAGACCAACAATGTCTTCAGTAGATGCATAGATTTTGCGATCATTCTTTCACTTCCTCACAGGAAGTAGATTACCACGACTGATAAAAGGCCCTGATGTGTACTGTATCTTAGATTTTTATGGGGAGCCATTTGTGCCAAAAATATCGATCGCTAGCCATAAAACTCAATCGTTATTGCTAAAATATCAATCGCTAGTGATAAAACTTAATCGTTATTGCTAATATCGATTTCTCATCGATTCTAACTTGAACCAGTCTCCCGCTTGTTAAGCAGAGATGTATCGATCAAATCTTACTTACTTTCTTGATTAGGAACATTGAAATGACAATAAAGGCAAAGACCGACCGGCACGGACTTCCCATGTGGCGTTTGTGGTCGTGTCGCATTATCGCCTTTAAATTATATTTTTGCTCTCACAAGCGTGTATTTATGAGATTTTCCCTTTTTGTAAGTGACAATCAGCGATCGATATTTTTGGCACAAATGGCTCCCCATAGATTTTCACCTGTCAATGGCAAGTCGCTTTGAAATAAAAGATACCAAAGACACCTTAAATACCTCGGAATCGCTGAAATACAGCAGATCTGACTTTTACAGCTCCTTTTCCTGAAACAACCGTAAACAACGGGTTTGCGTTGGCCACCGCATCAACAGTTAATTCTGTAGGAACGATCAAGTTATTTCCGGCGTTTTTCCACATATTTTGGCAAGCGGGTCCGAGATCTACTGAGCTGAAGTTTAAAAGACAAACTATTTGACTGAAGTGCCGAAAAGAATATTTTTCACCAACTTTCTAGAAATTGTTTCTATCAGTTATATTGAATATTGAACGCTTAGGCAACACATTTGATGAGTTCTTCTAAAAAGACGGTAGACTAAGTTACCTCGCGAAAAATGGGAAGGTGAGTAAGAAATAGACGAAGACTTCGATATCGGCTCTCATTTCCTTGGCACTCCAGATATACGCGAGTGAGAACTGTCCTTGCCTTTCCTGACTCCTATAAAATTAAATTCCTACTAAGCTGCTTGCAATGTTATAGTCTCGTCATTTTATTAATATTTAAATGGTTTGGTGCGTTGTAAAATGAAAAATCACTGAGAAATGACATAAAATAACAAGCCTTTACTTGTACCTTTTACTCTACAATTCCAATACAGGTAGCTTTCACCCTTGGTAAAATAACCATATATATCGATTGACTTTTATCAACCATGGATTTCTCCCATAAACCATAATGACCCTTTTTTTCCCCTCGTATGTCTTGAAGTAACTACCAAAGCAGCTATGATATCGAGAGGGAATACGCAGCCTTTCGTTGATCATGAACTAAAACGAGCGCTATTACATATTGATTAACTGGATGGATACGACAACTTCGATAAATTCAGTCACATTTCTCCCTATACAGACACGGTTTAAACGGAAAACAAAGTACGGATAATATGATCTACTTACCATCCAGGGATTTTATTTCAGTTACACTATCTAGCTTTTGCAGGTATTCCATATTTTTTTAACAGTGTTACATGGTGGTTTAGTAGTCACCCACTGACTGTGATCAAAAAAGTGAAGTTTCGATGTCAAAAAAATGTCACATTGTTACACCCATACAACAGTGCTAGGACTGGTAAATATTTAAATGGTTTGGCGCGTTTTAAAATGAAAAGTCACCGAGAAATGAAATGAAATAATAAGCCTTTCATAAGTTACCCTACGATTCAAATATAGGTAACTTTCACCCTTGGTAAATTAATAATAATACTATAATAATACAAAATTTATATAGCGCTATTTCTATTGCTATTCAATAGCGCTTTACAATTCATTTATAAAAGACATTGATAAAATTTATAAAAACGTAAACATCACTAAAATATGAGTAAAAAACTAGCTAATAAAAAATCTGTAATGATGAGAGTAAAAACTGTGAAACTTATAATAGAACTAATTCACTTACTAATTAACTAACTAACTAACTAACTAGCTGACTAACTAATTAACTAACCAACTAACTAGCGACCTAGCTAACTATAAAATAGCTAATTAACTCGCTAAGCTAATTATAAAATTTGTTAAGAAGGTTAATTATAAAATTTGTTAAAAAGGTATGTCTTTATACAGGTCTTAAAGTCTGATAGCGAGCTGCTCTCTTTTATGATGTTCGGAAGAGAGTTCCATAGAGTCGGTGCTACAAAAGAGAAGCACCTGTGACCATAACTTACTAGCTTGACAGGTGGTACTTTAAGTAAGTTTTTGGAGGAGGACCTCAGATTTCTGGTTGGTACATAAGGCTTCAGCAGTTCAGTGATGTAACTAGGGGCTTGTCCGTTGAGCGCTTTGAAAGTCAAAAGTAATATCTTGTAATCTATACGCTGGCTAACTGGGAGCCAGTGAAGCTGCTTTAAAACAGGTTTGATGTGGTCATACTTTCTTGTACGAGTGATAACACGAGCTGCAGCTTTCTGGACATTTTATAGACGATCTATCAGGAATTTGGGTAAACCATATAGTAGCGAGTTGGTGTTATCTAGCTTAATGTAATGAACGCATGAACTAGTTTTTCAGTATCTGCTAGAGATAAGCAGTCTCTTATCTTGCTAATGTTTCTAAGATGGAAGAAACAGGCTTTGCAGGTACTGGTAACATGCTTATCTAGTGACATGTGCTCATCAAAGATAACTCCAATGTTCCTTGCAGAGGGAGATGGCTCGATCCGCTCACCAGACACATCAACATACTCTACTGATGGGGGTGGACGGTGTCGTGCACTCAAGATCAATAGCTCCGTCTTTCCTCTGTTTAGTTTCAGTTTATTGCACACAATCCACGAGTCTATCTCAGAAACACACGCCTCTATTTTTGCTATAGAGCTGGGTAGTTCGGCGGGGGTGGGCTTGAAAGAGAGATAGAGGTGGGTGTCGTCGGCGTAGAGATGGTAATTAAGTCTGTGCCGTCTAATGATGTCCCCAATGGGTGAAGTGTATAATAAGTATAGAACCGGACCTAGTACTGATCCCTGGGGGACACCGTACCGAAGTTCTTTCATCTTTGACTTGTTTCCATCAATTATCACAAACTGTTTTCGGTCTTGGAGATATGATCGAAACCATTTTAGCACATTTCCTTTTACTCCATAGCGTTTTGCCATTCTTTCCAGTAGTAGATCATGGTCGACTGTATCAAACGCCGCAGACATGTCTAACAGTAACATGACAACACATTTTTGATTGTCTATCTCGAAGAGAATGTCACTTTGCACCCTCAAGAGTGCAGTCTCTGTGCTGTGAAGACGCTTATACGCAGACTTAAAAGATTCCTCTAGATCATTATCACATAGGTGATCACTCAATTGGCAAGAAACTGCCTTTTCAATTATCTTTGATATAACCTTCAGATTTGAGATAGGTCTAAAATTTGAATAATCCTCGGAGTCCAGGTTGTTCTTCTTCAACTTCGGTTTGATCACTGCTTCTTTCAGTGCAGCGGGCATTGATGCTGATTGGAGCGACATGTTCACGATGTTGGTTAAGACAGGTAGAAGGGCTGATTAACATTCCTTTAGAATAGATGCCAGTATAGGATCAAGATCACAAGATTTTTTACCGATAGTGTCTACAAAACCTTCAATCTCTCTCTGACATCACTCTAAACTCTTTGAATTCGGCATGACAAGGCTGTTTGTTTGCTTCGCAGGACTGGGTATTAGAAGTCACTTCATTGGATAGCTCTTTTCTTATTGTCGCTATCTTCTTGTCGAAAAAGTCGGCAAAATTGTTCGTAAGCTCAATCGTCGAGGGTGCGGTCGGATAGCATCTCTCTACTTTGCGGTGTAATAGCTTGTCGACTGCGTTGAAAAGAACTTTTGGATCCGATGCATTGATGAGTAGTATGAAGCCTTTGCATCCTTAAGTATTTTATTCACAACCCGGCACTAGTCGACATATATCTGTCTGTCGACGCATAGTCTTGACGATCGCCAACGGCGCTCCAGCTTCCGGCGTTTTCTCTTAGCATCACTAATACCCTCGTGGTACCATGGTGCTGATGGGCGGAGAGTTATCACGCGTCGTTTTAAAGGGGCATGCCTTTCAAGTGTTTCCGTCAGTGTGTTTTCGTATTTTTCAATGAGACCCGTAAGATCAAGGGTGCTAGTTGACAGAAGGTTGGACTGCTTTAGGTCATCATTAAAACTGTTCATATTTACCGAGCGCAGTTTACGATAACTAATTTCCTTTTGTTCCAGGGGTGGTTTCTTTAGGCGAAGCTTGCAGTGTACAGCAGAGTGATCGGACAGCATGGGATCCCGTATTTCAGTGCTATTTACCAGTTCGTCCTCGGCTCTAGTTATAATCAGGTCTAAGGTGTGGCCCTTCTTATGGGTGGGTCCATTTACATGTTGGACTAGACCGAACGATTCTAAGATGTTGTTAAATTTGACAGTATCCAGATTGCTGATATTATCCACGTGATAGTTGAAGTCACCCACTATGAGTAGGTTACCAGGGGACACAACTAACTGTTCTGCGAGAATGCAGAATTCTTCGAAGAATAGAGCACTATTTAGTTGATTTGCCTTAGATGGAGGTTTTTGGAGCCAAGGGTGGCGTTGTACAACACAGTGGCTGGCTGGCAAATAACCAACCATAGATATCGATTGACTATAAACCTAGGACCTTTCATCAAAACTAGTATCTTAAATCGGACTTTAGAGTCTTAAATAAGATACCAGCGTTTAAAATCAGACGCTATAACTAAAATCAGATACAACCGTCTAAAAACGGACATAAGCGTTTGATTTTTTGACTCTGTTGTCAGATTTTTTACACCAATTACTGATTTTTCACGCTGGCGGTGTCCTAGCCATGATTTTGAACCTAGGATCTTTTTGTATACACAGGGTGGATGTTAAATTTTAGAGTTTAATGTTGGACACTAGGTACCCTTATAGTGACAGAGTGACACTAAACTTTTTATTTAAGAAAGAATGGCACATAACATTGTAGTTTTCAGTCAACTTAACTTATTTTTACAACGGACAGGTAGTTCATTGGGAAATTGGTGGTGAAAATGTCGTACTTGGTATGGTTCATTTTTTACGAATATCACATATCAATATCCAGAAAGATGGGTCACGTTTTCGTCGCTGCTCACTCAAAGGATTGTTGAATTTCTCTTTATAAAATAGAGGAACTCACACAAATTTATCGGACTGGGCTATTCCATGATTTCATTCTCCAGAAATTGGTTGCACATTTCCCTGGTGCTAGATCTAAAATCTTACCTGTTAAATTTTGTATTTTACAAGTAAGAAAATAGGACACTTCGTGATAACTATCGTAGCTAAAAGTATTGTAATATAAATATTAGATAATAACTAAAAGTATTGTCAAATGATCATGAATATGAGTAAATATTTTTGCTAAATCTTTTAAATTTCTTTGAAGTATTTCAAATACCAGCTCAAATTTAATTTATTCATACATATAACTCTATAAAATTTTATAGTTGGCATTTATTAGGGTGATGTAAACCAATCTTTTACAACAGCCATCTCAAGCTTGATGTATAAAGAAAATCGCATTTCACATGTGTTCAGCTCAGGGCCAATCGTTGCGTCCACAAAGCATTATTTGCTTTGGTAATGCTCAATGAGAGAGCTCCACAAATCACAGACCTCTACTAAGTTTCTGTTATCTGAGAAATAAGAAAAAAATGAGAGAAGTGTAATGCTTAGGCCCCAATGTTATAGACAACTGTCACTGGGGGGCAACTCCTCAAGTTGAAATGATACTCACTTTTTACTAGAGCCTTAAGATCAGTTCAATCACGATGTTTAGATGCTTTCAAACGACACGCCAAAAAAACAAGAACTGGGAAGGGAGGATAAAAGACAGGAAGTTCTAGCATTCACATTACTTTTAAAGGTCTATGGTACGACAATTTTGAAAAGACTACAATCAGCTGAACGAGAAAGCCTTCTGTGGTCATCTTTCTTCCTTTGAGCTTCCCTATTTGTCTGTTTGTCGTTCCTGATGGCCAAGTGTCCTTACAAACTTTTTCGGCGGACATTCTAGTCCGGAAATGGAAACTATTCTGAGAAAGGTTTAAAACGAACAAGTTGCTGAAGAAACCACTTACAAGGCAATGAACGAGTGTCGTGAAGAGGTGTATACCACAGTCATCTCTTTACAATTTTATATTGAAGTGTTTTACAATCAATTAAGGTTAATCAACGTGTCAGAGAGTATTCTGTTCGTAGAAGGTGCGACGGTTTCCTGTAAAAAATCGATTCGTGTGCATTACTTTGTTTTTAAGTTGATACGACTAATTTTCTCGTTGTTTTCATCGCATCCGTTCAGATAGTCAACAGGCGGTTTTAGAAAATGAGCTTAATATCTTACTTTTTCACCAGGCCCCGGTTCTTCGAAGGTTGGATAAAGCTAACCACTGAATAAAACTCTATCCGGTGGATAACGCCATACGTTTTGTTATTACTTATCCGCTGGATAGCGATTTATCCGTTGCATAGCGTGATCCGCCCTTTATACAACTTGGCCCAGGCGATTAGATGAAGACCCAAATTTGTCAGTTAACAATTGGTTCATGCTTTACCGTGCAATATCGAGTTCTGGAGCACGTGGGAAGTTTGGAGAGCACGAAAGAAGCGTAAGAATTGCCCGAGGCAATAGCTGAGGGTAACTCTAGCTTCTTGAGAGCTCTCCAAACTTCCCACGTGCTCCGGAAGTCGATAGTGCACAGCAAAAAGCACGAACCAATTGTTTTATAACATAGCCGGCGGAATTGAACATCAAATCCGACGCGAAAAGCGGACAACAATATCTGAAGTGATTGTTCGCGGTAAGCGAAATATTAAGAGAAGTAAAGCGAATCGTGACGGCGCTGAGTCTCCTTTTCCGTTGTTTTTTCTCTTTTTCTGCTTCATTTAAGAACTCTAGCCCAAGCGAAAAGGTTGGAAAATTGTCTTCGTTTTGGGACTGGTGGGCCAAGTCTCTGTTTGTATCCATTATTGTCGCGAAATATATTATCTTTTCCCCGCGCTAACAATGGCCGCTCGCGCGAAAAAAAAAATTTCTGGCGAAGCGATTTTCTCACGCTATCAGCGTGTACTATCGGGATTTTGAGCGCGGTTACGTATACTGAATTTGATTGCGCGGCTCTGCTAGCTATGTTATAATAATACTTTACAGCTACAAGTATTTTTTAATTTAATAGACGGATTTACCATGTAGTCACTTTTCATGCAGGGAAAATTGGAAATCGAGGTTTTTTTCTTACCCAGGGGATTAAATAGATACACAAAAAGACTTCTTAACTGGTCAGGAGCCAAATATTTAATTATTTTATCACTGGTTTGAGGTCATAAATTATTTATTAGTTTTGTTAGCAGCCCATATGTAATGGGTTCTTGGTTTTGTGCAGCTGATGTCAGGCTCACGGTCAGCAGCAGCAAGAGAAGCAAGCGGGTAAGGAATGGCAGTGTGCAACCACCAAGGGATATTTTCCTATTATTTCGCTCGTATCTGCTGAACGAGATTCCGGAACAGACTACCTGTTTTCTGATATTTAGTGTTCATAATAAATCGGAAATATTTGCCAAGGGTCTCGGCTGTCATCTTTGTGTGCCGTTTATCTGAAAAATAAGAAGTCGTAAGTTATTTTAACCAAAATACACGAAATGACAAGTTGTTGCTGGTATTGGTTTCCGAGAATTACACTGTTCTCAATTTGCACTTGTCCAGCTTGATATAGCTAGGGGGCTTGTGTGGAACAGAATGCAGGAACATGACTTCCAACTCATCTTCATTATCGGACACCATACGCTTTGGAATATTACATTGCGTGATAAGAGAGGCGATGCACACCGTAATCGATTGACAACGAAAACGATATCCTTCATCCCAAGGGATACTGCAAGGGGAAACTTCAACCCTCACAAATTGCTCCTGATTATAGTAAGAGTTCTTACTAAACCTCTAGTTATAGCACTGAACGGTAATCTTACTTCTAATGGACATTTGTAGGGGCAGCTGCAACGACCTCGCCATTCTGGTTCTCGACGGTCCTAACTTCTACTGTGCTGACCCCATTATCGTTAATGGTGCAATCACAGTTGGTTATCCTATACGGTCCCGGAGGTGGATTTGCTCCTCCAGCATTTCCGCGTCCTTTAAGGAAGCAAGTGGTGAATAAGGCCAATTCGAAAGATGGGCTGGTTCCAACGAACATGCTGCTGCTACTGCCCGCTGGTGCTTTGGTCGCCCCTCTCCATGTGAATGAGAGGTCACGAAAAAATTGTGGCTGCAGATGAAAAGGTAAAAGAGAAACTAAGTGTTCTTCCCTTTACAATGTGGAAATTAAGGCTGTTAGCGGCAATGAGGATCACGTCAGTGTAATGCAAAACCATGTGAGGTAAACAGCTGTACGCTTTTGAATTCCACTCCTCCGTGAAATAGTTTGAACAACTGACTTCAAATTGTGCTTCCTGAACAATTACTGTATCCTTCTTTATATAAATTGTAAAGGCAACGAACTGTAAACTAAGCTAGGAAGCTATTATATTACGGCTAATTACTCTCTAAATTTAGGAGGAGACACTTTTGTGTCTTGTTTAGCCAGCCCAGAGCACAGGATCGGTATGTTCGTGCTAAAGGCCAGCTGGAAAAACAATTTCCCCTTAGTGCTTCTCTCTTTCTTTCTCTCTCTCTCTCTACCCTTTGTTTGCCTGTTTAGGAGACAAGTACAGAAGTATTTTTTAATCGAGAGGAATTGACGTAACGATCTCAACATTTAATCAGATTAGTGTGACAGGCCATTTAGCCATTCCGCCAGCTCTCAACCCTCACTGCATTGCTTCAACGCCCTATGATTGGATAAAAATTGAATTTTCCGAGAACGAAATGAACTTGCTTGTAGAGTAACTGAGCACATTATCAGCTGAACCTATGGGTTTCACAGGTAGAGTTTTTTTGCTCTAAATGAAATAACTGACGCGTTTGTTTCCAACGAAAGCCGGCAGTTCCGGTGGCTGTTTGAAACAGATGTTTGTCGTCTGAGTTGGGTTTCTCCCTTGTTCTAGGAAAAACTGGTACCAGTTGTGAAATCCATTGTAATCGTTGGCGTTTACTTTATGACCTGATAAACAAAATTGTGAACACAGAATTTGGTGAATATGGATGCACGTAACTCTGTATCATGTTAATTAAATCCGTCGAGGAATAAACGAGATTGTCAGGTAGCTAAGTGCTTTCGGAGACTGCTTAGGACCCACTGCCCTTCTATGGCGGATAATGTGCCGATAAACCACTTAAGACTATTTATTTATCTGTATTATTTTCCGCACTTACCAACAAAGACATCTCTAAAGCCATTGGTGTTTCTAAACCATAAATCTTCCAAGACGCATCTGAACTGTGGTAAGGTTGTCTGAAAGGGTATGAACTATTAGGGGTATCATCCAGTGAACGAGCAAGGCAACTGATTTAACAACAAGTGATACGAAAAGAGGTGGAAATGATCCTGAAATGTGTCTTCCAATTTCTCATGGGCCCTCAGTTTTAATTTTTTCCTTTTTTGTCGTGATAAGACGAATGACATCTTCCTTTATGCTGAGTCAATTTGAAATTTTAATACACCGTCAAGAAGAGAGGTACACTTAGTAAGGAGTAAGATCATCCTTTAGGTTTGGGGTTGTTTGTGCTTTGGTATATTTAAGAGCCAACAATGGAGCATATGGTCATAAGGTGCCTGCTCTTGCTACTGAAACAGTTGAGGAAGTATTTCAGATCATTGCAAGAACATTTGCTTTTGATAGATATTAGACGAGTGAAGAACTTGGGTTTTATTATCGACTCCGCTCTCCTCAGAATAGTTTCGTGATTTTCTTTGCGAAATTCAGTGGCGAGGGAATAATTTAACCTTTGAAATAAGCATTCGAGAAAAATCTGAGATCTCGTGTGGAATGGAACACCAATTATCTCGTTAGCTCACAATTGAGTTCTTTGTTGCTCAGTGGAAGAGCATCATACGGTAAGATCCATAGGTCTGAAGTACGAATCGTCTTAAAGGACTCACATTATTCCTTACTCCTTCAAAAAAGAATAGTTCTACAAGGCAAAGACATACCACGCCTGCAGGCACTAATCCCGCCGGCTGAGTTAATAAATAATTGAGTGCAGCCTCCATAGGTCCTCCTGGTTGGGTTACTTCAGTTATGAAGTTATTTATATGTTGCTGATTGAGAACAAACTGCACAGCTTGGTAATCAACCAATATCTCTGTTTGCAATCATAATATACATGATCAGTTAGGAATTGACCACCATTCAAACGTTTACTAACAGTAACCAAAAGAAATACTGGTATGAACTGAACCCGTTTTAAACGTTCACAAAGATGAGAGAATACTTTCATCAAATAATGTACTGCAATGCTGCTTGCACTGCATTGCTGCTTGCACTTTAAAGACTGATTTACAATCTTACGGTGTTTAATACCTCGAGATGCATCCTGATCTAAAAATGGAGTTTTTTTAAAGATGAGGAAAGGAAAGAAGACTTACAATACAAAACTACTCCACTTAGATTAAGTCACATTGTATATAGGAAGGAGAGGAGAGAGGGGCATGTCTAGATAAACTAATTTCGTACCCCATAAGTTACGTCAATATAACAAAAGACTTGTACTTTTTTGGTAAAAGAAGTTAAGGAAAACATATTAAAAATAGCTCAGTAAATTGCCAAAGAGTTGATATTTCATTAGTATTGAGCGAGGTACTAGCGTAAAAGTGCTTTTCTAAACATCTTTTTAGATGGTTTGTCTCTGGTTAATTGCGGAATATTGTTCCAAAATAATCTTTTAATAACGCTCGGGCAGAATCTTTTGAGATTAGTTTGAAATGAGAGTATGACTATTTGATTAAAAACAAACTAAAAACTACAACAAATCCACAAAATAACATTCTAGTTGTGGTAACTTGTATTGAAAGAGAAAAGTAACAATAAAAGCAAGTCGATCAGTTTCTCTTCCCCTTCCGAAACCGATTACTCATGTCAGGTTACTACTCGTGATCGTCTGGTTAAACATATTGTAGATTAATCATGTTGACGGTGAATGAATAGATATCCATCGCTATTTCCTCTCACGTAGATTTCAAAGGCTTGTTAAGACGCAGTCTCCTTTAAAGCGGTCCTGTGTTTAACAACACCGATTATCAAAAGTAGCACAAATTGCCGAGCTCGTCTTTTCACAAAATTCCAGTTTGAGGGTTTTGTTTCGTTTCGCATATTTAGATCAACTCTTCATAAGAACAAAGCACATAAGTTTTGTTTTTTTAACGGTTTTTTTCACTGAAATTTTTTTGTTTGACACTTACTTTGAAGCCACCGCCATGACCAGAAATATGCAACTTTTTATCTCGGCTCAGCGCAAAATTCCGACTTCTCCCCCACGATATTTTCATTCAGACTGGCGAAAAAAATGGGTAGAGTAGCATGGAAATATAAAAACTTGTTGTAATTTCTGCAAACTTTTAGAATAGCCGGTCAACAAATTGCGCGCAGTTTTCGAAAATTTGAACTAACAATGCACATGGAGCGGTCTCAAAGGTAAACGAAATTTATACGGCCAAATTATGATTGACACGCAATTCGAGTCCATAAAAGCTTTTTTATGACTTGCAATAAGATAAAACATCATTTAGTAAAGAAAAATCTTCACCTTGATAGAAAAAGAGAGCCGCCGAAAGTTCTAGGTGACCTATTGTTTTGTTTATCAGCCTGAATTAATGAGAAAGGGGAGAAAACTTCAGAGGCCAGGATAGCTATGACAAGATTTAGGTTTATTCAGAATATTTCATGTCGTTCATTTAGAAACTGTTCATCTTCACAGCACTTAAAGTGCAGTCCTTTCAATTCAACCCTAAGAACCCCACGAGAACTGCTTTATTGAAAGGTCCCTTCTTTTGTGTTTATAAACTATAAGTTAGCCTAAAATCGTCGGGAAAAGATATTCTTTAGAAAAAAACAAATAAACCAGATGGATTATTGATTTGCTCAAAAAAACTAGTAGCTAACTAGACAAAAAAAACACAAGTAGCTAACGATATGTGCAAAGCTCGCAACACCGATGGCACATGAATGTTTAATAGAATGGAATGGCTTTCAAACCTTCAAATCCAGGGATTTTTTTTTCGCCTCTCGCAGCGAAGAGAAAGCAAACAGATGGCAAGAAACCCTCCAGCGATGACGCTGAGCCTGACGATAGTGAAGAGCTAGCTGTAGAGTATGCCTCGCTAACAGATGAACAACTGCTCAAGAAAGCCAGTGTAACCGTACACATTACTAGCAACAACCAAAGATAAAATGGCGGATATCCTCATTATTCAAGCTTTTCGGGCCCTTTAAAAATGGTTGCCGCTTAGTAAGGCTTGTGTGCGATCATAACATTTAAGTTAGGTAGCAGCGTTCATGATAACTTTGTGAAAAAGGCGGTGTTCTAATTATGATAATCGAACCTCAATACACTTACCATTACCAAAATGTAAGACACCTTTCGAGGTTTCATGCGGGGAAATACAACCCCTGATAACTACAATAATCTCCCATATATTGTCTGGAAATTGCCATTCAGTGCCACTACAAATCCTTCGATCTCTGCTTGAGTAACAAACGAGCCCAAAAAGTGGTCCTCGCATTCTCCCCTTCAGAGGTTGTCCTTTCGTAATAGCCTGTTTTTGGATCGATTTCTCTTGGTTTGAAGCGGGGAATTTTTCTCCAAAAGCTGATTAGTTTTCCTCTTTTAAGTATGAGCAGGGGAGCCAAATATTAAGTTCTAAAGACGGCGAAAACCTCGCGCAAATCCAAGCAAAAGAACTCCCAAAAAAAGGAAATCTGTTCGCCACTTTGAAGAAAGCAATCAGGTGTGCCATCAGTGTAAGATGGGTAGGGAAAAAGCAGAAAAATAATTTGTAACTTTTGTATAATTTTTTGGAAAGTAAAAACGTATTTGTAACGACATTTCGTTCCAAACATGAAAGGTAAGTAAGCTGAATGCCGCATATGGAAAATAGAAAAACGAAGAAATGTCTATATTCAATGTCAGCTGAAGAAAATGTATTTAATTGGACATTATCGATTACGTCCGGTGAACGTTTGATACTACGGCCCGTCATTTTGGATACATCTGAACATGCGCCTGCGAGTTTATTGGCCGGCTATTCTGAAAGTCCGCCGAAACCACAACATGTTTTTATATTTCCATGCTCTCCTACCCTACTGAAGCCAGTCGAAATAAAAATATCGTGAGGAGGAAGTTGAAATTTTGGGCTGAGCCGAGATAAAAAAAACTACATATTTAGTGAAAAAAAAGTTAAAGAAACAAAACTTATGTGCTTTGTTCTTACAAAGGGTTGATCTAAATATGCGAAACGAGACAAAACCCTCAAACTAGAATTTTGATAATTGGTGTTGTTAAAAGTGGGCGTTCGAGCGCTGAAGCGATTTTCGCTCAGGGAAAAAATAATTTTGCTATATTTGAAATCGATTACTTGTGGACTAAGATAGATTCCTTGGCAAAGTTTGAAAGAAATCGATTTTTCGACCCGAAACGCACCAGACAGCTTTTGGAGAGACCACGTCTTAAAGCTCTGACTTGAATCGTAGTGCTTTTTTCTGTCAATGGTAAGCATCTTTGAAGCAAAACACAGAGAGACACCTTATTCTTTAATTACCTCGGAATCGGGCAAACTCATTAGAAGCGAGTTTTGCAGCTCCTCCTCCTCCGTTTACCACGGTGAACAACTGGTTTCCGTTGGCGACCCGGTTAACAGTTAATTCTCCAGGAACAATCAAGTTATTTACAGCATTGTTCCACATATTTTGGCAAGCGGCTCCAAGATTTACTGATCTAGAATGTAAAGGCAAATTCCTTGATAGAGGTGTCTTATAAGAAAGTCTTTACGTACAGTTAAGTTAAACCCGGTAAATAGTCAATTCAAGAGAATACGTTTCATGAACCTCTCTCTCTTCTTACACATTTGTAGAATGTTACCTTCCGACAAATGGGAAAGTGAGTAAGAAAAAGATGAAGATTTTGATATTGGCGCTCATTTCTTGGTACTCCAGATTTAAGTTTGTGACTGGCCTTGCCTTTACTGACTTCGTTTAACTAACATCCTTTCTCTCCTGGTTGCATCATCTTATCAATATTTTAATGTTTTAGATTTTGATTTTTGAGAGAGCCACCTGAACACTCTACGAGCGGTCCTCTTGACTTCTCGTCGGAAAAAAAAAGTTTTTTTTTTTTTTTTTTTGCCCACGAAAAAGGGTTTAGAGCACATGTTTGACAAATTGTTTATTTTTTCCATTTCGAAGCCAAAACGACTGGACCAAAACAAGTTTAACCGCACTCAAGGATTTTGCTGGATAGCTGGTAGTACTTCAAAGGATCCGATACGTCGACCCGGCATTCCATGACAGAAATCAGGGCTGAAATACCCCCAGCCACAACAATCTTTGCTTTCCATAAAACAAATAACCAATTTCAAAGAGGAAAATTCTCATTAAATTGAAAAGTCTTCACTCCATTCTAATAATTTTCGATTCTAATATGTCACAATAACTAGTGGTGGTTATACCCGCGAAACAAAGTCGTATAACGTGGGAACAAATTAGCAAAATCTCGTCACGCAATACATCAAGCTAGGTTTGTCCAGCTGATGGTGCCAGGGAAATGTTGAGTTTGTCGCTCAAAACCGTTGTGGTCCATAACAGCGTAATATAATTAATGATGGAAACAAATTTGCCGAAAGAATGGCAAGTTCATTGCGTTCTGTGTGCTAAATCTCGGAGAAACTGCAAGAATTCTTTTTGAGCGTAGGCACGTTGTTTTGTAAATAACATTGTAACGTATTTCAACTTGTTTATGTGTCCTTTTAAGTTGCGCAATGTCTGCAATGCAACATTTTAAGACAACTCGGCATCTATTTTCCATTCAGTTGTTATGAAAACCGAAAATCCTCAACGTAGAAGATAAACAGTTTTCAGAGTTATGCAAATGATTTTTGACACAGCGCAATTGAGCAAGTACATGGATTTGCGTTGTTTTTAAGATGTTGGTGGATGAAATTTAAAGATATATTCGCGGGTTGGAGGCAATCGATGACCTCATTGATGTATAAACTATGTACTTACATGCATGCTTTTTTAGCCCGATGAACGCCTGCATTGTGATAATTCTGTCGTACAAGTTGGTGAATTTTCTATATGAAAATTTAAGTCGAAGAGAAGGGTCTCCTCTGATCATGCTGGTATGAAAAATATTTCAAGTGAAGTTTCCATATTTTGTCTATGAACTAACTGAATACGTCTTATAACTTGTAACAAGATATAATTCCGTGAGCTATATTAATGGAGTTTCTGCGCACTGGACAAAATCTGTGAAATTTGCACTTTCGATCGCTGTCCAAACGGGTGGTCTAGCCAAAAATCATTTTTTGGCTTGTGGCGACGCAAAGAAAGAGAAGTGGAAAACAACTAAACTATTTTTGAGACATGTGTCTTAAACCCTTTTCGTGGGCAAAAAGTGAAAGAAAACCTGTTTTCGAGAGGACTGCTCATAGTGAGAGTGGCGCTTAAAATCAATTTTTTTTTCAACTTGAGTGAGTTCAGAATGTGGCTTAATTTGCATTGCACAAAAGAAAAAAGTCAGTTGTAAAGGGACGGTGGTATCACCGTAAACAACATTATTCACTAACATGTAAGTGTTTGTGTAAAAGTTCCTAAATGGGACGTAATGAATTCCAGGCTAACCATTTTGTAGCTAATCCGTCCAAATACAAAATGAAAGAAAAAAAATGTACCTCGCGACGTAAGGTAAAGTCAGCAAAATGAAAACGAAGATTTTCAAGTCCATGAAAACTCTCTTCGTACACCAGATACAGAGCTCTATGAATTGCTCGTTGATCCACCGACTATTTGGAGGTTAAATTCCTTCGCTCGGCTTAGTAACATTTTTTATGTCATCATTTTATAAATATTTAAATGCTTTGGTCCATAGCGGGAAGACTTCAGGGACTGACAAGAAACAATATTAATGCAATCCATGTAGTCACGAGGAGTAAGATGGTCTCCGCCCTTTTTAGTTTTTTTTTCTTTTTTTTTTTTGATACCTTTCATTATGTAATCCAAGCGTACAAAGATTTGTCCTTTTTTCTTTAAAATATCAACCATGAAGCCATTAAGATATCGATTACTCTTACAGTTATAGGGTTTCGCAGGTCAGTATCGCGTGTCACATTTTGGTATTTTAAAATTCCTCGACAAGGAGCAAATGCATGGTTGTCAACTGAAATATCTGCATGAAAAGGAATTTTTATGGCTTTAAAAAAATTACTTGAAAGCAAATTGGATCAACCTGAAAAAAATTGGCCTGTGTAAATTTTGATCATTTGATCTCGTCCTGCTTAGGAGGGACTCAAGTTTTTATATGTTCGGTTAGTCTCTCTTCGGGTTTTAAGTCATTTTTTTTTTTTTTTTTTTTTTTGCGATATTATTAATAATGATTTCACTAGTTCGCCTGTCTAATCTATAATTTTCTGGCCGGTGCCCAATTCACATTCGTTCATTTGTCCTGCATGGCAGCTTTTGTGGAATTTAACTTAATTAATTTTAAATATTGCAATTATCCTTTAGCTCTGTCCGCCTTCCGCCTTCCTTTTGCTTAACTACAATTTTTATTTCTCGCATCGAAAAGATGTCGGAACAAAATGGAGAAATTTTTACCTTTCCTTAATGAGATTTGTGAAGTCAACGTATTTTAATTTATCGTGTAGTTTTGTTCATAGACGGGTACCAATACCTTACTGGAAGAAGAATTTGTCATTTGAGGTTTGATCGAGAGCTAAGCGTGGTCGTCAGAAGGGGTAGGTGGTGGTATCCTTTAAGAAAATGTCAAGTCTCAAGCCCACGGGAAATGCGATTTTTGACGCCCGTAAGCCAAGTAAACTGGTGAAATGCCCCCACTCCATTACTGGTTTATCATTTTGCATGAAAATATTTCCCAGATACATTGAAACAATTGCTAGTTACAGTTTCCTGCTCAATGCTTGAGGTTTTCAGTTCTACTGATTACTTGAAGCAATTCCTAGTTTATAATTATCCTAATGAACAAAAGGGGGTAAGTTTCTGAAGAAGCTATGGTGCTGCGTCGGTGGGAGAGTATAACAGGGTAATTAATTATTACCAACTGTGTTGATTACGTAAATTGGCCCCCTTTGAGATCTAGAGTTTCAAAGCTGAAGTTTCGAGCGTTAGCCTTTCGTCAGGAAAGAGTTCGTAATCGATCTATTTCGACGTTTATTATCTACCAACAACATGGAGAATCATGCTTCGCGGTGCGAAAAAAGAAAAAGAGTTGCATGTTGATCGAATTGTGTCATGATTTCCACTGAAACAAGGAAAACGTTCCAACTTAAATTAAGAAAACGAGTTAAATGATTTTGGTGCGAACTGGTAGAGGAAAGTTTCATTCACAGTCTATTACTTTATTGCCATTTCCTCCTATTGCTCCTCCTCTGGGTGCACGTCCCCTCACTGAACAAGCAGTAAACATGGCCAGATCAAATGCTGGGCTGGTTCATCTATTGAACGTTTCTTGGATAGGCGGTGACGACCCATTCATTCTGTGGGTTCTCGACGGTCCTAAATTGTACCAGGCTCTGCGGTAGCCCTCCGGCCGGTACGTGGATGTTGCATTCACAGTCTGTTACTCTATTGCCGTTTCCTCCTATTGCTCCTCCTCCTGGCGCACGTCCCCTCAATACACAAGCAGTAAACATGGCCAAATCAAATGCTGGGCTGGTTCCAACGAACATGCTGCTGCTGCTGCCCGGTGGTACTTTGGTCGCCCCTCTCCATCTGAATAATAGCCGACGCAAAAACTTTGGCTGAAATAAAAAGGTCAAAGAGACTCTAAGTGTTCCTCTCTTTATAATTTAAAAATAAGTTACTAAGGCCAACGAAAATGACAACAGTGTCATGGAGAACCATCTGAAGAAAAAAGCCGTATGCTTGTGAATTCCACTCGTCCGTGAATTAAAAGAAAACTAACTTCATGTATACTTCCTTAAGGTTCTTGTAAAGAAAACGAACTGCAGATTAAGGTAGGATACTGCTACGTCTGATTACTCTCTAAATTTCACAGGTGCAACCGTGGTGTCTTGTTTAAACAATCCTGAGCACAGGATTGGTAGGCTCGTGCTCGTATTATTTCAGGGAGATTTTCCGCTATTGCCTTTTTTCGCTACCTTTCGTTAGCTCCGCTTAAGGAGACACATACAGAAGCATTTTTGCAGGAACATTTCCTCTGAAATATTCGAGAGGAATTTGTTCGAAACTAATTTGAAGATTTGCTCGTAAAGTCACCGAGCACATTGTATAGCTGAGCCAATGGGCTTCGCTTGAAATTACTGACCAGTCTGTTTCCCACGAAAGCCGGCTGAATGAAAGCAATGTGCGTCGTCTGGGCAGGGTTTCTTCGTTGCTCAAGGAGGAACTGGTACCAGTTGTGAAATCCATTGTAATTGTTGCCGGGCATTTGATTTCCTGATAAATAAAAACGGAAGCACAGAATTTGATGCGTATGGATACGCGTGTCCAACTTTGTACCATATTAATAAAAACGGAAGCACAGAGTTTGATGAGTATGGATACGTGTGTCCAACTTTGTACCATATTAATTGTACTGAGGAATGCAAGAGCGTGTAAAGTAGCTTAGTTCTTTCGTGGATTATCTAAGACCTCCAATCAGCTTCTCTGGCTTATCTATACGATCCATTTATCTATTTTATTTGCCGCACTTACCAACAAAAACATGTTTAAAGCCATTGCTGTTTCGAAACCATAATTTCTCTATGACGCATCTGAACTGTTCTAGGGTTGTCTGAAAGTGAAGTTAATAAACATAAAAGATATGAACGATCCAGGCAACTGATTTTAGAACAAGTGATGAAAAAGAGGTGGAGGAGATCCAACAAATTTGTCAAGTCTTCAACTTTATGGGCCTTCACGGATTTTCTTTTTTCGTCGACTCACGCTCGTGAAAAGGTGAATAACATCTTCCTTTGCGCAAATTCAACTTGACATTTTTAATACAGAGTCAAGAAGAGAGGTAGTAAGAAGTAAGATTAGGCGTTGTTTATTGCTTCGATATATTTAAAGGCCAAAAAAGGTCATCAGGTGCCTGCTCTTGCTACTGAAACGGTACCGTTGAGAAAATACACACAAATAATTTTGGATCATTGCAAGATCATTTGTATTTGGTAGATCTGAGCAATGAAAAATGTGGTCCCTTTTTTGCAGGGACAAAGAGGAAAATCTGAGATCTCGTGTGGAATGGAACACCAATTATCTTGCTAGCTCACAATTGAGTTCTCTGTTACTCAGTGGAAGAGCATCATACGGTAAGATCCATAGGGCTGAAGTTTGAATCGTCTTGAATGACTCACATGTTCAGGACATATGGATAGCTTACTCCTTCAAAAAAGGAATAGTTCTATAAGTTATAGACATACCACGCCTTGAGGCAATGATCCTGGCTGAGCTGATAAATAATTGAGTGCAGCCTCCATAGGTCCTCCCGGTTGGGTTACCGCAGTTATGAAGTCATTTACATGTTGCTGATTGAGAACAAACGGCACTGCTTGGTAATCGACCAATATGTCTGTTTGGAATCATAATATACATGATCAGTTATGAATCAAAAATTGGCAATTTAAAAGTCTTTTTGCTAATATCAATCTTATTTCTCGGCTGTTTTTGCCTAGTTCTTCCTACTCTACAAATTAGTCACTACTAATGACCATCTTTTTAAAGAGCAGGGCGATATCGTAGATGAACTATGTCTACAGTGGATGAATATATATCCATCGTTATTTCCCCTCTGGACGTAGATTTCCAAGGCTTACTAAAGCTCTGAATTGAATCAAAACACAGCTGACAGACACCTTATTCTTTAATTACCTTCGAATCGGGTAAACACGTTAGAAGCGAGTTTTGCAACTCCTCCTGCTCCTGGAACCACGGTGAACAACGGGTTTGCATTGTTGACCGCATTAACCGTTAATTCTGCAGGAATATCCAAGTTATTTCCAGCATTGTTCCACATATTTTGGCAAGCGGCTCCAAGATTTACTGATCTGCAATGTGAAAAAGCAAATTCTTACATAGACGTGTTCCAGAGGAAATTCTTTACGAACATTTGTACTAAATTTTACTTTACGAACAGTGTACTAAATGCTAAGAGAGGATGTTTTATGAACCTCTCTCTTCTACAAAATTTGTAGAATAAGCGATCTTGCGATGAATAGGAAAGTGAGTAGGAAAAAGAAGAAGACTTGGATATTGGCGCTTATTTCTGGGTACAATACGCCCTTAAGAACTGGCCGTGACTTTATTGACTTTCCTAAAACTGAAATTCTTACTCTCTTTGTTGCAATGAATTTTTTAGAGAGGCCACTTATTAGCTGAAAACCTTTTTTCAAAACCAAACTGTGTTCAGAATGTGTTTTACTTCGTACTGCATTAAGAAGAAAGATATCACCTTAAACAACATGAGGAAGTTTAAGAAAACCCCGACAGCAATAGCAACGGGAACGTCAGTAAGCAAAAGGTTTAATGAGTAGAAAGATGGCTGTGCACGTGCGTTATAAATGTTTGTAAATTTCTTTGCGTACTCTGCAAAACAACAAGGTGAAAGGATCAATTTTGCGTTTTCCAGAGAACGTGAACGACAATGGCAACTAATTGAAATATCTATTTCTAATTAAACGCTGTATTCCACATTCAGTTTCGAGATAGTTTTGACAGTGAAAAACAAACGAATTGACTTTAGAGTATCGCGAGATTCGAAGGTAAAAAATGATTCTATCTTTTAACCGACGTTGTTCACGGCGTCGCTGTCGTCGTTTCTTAAACTCCCTATTATTATTTACCTTGAGACATGAGGAAAAGTCAGCAAAAAGATGACAAAGATTTTCATGTTCATGAAAAATCTCTTCATACACCAAGTATACATCTTTGGGATATGTTCGTCGACCCAGTGGTTTTTAATTGGAGGTTAAATTCCTACGCTCTTAACACTTTTTATGTGATCATTTCATGATTATTTAAATGCTTCGGTCCATAGCAGGAGGTCTTCGGGAAATGACATGAAAGTATTTAAAATCAATCCAATGTAAGCCACTAAAGTATCATTTACTTAGAAATATATAGACACACCTGTTTTCAAAATCGTTTCAATTTGAAAATATATTTTAAACAAATGTATAGTAATTTTTTGTTTTCTTGTTAAAAAGTGTGTCTTTTTGATGAAAAAATGAAAATTTATTGTATATGTAAGTGATACATACATTTGCATAAACATTTATTGAAATAAGCTCTCGTCCAAAAACATCAACCCAGAGGCGATAAAGATATCGATTGACTTGAAGCGCTTAAATTTGGATTCTCTCAGCAATCCAAGGGTGAAAAGATTTGTCCTTTTAGTTTCAAATATCAACGATAATTATAGCCATTAAGATATCGATTACTTTCACAGTCATTGGGTTTCACATGTCCTTATCACATGTCATTTTATCGATCCAATGGTATTTTGAGGTTCATCGACAAAGGAAAAATAGTTACTAACATGAACATGTCCAAAGAAAAAAAAAATCATTCCCAGGCGTCTTAGGTGATACCTAAATACACTTGGGATCAACTTAAAAAAAAACGTGGAATGCTGTAAATATCGATCTTTTGACCCCATGACGTTTACCTGCGGCTTTTGTATTTTTCTCGTTAGTTTCTATTCGGCCTTGAAGTCATTTCGTTTTGCGATATTCTTGATAGTTATTTTGTTTGGCTAGTAACTACCACCATTTTACTGAAAAATTAAGACTCTTCAAGAAAATAAAGTGAGTCAATGAAGGAACTAGTCAACAGACACTGAATGAAGGCGCGAGAACAAAAATAGTTCAATGCCCTCTTTACTGTTCTACAGTTGTCGCGTTGTCACCTTTCTGATGCGATTTACTTTCGTCAAGCAACATGGATGAAAATGCAGGTTACACGCTTGGTACTGTGTGAGTAAAGCAGTAGACCCTTCTTTGAGATGTTCCTTATGCCGTCCTTAAGGTCACTCTCTCTACAGGTATGGCAGGTCTTAGCGAAAAATTAGTTTGGTGTGTTGCTTCACGAAAAAAAATCGCTGCTGTATTTGCACTAATTTTACTACGATTGGTGCTAAGAACCAAACCCTGTTCCCGGGCAATAAGCTTTTCACAAGCACGTCGCAACGACTTGCACCCTGTGACTCGAGGGATAGTTTCATACAGTTATAAGTTGTAATAGTTTCAACATTTTTTTTAATGAAATGTCAGAGCCACAAGAATATCATATAGTGAGGAATGTACGTACAGTGTAACTTTTGCAAAGCCATTTATTGAAATAAACTTTAAACAGAATTTACTTAGGAACAAAATATAAACCCTGGTGATGCATTGAGGTTGACTAAGAACAAGCACTTAAAGTTTCTTTCTTTTAGCAATCCAAGCGTGAAAAGACTTGTCCTTTTAGTTTTAAATATCAACGATAATTATAGCCATTAAGATATCGATTACTTTCACAGTCATTGGGTTTCACATGTCCTTATCGCGTGTCATTTTATCGATCCAATGGTATTTTGAAGTTTATCGACAAAGGGAAAATAGTTTCCAACATTAATATCTCCATCACTAAACAATTATTTCCAAGTTTCCTCGATGATACCCAAATACAATTGGGATCGATTAAAAAAAAAAGGTGGGTGTTGCAAATATCGATCGTTTGACCCCATAATGTTTACCTGCGGCTTTTGTATTTTTTGCGTTAGTTTCTCTTCGCCTTTGAAATTATTTCGTTTTGCAATATTCTTGATAGTTATTTGACCAGTTTGGCTAGTAATTACTACCATTTTATTTAAAAAAATTAAGACTTTTCAAGAAAATAAAGGAACTAGTCAATGGACGATGAATGAAGGCGCGAGAACATAAATATTTCAATGTCCTCTTTACTGTTCTACAGTTGTCACGTTGTCACCTCTTTCCTTCGATTTACTTTTGTCAATCAGCATGGATGATATTGCAGGTTACACACTTGGTACTGTGTGAGTACTACTACTACCACGCTAAGCAACAGGTATGACAGGTCTTGGCGAAAAAAACCTTTTGGTATGTTGCTTCACGAAAAAAAAAACCACTGCTGTATTTGCACCAATCTGACTACGATTTGTGCCGAGAACCAAACCCTGTTTCCGGGTAATAAGCTTTTCACAAGCACGTCGCAACGACTTACGCCCCGTGACTCGAGGAACAGTGAAATACAGTTATAAGTTGTAAATAAATAGTTTCAATATTCTTTTTTTTATGAAATGTCAGCCACTAGAATATCATACAGCGAGGAATGTGTGTACAATGTAGCCTTTGTATAGCCATTTATTGAAACAAACTTTAAATAGAATTTATTTAGGAACAAAATATAAACCCTTGTGATGCACTGAGATATCGATTGACTAAGAACATGCACTTACATTTTCTTTCTCTTGGCAATCCAAGCGTGAAAAGACTTGTCCTTTTAGTTTTAAATATCAACGATAATTATAGCCATTAAGATATCGATTACTTTCACAGTCATTGGGTTTCGCATGTCCTTATCACATGTCATTTTATCGATCCAATGGTATTTTTAAGTTTATCGACAAAGGGAAAAAAGTTACCAACATAAATATCTTCACCACAAAACAATTATTCCCAGGCTTTCTTGGTGAGACCTAAACACAATTTAGGATCAACTTAAAAAAAAAGTGGTATGTTGTAAATATCGACCGTTTGACCCCATAATGTTTACCTGCAGCTTTTGTATTTTTTTGCTAGTTTCACTTCGCCTTTCGTTTTGCGATATTCTTGATAATTATTTGACTAGTTTGGCTGGTATCTATACACCTGGTACTGCGTGAGTAGAGCAGTATACCGTATTTTGAGATGTTCCTTATGCCGTCCTGAAGGTCGCTCTCTACACTAAGCAACAGGTATGAACAAGAAACACGTGTTTTGCTTTACGAAAAAGTCGCTGCTGTATTTGCACCAATCTGACTACGATTTGAGCCGCGAAGCAAACCCTTTTTCTAAATACGACTTGCAACGACTTGCACCCAGTCAAATGAGCTGAACACTGATAAAAATTTTGCCAGGATAGTATTACTCTGTAACGATTATGAATGACATATTCTGCAATGAAATTTGGTTGTTTCACGATAAAATTTACCTGTTCCCCGGCTATGACTCCCCTTCCCCTTGGTGGCTAATTGGTAGTCAATTTTCTAAAGTCCCTCTTTATGGTGACAACTGATCTCCCCATAGTTCCCTTGGATACCATGTGATCTCCACCCAACCCACCCCACCCCACCCCACCCCTTGTGGTCCTTTACCTCATTGGTTCATAAACGAATTCTCTGTTGTCCATTGGAAGGGCGTCAAGATCAAAAGTTCTAAAGTTCGACTCTTCTTGAAGGACTAACATGTTCAGGACACATGAATAACATATTTCTCTATTACAAGAAGTGGTCTACACATACCACGCCTGGGGGCAATAATCCCTTCTGCTTTAAATAATCGAATGCCGCCTGCATAGGTCCACCTGGTTGGGTTACCGCAGTTATGAAGGCATCTATATGTTGCTGAGTGGGAGCAGGCCGCACAGCTCGGTAATCGCCCATCAACACTGTTTAGAATTATAGAAAACATTTACAATTTTCCACCTGACTCAACGGCGTTTTTTCAAAACATCAAAATCTAGGGGATTTTTCATTTTTTTTAGATTGAGACTTCTTTTTCTCTGAAAGCGTACGTGATCTCGATTTTAAGCTAAGAAGCAGGGAACGTAATAATTGCTGTAAATCTTTGTCATAATACTACACAAACCTGAGTTACCTTGATGAATTATAACAATCCCGGCGCAACTTTGCACTGCCAATCAATTTCCCGGTTATTTTAGCCTATAGACAAGATTTCTCTGTAAAGTGTTTTTTTTTAAGTCGTAATTTTATTAAAAAAAAAAAGGGAAAAACGTTTACAATTGATGCATTTTTGGCCCACACAGTCCATCCTTGAGTTTTATTTCCGCTGTAGAAATAAATTACTTACAATAGGTTGGTTATTAAGCAGAGCGATATTGTAGACCAACAATGTCTTCAGTGGATCGCTAGTGATAAAACTCAATTGCATGACGAGCTTTGCTCACCAAAAGAATTTATGCAAATGAGGCTGAGGCGGATCTGAGATCCGCCTGGCAATTATTAACTGTAAGAGAAGAACTGACTTCGCGCCCACAGAACGACCGAGGTGTTGCGGATGAATTTTCAGTAATTACTTTTTTGGCACTTTTCGGCGTCCAAATTGCATGGCGAGAGTAACCCAAAACCTTAAAATAGACCCTTCTTGTCACAATACGAATGTTTTCCAGATAGGGACACGCGTTAATGTCAGCTTCACTCGCGTGATTGCATTTTTCAAGGTTAAACCCTCGCGTGGAACTAACAACTCAAGTTTACTTTAAAGCGCTCAATGTAAGCCAAAGAAATTTTATAATTTAACTACATGATCGAAATTTTGTTTACGAAGGATAATAATGGATCGACATCAACCTGGAGCGTCAGCTTCACTCGCGGGGAGTCAACCATTTTCTCTTGCCCCTTGCGCAACATAGAATGCAAATTTGCTGACCCACTCTATTGATACACACAACTCGACAGTCGTTAAGAGTTGAAAAAGATGAAGTTTTTTACCAAAACCATGTATTTCCGATTTTTAAACGCTAACAAAAATGTAGTAATGGTATGTCCACTCCGGAAAATAATACCGCAAGCAAAAGCAAGCCCTAACCGCGATGAGAACACTCATGGATCACACAGCGCAACAGACCTCATTTTGTTTGTTTGTTTGGGTTTTTTCCGATAATATTGGCCTGTAAAGAAATATATAACGGATTTTTTTTGCACCCTCCGCCGCAACCATATAATTGGCTAAATGCTAAGGGAGTAATATACTTTAAAGAGATCATTAAAGGAGTAAAATCTTTAAAAAAATTTTCCTGCTGGGGTTTCCTGGCGCGCCACTGCGAAGACACCGAACCTCTTGTAAAAGGCTGCGAGAAAATAAAAAAGGACAAGTAGAAAAAGTTCTTTACTCACAAATCTCTTTTACAATCTATGACCGATTTTACATCTCGTGTCTGAAGCAAGAGTTGGAAATGTAAATACAATTTCATATGTTACGAGAAGAGGTATTTTACTCGTTGGTAATTTTATTCCTAAACTGGTTATTTATTTTTAATTGAAACATCACGGGATTTGAGGACAGACACCATCAAGGCAAACACAACATCGACGTAAAAATTACCAGTCAACGGAACGTGCACTTATTTGGTTAGTCATCTCAACAGGAAAACTATCTTTTTTTATGAAAACAAACATTGCTTTTTCATCACGACTTTTCGCGGTTAACGTTCAATGAAATCTGCAAAGGAAAAAAAATTAAGACAAGTAAATTTAATTATGTCGCAATTCATACTCAAAATTAGTTTGTCATAAGATGAAAACACACAGTCTAAATTGAAACAACTCCCAAAGAGAGACAGAACCAAATAAAAAAAGGAACGATTTTGCCTTCAGATAACAACAGTCCAAATAGAACTGACTACCCAAGAGAGACAGAACCAGGTGAAAAAAAGGGAAAGGTTCTGCCTTCAGATAACAACAGCCCAAATAGGACTTACTACCCAAGAGAGACAGAACCAGGTGAAAAAAAGGGAAAGGTTCTGCCTTCAGATAACAACAGCCCAAATAGGACTGACTACCCAAGAGAGACAGAACCAGGTGAAAAAAAAAAAGGAAAGGTTCTGCCTTCAGATAACAACAGCCCAAATAGGACTGACTACCCAAGAGAGACAGAACCAGGTGAAAAAAGGGAAAGGTTCTGCCTTCAGATAACAACAGCCCAAATAGGACTGACTACCCAAGAGAGACAGAACCAGGTGAAAAAAAGGGAAAGGTTCTGCCTTCAGATAACTACAGCCCAAATAGGACTGACTACCCAAGAGAGACAGAACCAGGTGAAAAAAAGGGAAAGGTTTTGCCTTCAGATAACTACAGCCCAAATAGGACTGACTACCCAAGAGAGACAGAACCAGGTGGAAAAAAGGGAAAGGTTCTGCCTTCAGATAACAACAGCCCAAATAGGACTGACTACCCAAGAGAGACAGAACCAGGTGGAAAAAAAAGGAAAGGTTCTGCCTTCAGATAACAACAGCCCAAACAGGACTGACTACCCAAGAGAGACAGAACCAGGTGAAAAAAAAAAGGAAAGGTTCTGCCTTCAGAAAACAACAACTCACAAACGAATGACAAAACCGGGAAAAAAATTAAAAAATGAAGGTTCTTCCCTCACGGAGATAAGTCAGGGAACTAAAGACTGATTACCCGAGAGAGTGGGTAAGAAATAACAAAAGAACGAGAGCATCTTTAGGATTCTACTTTCGAAACTGCGAAATAGTACAGTACGATTAGTAAGAAAACACACTAACCTGCTAAGAGTGCGTCATCTTATAGGGAAGGAATATTTGAGCTCTGATGTCAGGGTTCATTCCGTAATTAGTTCATCTGGCTCATGTTAGGTTTCAACAGTTGGATAATACACCATGTAATTTTAAGCATCTGTCACCTGACTATCACAGAAATAATTCCTTCTCTTGCTTCGAAAGCACAGAAGTAAAGGTAAACCTTGCTTTGTTGATTAAATGGTTTGGGCATCATCATTTTCCGCTCAAAGGTTATTAAGCAGCGAGATTTATCGCGCGTCATCATATAGCTCTAGACAGAAATTATCAGGCATACAACCTTACCTAAAAGCCAAATTAGACAGGCCAGCGAGTAGAATTTCTTCCTCGCGAAGTAATACACAGTTAAGACCTTACCTTAAGGAAAGAACGATGGCCCCTTTTCGCAGATACCGCCGAATACACTCGTACCTTGGCACAGAATTTTCGCGGGATAAGTTCCCGCGCTTACCTGATGATTGGGACTTACTAAAATGATATTTTATACTGAAAGAGCTCCTTAGTATGGACGCCAGAAAAGTATTATCAAAATATTTACCCAATCGTTTCAAGTGTTAAATGATACTCTTGTATCTCCAGAACATACTGCAGTCGAAATCTCTCTTGAAAACAAGGTCCTTACCGAGCGGCTCACCGGCCTCCATGCTGACTTAGAGTCAAAGGTCTGATCAGAGTGAAATATAAGTTGGCTAACACAATTTAATTTTGGTATTGTCGTGACAGAACAGATAATCGCTCTTTGCGTCACAAACCAATAGATCTGTAGATCACGGACAAAACATGCTGGGTACAACAACTGTTACTTGATAGTCATGTCACGCACTACAACCAGGCTATCCTCAAATGCCATGACACACTACGGCTTAGCTAAGCTGTTCTTATCGCTGAATCATTCTACAATTATGAAAATTGCCATTCACGTCATGAATGCGTAGTTATTTCTAAAGAGAAAATTGTGCAAAAGAGTCCTAAATTTACGTAGCACTCCTAACGCGCAAGCCGCGCGGATCCTCGCGCCTGTTTACATTTTAATTGTTAACTTCAATTAATTTCACGCTCGAAGCCAAACACCTCGCTTTCACTTGCTAATTGAGCCCTCTCGCTTTACTTTGACAAGCCTATGGATCATTTTACGCATCCCTGATGTGAATTCTTTTCTTGAGCAAAGCTCGTCATGGTGCCAAAGTATCAATCGCTAGTGATAAAACTTAATCGTTAGTGCTAGTGTCGATTTTTTAACCGATCAAATCTTACTTACTTTCTTGAAATCTAATAAGGAACATTGAAATGACAATAAAGGCAAAGACAGACCGGCACGGACTACCCATGTGGCTTTTGTGGTCGCGTCGCATAATCGCCTTTAAATTATATCTTTGCTCTCCCTTTTTATAAGAGACAAATAGCGATTGATATTTTTGGCACAAATGGCTCCCCATAGATTTTCACTTGTCAGTGGTAAGTGGCTTTGAAACAAAAGATACCAAAGAAACCTTAAATACCTTTGAATCGTTGAAATTCAGGAGATCTGACTTTTCCAGCTCCCGCTGAAAGCACCTTAAACAACGGATTTGCGTTGTTCACCGCATCAACTTTTAATTCGTGAGGAACCACCAAGTTATTTCCTGCGTTGTCCCACATATTTTGGCAGGCGGGATGAATATTTTCTAATCTGAAGTATAAAAGACAAATTCTTTGGATGAAGTGCCGAAAAAAATATTTTTAACCAACTTTCAGGAATAGAACTTCTAGAAATTGTTAAATCAGTTAAATTGAATATTGAACTCTAAGGCAACGCATATGATGAGTTCTTCTTGAGAGATGTTAGATTAAGTTACCCGTTGGAAAATGAGGTGAGTAAGATACAGATGAAGACTTCGATATCGGCTCTCATTTCCTTGGCACTCCAGATACACGCGAGAAAGAAATGTCCTTGCCTTCACTGACTCTTATGAAAATGAAATTCCTACTCCGCTGTTTGCAATGTTATAGTCTCGTCATTTTATTAATATTTAAATGGTTTGGTGCGCTGTAAAATGAAAAGTCACTGAGAAATGACATAAAATAAACAGCCTTTAATAAGTTACCCTACAATTCAAATACATGTAGCTTTCACCCTTGGTAAAATAACCAACCATAGATATCGATTGTCTATGGACATAGGACCCTTCATCAACTATGCATTTCTCCCACAGACCGCAATGACCCCTTTGTTCGTTTGTTTGTCTTGAAGTAACTACCAAAGCAGTTATAATATCGAGATGGAATACGCAGCCTTTCGTTAGCCATGAACTAAAACGAGCACCACTGCATATTGATTAAATGGAAGGATATAACAACTTTGGCATGTTCAAAGTCACATTTTTCTCATATAAACACGTTTTAACGGAAAACAAAGTACGGATAATACGATCTACTTACCATCTAGGTATTTTATTTTAGTGTCATACCCTAGCTTGGGCAGGTATTCCTTATTTTTTGTGACAGTGTTACAGGGTAGTTGGTAGTCACCCACTAACTGTGATCGAAAAGTGAAGTTTCCATGTTAAAAAGATGTCACATTTCTATGACCCATACAACAGTGCTAGGACTGGTTACACGATGTAAATTCAAGTTCGTTGTTCACTACTTTTCGTTTATCTTACTCTTGTTAAGTCGAATGAAAACAAAAGACGGCGATCAGTGCGGCACAAATGTACATCCTTATGATTACTGCAGGGCTCAGCAGTCTCTGAATATTTTTGAACAGATTGTTTATCCCCCTTCATAACCTTTCAACTTTATTCATTAATATTCAAGTAAGTAGCTTTTGGCAAATTTTGATCTGATTTTCAAGATTTCGCTAGTGGGCAAAATTACGAAATTGATTCAAACTCTTTGGTTTAAGTAACATAATCCATGTAAAAGTTGACCGTGAAGCCACGCTACAGGCTCGCTCTTTCTAGTGTGAAAATGTACACACTAGTGTCCGAATTATAGACACTAGTGTCTTAGTTTAAACATAGGAAGCCTATTTTTACGACAATAATTTCCGAATTTAGAACTCTGTGAAAATTTAGAACTCTGTGAAAATTCGGGTATTAGTCTCTAAAATCGGACTCAAGTGAAAACGGACACACTTCGTAACAAATGGAAAGGTGATTAAGAAACAGAAGTAGACTTCGATATCGGCTCTTATTTCCTTGGAACACGAGATATACGCGAGTGAGAACTGTCCTTGCCTTCACTGACTCTTATGAAAATAAAATTCCTACTCTGTTGTTTGAGATGTTAGTCTCGTCATTTTATTAATATTTAAATGGTTTGGTGCGCTGTAAAATGAAAAGTCACCGAGAAATGACATAAAATAATAAGCCTTTAATAAGTTACCCTACAATTCAAATACATGTAGCTTTTACCCTTGGTAAAATAACCAACCATAAATATCGATTGACTATAAACATAGGTCCTTTCATCAACTATGCATTTCTACCATAGACTGTAATGACCCCTTGTTCGTTCGTTTGTCTTGAAGTAACTGCTAAAGCAGCTATGATATCGAGAGGGAATAAGCAGCCTTTCGTTAACCATAAACTAAAACGAGCACTACTACATATTGATTAAATGGAAGGATATGACAACTTTGGTATGTTCAGTCACATTTTCCCACATAGACACGTTTTTAACGGAAAACGAAGTACGGATAATACGATTTACTTATCATCTGGGGGTTTTATTTTAGTTTCACACTCTAGCACTCTAGCTTGTGCAGGTATTCTACATTTTTTTTAACAGTGTCACAAGACAGTTGGTAGTCACCCACTGACTGTGACCGAAAAGCAAAGTTTCCATGTCAAAAAAATGTCACATTACAGGACTGGTTGCATGGTGTAAATTCAAGTTCCTCGTTAATTACTTTTCGTTTATCCTACTCCTTTTAAGTCGAATGAAAACGAAAGAGGCGATCAGTTCGGCACAAATGTACATCCTTATGATTATTACAGGGCTCAGCAGTCTCTGAATATTTTTCAATAGACTGTTTATCCCCCTTCATAACCTTTCAACTTTATTCATTAATATTTAAGTAAGTAGCTTTTGGCTGAAGTTTGGTCAGATTTTCAAGATTTCGTTCGTTGGAAAAATTACGAAATTGATTCAAACTCTTTGGTTTAGGTCATAATCGTGTAAAAGTTGAAAAGTCACGCGACAGGATCGCTCTTTCTAGTGTCAGAATTTTAGACACTAGTGTCTTAGTTAAAAGATAGGTAGCCTTTTTTTGAGACAATAATTACCGAATTTGGACCCTAGTCTCTGAAATCAGACACTAGGGTCTAAAATCGAATACTTGTGTAAATTCGAGTACTAGTTTCTTAATTCGGACTCAAGTGAAACGGATAATAGTGTATAAAATCAGACACTACTGTCTTAAATCGGACTTTAGAGTCTAAAATCAGACACTAGCGTCTAAAATCAGACGCTATGACTAAAATAGGATACAACTGTCTAAAATCGGACGTCTTTATTTAATTTCGGACCGTACTGCCCGATTTTTGACACTGTTGTCAGATTTTTTACACCAGTTACTGATTTTTCACGCTGCCGGTGTCCCAGTTTTGAATTTAGAGTCTTTGTAACCAAAAGGGGGATATTAAACAATATTAAACACTGTTGAACAATATGTATCCCTTATAGTGGCAGAGTTTAGCCAACCACACAAAACTCAGGCCCGACAATTTATTCAACTATTACACTAGACTTTTTATTTAAGAAAGGATGACACGTAACATTTTAGTTTTCATTGAACTTCACTTGGGGAAAATATCGTACTTGTTATGGTTCATTTTTTTCCGAATATCACATATCAATAAACAAAGAGATCGGCAATAACATGTTTTCATCGCAGCCAACTCAAAGGATTGTTGAATTTTTCTCTATAAAATAAAAGAACTCACAAAAGGTTTTGAACTGAGCTATTCCATGATGTCATTCTCAGAAATTTGTTACACATTTCCCTGGCGCTAAATCTAAAATCTTACCTGTTAAATTTTATATCTACAAATAAGAAAACATGACAATTTGTGATAACCATCTTAGCTAAAAGTATTGTAATATGAATACGAGATAAAAACTAAAATTAATGTTAAATGATTATGAATATGAGATAAATACTTTTGTTAGATCTTTTGAATTTCTTGAGGTATTTCAAATACTAGCTCAAACAGAATTTATTCATACACTACATAACATTAATTTACATAAGACATTTTTAAAGCTACCTAACTATATAAGATTTTGTAGTTGACATTTATTCGGGTGATGTAAACCAATCTTTGACAACAACCATCTCAAGCTTGATGTATAAAGGAAATTACACTTCACATACGTTCAGCTCAGGGCCAGTCACTGCCATTCACAAAGCATGATTTGCTTTGGTAATGCTCAATGAGAGAGCTCCACAAATCACAGACCTCCAGTAAGTTTTTGTTACCTGAGAAATACGAAAAAAATGAGAGAAATGTAAAAAATCTTTGTGACCAGTGAACTACTTAAGTCCATATGATAGACAACTGTCACTGGGTTACAAATCGTCAAGTTGAAATGATACACAATCATATACACAATATATTTTTATTTTTTCGTGTCGGATTTTTTTTTTTTTTTACCAGAGCCCAGTAAGGTCAGTTCAATCACGATGTTTAGATGCTTTTAACGACTCGCGAAAGTAACAAGAACGGGGAAGGAGGATAAAAGACAGGAAGTTCCAGCATTCACATTACTTCTTTAAGGTCTATGGTTCGAAAATTTCACAAAGACTACAATCAGCTGAACGTGTTCGTTAGTTATAATCAGCAAAGCAAATCCGTTTCTTGCCACATCATATTGTCCACACATATTACGTAACCCAAGCTCCTTAAAAAGATGTTTTTCTAATCCCACTAACCAATAATACACAGTCCTTGTTTCGCTCTAGTCAGCGCAACATTCATCTGATGTTCGTCAGTGACAAAGCCCAAGTTCTCCGTAGCCATCTCCCGGTGGGTTCGTAATCAATCTGGGAGTCTGGTAATGACCGGACAAGTGATATGATCACGAACTCATTTTCACTACCTGAAAATAGAGCAAAGTAGATCGCTAGTAAACTTTCACTTATAATCATTATCATCTTCGTTGCTGTAGCTTTCATCGTCATCATCATTATTATTGCTATTATCACCATCACTATCATCAATAATCCACACTAGCGATATATTAGGAAAGCCTTTCTGATTGGTTGACCAGCTACTTAGTGGCTTGTGTGGATTCCACGACAAACGTCCTGGCTGATGGTTTCCTAATTTTCTTGCGCACTGTTTTTCCTGGGCTCTGTTTCATTGTTTTCAATGCGCCTTGCACTTTGTTAATTGTGTGCTCTATTTGATTGCTTTGTCACTCTTTTCAGTGAACTTATGGCAGATTTCTCGTTGTAGTTAATTTAATTCCCTCAGCAGCCATTCACGCACTCTTCCCCATTACTTCTTACCCAGGTTTACCTTGGCTTTTAACAATTGAAGTTACGTTCACGTTGGTTAAACCCTCGTGTATGAGGTCTTGTCGAATAACATGGCACTGCGCGCGGTATGGGCTGAGAACAAGAACTTGATCTCCTCTGTCTCTCGACTCATCATTTTCTCTTCCTTTCACGCCAAGTTTAAGCAATTTTTTGACCACGGCGACCTAAAATGAAAACGTACACTCGTGTTCTCTACGTAAAATTCGACTCTTTTGCGATTTCCTTTTTAAAAATTTCTCATTCTCTTGGATTATTATTCAAAAGCTTTAGGTTACAATGGTAAAAGAACGGCTATATACAGTTAATTGGTTGGGCGCGTATCTTGGATTATTATTCAAAAGCTTTAGGTTACAATAGCAAAAGAACGGCTGTATACAGTTAATTGGTTGGAGTGAAAGCGTGACAGAAGCAGCTGCATTCTCTTTGAGGTATTCTACGTCTCGAAAACGTCTGTGCTTACGTAAGAAACCATGAAATAACAGTTGGCTAATGTAATACAAATTGATAGAGATAAGAATAAACTGAAAAAGGAAAGAATATGGTTGAGAAGATAAATACGGATTACAACTATACGACTGTAACTTTACGACGCCAGGCCATGAAGATCATAGTCATCATCGTTATTAACATACCACTTTGTCTTTCTCCTTCATGTTACTCTTTGATCGTTCATTGCCTTCTTCAGTTGTCACTACAAGCTCCTCCTCCTCGCCGACCACGTGACAAAATACAAGGGGTGTGTAATTGTCACCTTTATGCGACGGCCAGAAATTTAAAAAACTCCTGCCGTATGTGGTCTGACTTAGTTTGTCTGTGACGCACTTTGACGTGACTAATTGTCCATCATAAAACTGCCTGGAAGGGAATTCACAAATATCTGGATGCTGAAAGACAAAAGTTGTTTGCAAGCAGCTTTATTAAAATTGTGTATTATGATGAGTTTAAGGCAAAATATTGATCGATGTTAAGGTTAGACCTCGATTGTGGTAAGGCTAATTTTCAACCAAAGAAGTGCATACCGGCTGGCCAAAAGTTAAGATGCATGATGATGACTCGCATCTAAGATCTCAAGAAGTTTTCAGCAAAGCTCTCCGTCTAAAAAACCCCCCACACACTTCTCCCTATTGTGGGGTTTCTTTACGAGGATATACGGGTCTCTATGAAGCCCCTTCCAACAAAGTTTCGTCAAATATTAATGACACTTACGCTTTCAACGTCTTACCATTCTGTACTGTTCCTTAAGCATGAGAGCCCGACTGGCATATCGCTCAAACATGGATGTACTCAGCCCAAGTGACTTCGCCAATCTGTTCTTTACAATTGGCTGAAGTTGCATATGGTCTCCGATTAGAACTACTTGTCTTGCCGATTCTGAACTCACAATTGGAATGAGAGTTTCTGGCTCCAGACACATTCCGCATTCGTCCACAATGCACTGAATGACGTTTTCGCAGACTTGCTCCATTCTTTTGCTTCCAGCCGCAGAACAGGTACAAAGGACAATGCGTCCAAATTTTTTAATTGCCCATTGCTCAGCTTTCTTTATGAGCTATGATTGAAGTAATCAAGAAGTATATTTATTGAGTACGCTCAACTTATTCCTCCCTTGCATGTTTCATAAGTGCAGAAATTTTTCTTGCTTATCAAAAACACTAATTTGTCGAATTCAGACGTCAGTTTCCGCACTGACTAGTCTAATTGCTTCAATTAACGTAATGTTCAACCCAAAAAAGATCTATCTTCTTGTCTGTATATAAAATCATAAAATGCATGGAACTTTTTGAAAAAACCAACGATAACTCAATAAAATCAATGACATCTCTTGCACTTGCTAGATCATAAAAACCCCGGAGTTATGGGAGCTAAATAAAATTGTACCTTTTGGTACCGTTATTGATTTTTTAATATTGATTTCCTCAAACCTCGCGATATTCCGAGACTGTTGCTTCATCCACAACTTGCTTCTTTTTTTTCTTTTGGGCAAACATCTTTTCAAACTTTCTTAGGTCTTCGGCAAACGGCGACTTTTTTCCCTTTTCCTTTTTCGTCCGTCTGATAACGTGATGCAATGCGATGCCTCTCAGTTTCTTAGGTACTCTCATCTCTTCTTTGCTGCCAATCGTTCGAGATGATTTCACTTCATTCGGTAGTGGAAATATTTTTTGCTCGATGACTTTGCCGTATACTCGAAGGATCTTTGATTTAAGGCCTTTGATCTTTATCAGGTGCTCTTCAAGAGAAAGCAGTATTTAAGTATATAAAGCGCTCAACAAAAAAAAGCATGCATGTTTCAGTGAAAATTACTCATTAAAATTACATCCCTTACTTCACACGTTCACACTGGACCTCTCGAAGAAGCTCAAATCCCATACGAATCGAAAACGACTCTGGTTCCAATACCCCTTTTTTTTACTTCGCAATAACACATCTTCAATGCCATGAACATAAAGGTATTCAGATAGGAGTAACCAGGAGTTCCATTACAGAATTCTAAAATCATTCATAGCTTCCCTTCAGATTTAAGACTTAATTGATTAGGCGTGTGCAGTACCCAAGTAGTACGGTTTGAATTATTTCTATGCCTCTCCTCTTAAAGTGGAAAATATTTGCAAAAAAAATACTTAATGTCTAGCATCACATAACTTCACAATGGTGGTCTACTGGAGTCGGTAGATGACACTGTCATATAAGTGGGAAACTGTTTAATGTCTGTTACCTTCCGTCGTTCGATCTTCATCAAGAGTACAAGACGGGGCTGCCCCATTTTTTGAGGGCGGTCAGGGAAGGGGGCATTGGTCCCTCCCTTACTTTGTCGCGCGTGCGCTACTTTCACATACTTTGTTCCTCTCACCTGCCACAACATCTACGGATCTGTTTGAGGGCCCACAGTAGAGGACAGTAGCATTCTCCTTTTCATCTCTTTCATTTACTTCATTGAACCAGTAGGCGATATGAACTCCCGTTATGGTCTTTCCAGTTCCTAGCGAAAATTATAATCGTAGCACACCGCGGTTAAGTTAAAACCGTTTATTAACGTCCGTTACACTCTTACTCTTAACCGAAAAGAACACTCAGAATAAATTAAATACACACTTAATATATACATGCAAATCCGTAGGTCCCGAGCGTATTACATCACTTGCATTCATTTCCACAAGTGGGCATCACTATACACTACAACAATGTAAAAAAAGGAAATAAGAATGCTTTAGGACAAGAAACTACATAAAAGGCATAGGCTGTGTTATCACTCCTCGACATAGACCTTGATTTGTTGTCTTTCACGATGTAAATTTTATCCCAAGTTTTAGTCTCCAAATTTTTCTTCTTTTGGACATTTGATGGTTCCCCTGCTGTAATTAATACTTTTAACAAACTATAGCTAAACTTTTGCCAAACATTGAATAGGTACCATGGGGCATATTTACCGGGAGGTCCTTGAATTAAAGTAAAGCGGCTTCGTAGAGCTCTTTTAACTGCCTGAAGTTGGTCCCTGTTTAGATCTGAAGCTTTTTCAGGTTGTTCTTTACTCATGCCAACAATAGATAGGTTTTCGCTTCGTGGTTGTTTTCTGGAAGTTTCTGCGTACAAACGATGTGAAAAAATGATCAGGTAATGATCTCTTAATAATTTACAGTTGTAAGTTAGAGACTTCTCTAGTTTGAATGGCTATTAACACACTTCGGCTGAGGTTTACATTGCAGTAAAATCTAATAATGTGTAATCATTCAATTATTCCTCTGAAAATGTTTCTGTATAAGGCTAATCCAATTAACGCAGGGAATCCGGATGTTTTTTACGCAATGCGAAAGGCTCAGACAAATATTCTCGTCGAAGAATCTTAATAGGCACGCAGTACGTATGTGTTGAGGATGCTTTGGTGTCCCAACGCGTCCGAGAGCTTTGCCGCACGGACCTCCTATGGTCATGTTAGGATCGCACCCATGTCAGGGGCGAGAGGTAAGGGTAAAGCAAAGCGCAATCCACTGGTCCTCCAGGCTGAATGTTTTTCAAAGGGATAACTCCCTTATTACTGAAACGACGACGTGCAACTTGGCAACTGAGCAAGGCGAACTTTCTTACACTCCCGACCGGAGGATTTGCATGAATGACAGTAATCAGGTTAAAGCTAAATAAAAGCAACCGTTATGATTGATGGAGAGAAAAACGGAGCCGTCGTGGATCACTTGTCGCAGGGACGGGGGAGAAGGAAACGAAGCAGTTGGCCGAGACCTGAAGAAGAATTCGAGTCATCGCGAGGAACCAGCAAATGTTTAGTTATTACGTTCAAATACCCCACCCCCTAGTAAAGTAACTAACTGTGTAAGCTGTAGGTCCCTTTTGGATTTAGGACACTAAATTGGTAAATAAAACGTACCACCCAGCTGTTCTTTTTTTCCAAGGCAGAGGTCGTGAACTAGGTCTTCCTTTCCCTTTTTTTCCAGTTTTTTCAAAGCGTTCATCATTCGTCTGAAATACAGCATAAGTGTTTTGATTAGTGACTAGTAGTTGTAATTTTACAACCGTAAAGAAACCTGCAAGATCCCAAGTACTAGGGTACCGTAGCATTCAAACTAAGAGATCTTCGACACTTAAACTTATCAGGAGAAAAATTTTACACTGGGAAACAAGAGTATCAGGGCACTTATCCAAAAACTTGTACTGGAGTAAAGTTTCCCTTAAGCTCGTGATAAATTTCATCCCAATAGTAAAAAAAGATTCGCTTTCGACAAGTTTTCCAATACATTCTCCTTCTTAAAAGTTGTCTCAATTTTTGACAGGAGGACTAGTCAAGACAATAAATGTGATGTATTTTAATCTACCTTTCAAACATTCACCTGTGATTGATGGCCAGCTTTATTATTTCCAAGGTACAGATACACCCATCTCCATCCAGAAGGCCTGAGGGAATGTGTATGGACTGTTGTTTCAGGTGAAGCGTCACATGATTATTCTTTTTCGTGATCGAACAGTGGCCAACCCAAACAAAGTTTTCCCCTTTTCCACCTTTAAACCTGGAACTTTCCAGTTCATCTTCTCCTTCACTTGCTGTATAGAAGCTTGAGTCATCATCACTATCAGAGAATTCTTCTTCTTCGACTTCTTTGTCAGTTTTCCAAAGGCTATTAGCTGCAATAGATTTTGAGGTGTCAGATCCCTCAGCTTGCAATGATACTGGGCACCAAACTTTTGCACAGGCGTAATCACCATCTGAAATGTTGATGCATCTTGTTGTACAAAACGACTTCTCAAGCAAAAACTCGCCGATAATTTCTTTGTCATCTTCTCTCCATTTCACCGTGAGATTTTGCAGAATGATAACATCGTCATTCGTTATTGCCTGAGTGGCGGCCTCCATTGCTAGTACGGGTTCCCAGGCTTTGATATACCTTCTAATATCCTTGTACTTTGGCTGTGATGAGTGATCTGAGGCAAGTTCTACAAAGCATCTATCTGGACGTTTTCTATGCTCGAGACAAACGTCCATTCCTGGGGCCAACTTGAAAAGCTGAATCTCTGGTGACACCAGACCTCTAACTTCGTTTACAGCCAGTTGTATGTTGACTGTGTCAGAAACCTTTAAAATCATGGACACCTTTTGAAAATGCATATCGTCATCATCATCGTCGTCGTCGTCATTATCTTTGTCATCGTCATTATCTTCGTCTTCGTCATTATCTTCGTCATCGTCGTCGTCGTCATTATCTTCGTCATTGTCGTCGCCGTCATTATCTTCGTTATCGTCATTATCATCGTCGTCATCGTCATCATTTTTTACCTCGTCAAAGTTTTCGTAATTAAAGGTTAGAGCTCTGTTCTGAGTTTCCATCTCTTCTGATTGTTGCATCAACCTTTGCTAAGCACTTCTTTAACTTTCCTTTTTTGTTGTTTTTGACGGCGTGCGAGACGTCCCGCCAAAGTTGGCTCGGAATGCTGTAATTCAGAAGACTTGAACCATCTGAGCTTACGTCTAACGCAACCTTGGCTCTGTCTTTGCAAAAATGTTCCTCACGTTGCTCCTGAGTCTTACACTCCAGCGCTTGCTGAATAGTCTCAGATGAAGCATCATAAATTCTGAGTTTCCACTTGAGTTCAAGGCATTGCAATGACTCACCCATCTCTGGTTGTTTAATTGGTCCCAGGTGACTGATCTGAATTCTCCTCTGTCCTGAAGGCAGATAGCAATTAGCTCCAGATAGAAGCTGTAGCTGAAAAAAATCTCTCGAGACGACTTCAATGACAGCAGGCGTCTCGCAGCTCTCTTTCCTGAGACTCGCAGCAAATTGAACACGACTACATTCTTTCTCAAACTTACTTGCTCTCTCAGATAGAAACGAGCAACGGCGAAAAAGCACAGAGATGTCTTCAGCCTCAGCGTTTTGGTCTGCTTTTCCTAGTAACAACCGATGAACCTCGATATCAAGGTAACGACGAATTGGGGAGGTGAATCGAGTGTATTCCTTTAGTTTTAAAGACCAGTGAACCCTGTTATTTGATGGAACCTCAGCCGCTTTTAAATCCTCTGCTCTTCGTTGGAGACCTCTTAAAAATGAACGTGCGATTGCGAGTTGCGGATAGATGTGATCATTGCAAATTAGATGGATGAGTTTTCTGTCATCATGTTTTTGGCGTGCAGAACTAATTTCATTCCAAGTACACTTTGGTAGAATGAAGTTTTCCACACAAAGCGGATTTCGACTTGTGTATTCACTCAGAGAGGGTGACAGCTCGGCACAACCTCCAAACCGCTCTTTCCACTCATTCAGTTTGTGAGTCTTGGGGGGGAGTTGAATCCTCAAAGGTAATGACTCTCCACCTCTTTGATCGATAATGAGATATTTAGCTACAGACTCATTAGCCAGGATCATCATTTCCTCAACCAGCTCATGAGCCTCGAAGTCTTCAGCTCGGTTTGCATCGTCAAAACGATAGAAAGATCCGCCACGAAGACGCAGTTTTCTTCTCTTTTGGGCTAAGATGCTGAGCATGCGTATGCTTTCTTTGATCTTTGTTGTTACTTTCCCATCACTGTCAGGGTTGTTTGGAACTTTGACTGGGCTCATAATGATTGCTTGTGCCTCGGTGTATGTCAAACGACATTGCGATTTTACAATTGTACGCGCAAAATTGAGCTCTCTCCTCTGCATGCGACCATATTGATCGAGGTCCTCCATCCCATGAACATTACCATCCTGGTTCAAATCTAGGTAAACTGACACAGCAAGTCGTTCTTCGTTTGGTAGCAGACTACAAAGATGGTGGCTTAGCTCTTTCGGGAGCATTAAAACATCTCCATGGCTACGACCAGGGAAGTAGGAGGTACCCCTCTTCTTTGCTTCAAGGTCGATGTTACTTCCTCTTCTCACAAAGTAGGACACATCAGCAATGTGTACTCCTACTCTGCACAAACCATTTTCAAGCTCTTCAATAGTCAAGGCATCATCAAGAGCTTCACTTCCGGGAGGGTCAATTGTGAATGCGTTTAACACCAGTTGGCGTTGCTGTTTTTCACGCTCAAGGACTGCCTGCCACTCATCTTGAAATCTTGCCGCCTCCCTGGAGATCTCCTCTTTAAATGATTTCTTTAACTGGTATTCGGCATCAAGTATATCGTAAGCACTTCGAAGATCACTTCCTTTTCTAATAGTCTTAGTGGCAATGCCGAGTGGGTATGGGAAATCTTTTCTCCACTGCAAATATTGAACCACAAAAAGGAATTTTCCACTGAGGGCGTCTTTTTTTGAAATCTCTTTTATCTGGACTGCTCTTTCTCCTTCTCCTTGCTGCCCTTTCTTGTAAATAGGAATTACTTCGCAAGAGCTTCCTTTTAAGTTTGCAATGGGTGTCATCGATTTATTGATGGGGAACATTAACCAAGGGTTTGTCCTGGAGATCGTGCACACAAATTGACGTTCACGAGGGTTCATCGGGCAATATAGTCTACCTTTTATTTTTCCCTTGATTCTCTCCAGCTGGAAAGGCGATTCGTCCGAGGACTCCTTCTTAAGTTCCACCACCACGATATCTCCATCAAATCTCTGACGAGTGCTTCTTCCCTCAATTAAGATATCCTCACTCTCGATATCATGAATCTCTCCATAGGATACTCTGGATTTCTCGAAGCTTATGCGTAGTCTGCATCGGCAGTACTTCTTGGGCTCCTTTTCCAGCAAACGTTCAAGACACTCAGCCTGGAGACTCTCATGATCGTTAAATTTGGCCGGACTGATAAGCCTTTTTGTTCGTTCACTATATTCAACCGTCGGATATCTCGAAACAATTTGCGTTTTGCCTTTTCTTTTTATGACTGTAAAGTATTCATGACGTATATCGGTTCTTGCGTTGTTAGATACAAAAGCCCGGTGAACACTTTCATCGTCAATATCTTCGGCAACTTTGTGGTTGGTTGAAGCGAAGAGCCTCATCTGTTCCCTTTCCAACTGTTGCATCTTTTCTTCTTTCAATTTTCGTTTCTTCTCATTTTCCACACATTTAGCCTCGATGGCAAGAGTGATGTCATCCATGTACTTTGGGGGAACAGTTTCATCCGGCACATTTCCATATTCTACAAAATCACCATTTTCATTATCGTCACTCCCAATCAGTCTGTCGCACACATCTCCAGAGTCTGAAATACTTTCAACTTCGCTGTCGTCTTCTTCGTTTGGAGATGACGTTTTCAGTAGTTCATGCTTAGAATCCTCGGCGCAATAGTCTAGAATCCTATCAGTACTAGTGGTGTGTACATTCTCATGCATCATTTCCTTGGGAGAAGAAGTTTCATTATCAATGGTATGCTCTGGTGCGTTTATCTGTGGAGGTGAATGAGATGCATTGAATTTCACATCGTCTAAGGCTGCCATCTGGTGGTTTGGAGATTCGTTATCAGGTTGGGGACTTGTGTGGCTGGCGAGTCGTGGGACAAATTCACTGGCGTTGACATTGAGTCCCGTTTGAGAAATACTTTCTTCAAGTTCACTGCACTCTATTCCAAAGAGGTTTCCACTGGCACTGCATCTCTTAATAAACTCTTCCCAAAGTCCCTGGCAATCTCCAATAGTCCTCAGTGAAAAAGGATCGCCAACCACGGCGATGAGAGACTGGGCACGGGTAAGTGCAGTGTTTAAAAGCTTAGGATCCGTGAGAAATGAAAGGTAAGGCCTGTCACTTTCATTATCCACCCACGCATTGGACTCGTTACAGGAGTGATTGGTTCGCACTGTACTGACAAAGAGAGCACGGAACTGTTTTCCTGGAGGAACAATTCACGATATTTTAAGACTGAAGAATGATTGTCGAAAGCATGAATTTAAAACGTTTGAAATTTTCATCTGTCTTAAATCACCTATAAGAATTTGATGTTTTTCCAGGGCAGATTTTCTGTTTGACAGTTTCCCCTTACCTGCCTGCCAGACAATTTCGAATTATTGCAAGAAAAAGCTCCGTACCAGTATTTCCCTGGAGTAAAATCTTAAAGTAAAAATATTTTCAATTTAAAGACCTAAATCAATGGAATTCCTTCAAGTAATTTACAAACCTTGCACATTTTCAATGGTTTCCACGTCAACTTCACCAAGATCAATTTTTCTAAGGCCATCGCGAATCGTTTTTACCTACAGAAGAAAAAATTATGTATTACTGCATAACATTGGAGAAATAAATATTCACAGAACTTAGCAAGTTATTGTTGATCGGGGAAAGCGAGAGGTGAATGTTTGTAAGAAATCAAAGATCTTGTGTGTTTATGTGTCAAGGACTATTACCAACAAGAGAACTCAGAGTCTGATAGAGGAGGGTTGACAATACAGTGTAGTTCCAAGAATAGGTTTTGATTTTTTTCTTCGTACCTGATAACGCTCTGATGAAACTACAGCAACATGTTTAGGATCCGGTATTGAACCCCATTGTTGAGGCCAGCAGTCCATGAGCTCTTTGACTCGCTTCACCACCTCGTTCACCTCAGCCAAATTGCGGTGGGACGAATGGTTCTCCGCCATCTCCTCTTCGCCAAAAGCGGAATAAAACACCAATGGACCCAACCAAGGGTGAAGGGGCTGATTACTACCACAGGAAAGTTGGCCGTAAAACATGTCGGAGGAGAATTGAAGAATTTGCTCGTTTGAGCGGTAGTTCGTTGTCAAATAGATGACATTGGGATCTTGCTTTGCTTCCTTTTTTCGTCTGTCGTAGTCGTAGAAAAGCCTCTCTTGTAAGGACATCTGGAATCCCCACTTCTTTGCTTGAGGAGAGAGTACGTCAGGGCTCATCTAACGAGGAAGGTAATAGAGAACAGTTTTACGTCTCCAGATTTCAACTCAAATGGCTTACAACATTTCCTTTGATAAATGGGTACCCTATCTCTACATAAATTGTGAAATACTATATCACAGTCGACATGTTTCTTTTCCCTTGGTACTCGGTGCTACACCATACCAGCTCTTTCATTACCTATTACATCCATAGAGAGTCCAGAAATGAGGACAGCTTCACGAACCTGCATGTGATCCCCAGTGAAAACCACTTTCGTATTGTAACCCGCTAGTGTAATTGGGGCTAACGTTTCCGTCTCCAGCGCCTGCGCCGCTTCATCGATTAAGATGTGAGAAAAAATTCCCCGATGTAGGTCCATATCAAACAGAGCTCGTGACATTCCCAAAGTTGTTATTATGACTCGGTGACGTAACACGTCATCACGAGTTGGGAGTCGAAAGACTCTGTCTGTTATGAGGCAGTACTCCTTCACCATGGCAGAGACAGTTGATAACTTCCGCAACGGTGTGTAAATCCTCAGGGGTCTGCAAGCCAGTATTCCATTATTACGGAGGTATTCGTCCAATAACTCTACGTGTATGTCTGCCGCACTGTTTGAATGGGTGCAGATGAGTACGCGGTTGTTGCAGTCTAAGGCAATTTGTCGAACAGCTTGATTCAGAGTGAAAGTTTTCCCTGTTCCAAATGGACCAAACACCACCAACGGAGGTGAATTGCTCGATGGCGAAGCTATTTTCTTGATAACCTCTTTTTGATCATCGTTTAAGCTGGGATCGAGAATCCATGGCAAGATAGTAACCTGGAAAAAATCATACGAAACAAAAGTTTGGTCAGTGCACTTTTAAGTTTCCTAGACTTGGTAATTTTCAAAATATCAGTCGACCCCGAGTCACAATTTCACGAGCACTCAAATGACAAAGAGGCCTTCGCCGCGGGAAATTTTTTTTTTGTTTTTCAAAGCACGATATAATTAGAAAAGTTTTGCTTCGGAGTGTTAATGCGTTGATAAAAATATTAACTTTCTGTTGACCCAGCGTGAGGGCCGCACAGGGGGAGAATGGCCTAGGTCGTGGCAGGACGGACCGAGCGCAGCAAGATAAGTACAGAAACGACCCGGGCCAATACTCCCCACGTCGAGCAAGTGAGATTAGTCAGTAGTTTATTATGTGGCAGTCGAACCAATCATGATTATTTTAAATTTGGCGGCTTTCACAAACGAAAATGCACAGCTTATGACAGTTTCCGTGGAAACGGTCAGTACAGCGCAAGTAAGAACTAATCAGAACGTTCTTATTTCCATAAAGACTACCTTGCCGTTTAATAAGGATAAAGGTTTTCTCACTGGTATTGAAAAGTGAAGCTACATTTGTATGGCGAATCAAACAGCGAATTAACCTTACGTTATTTTCCAAGGCGACCTCGCCAAAGGTGGGAAACACTATTCTGATGTGCTCTAGTCCCAGTCTGTCGATGTTGTCGTGCATCTCACAAAGTCGAAGTCGATTGATTCGGAACTGAACGTCCACAATGGTTTCACTGTTGTTTGTCAGCCCTAGATCTTCGCAACACCGTACAGATAGCTTTACTATGACACGACTTTCCTCCACCGAGTCCACTAAAGCTTCATAAACCATCGATTGAGAGCACTGGCTTTTTGCTATTAACACTGACCCAGCGCTCCCGAACAGATTCCTGAGTAGGAGTCGCCCATCCGCGTCATCGGGTGTTATAGGGCGCAACACTTGGAACGAACCGTACAGCCAACCTTCGTTGGCGCACAGGACTTCATCTTTCTTAACAATCAGTGATGCAGCGTGTAAATGGGCTCCTTCCATATTGAATCTGAAACAGTTTAATTGAAACAGCTCATTCTCATCGGTTGTGTCAGTGATCATTGAGCCCGTGGAGAAAAATTGAAAACATAAGAGAATGAAAATATCCAATATTGATGTAAAAGGGAAACATAGCATTCCCAGAACACTGCATTATTTCTAACAAATAACAGGGAAATTTGATCGGGACCTCATTTAAATTCATTCAGCCCGCATTTACGTAGGATTTCTAAAGTACAGCAATTGATAGTAATTGATTTATATCCAATTACAGATAGAGCAGATGATAATTTCATGTCACGAAAAAACTGTTAAAGCAGAATTTTTGAAATCTAACCTGGCAACTTGTTTGCGAATATAAAACTCCTCTACAAATAACAACTGATGCATGATGTCTTTGTAATTTTTCTCGCTCAGACCTTGTGATTCGTCAAGAAGAGGACAGGGCACAACATCATCCACTCTATCTACTGGCAACTTGTACAAGTCTGTCAAATTATCATTCTTGAACACTGAAGAGGTTTTGCACTCAAAAGGGACAATTTTCCGGTAACTTTCATCCCACAGAGGCCCACCCAAAGCAAGCTTTGTCTTCTCCTCGCTCAGTTCTCTCAGGAATTCTTGACTGCCGATTTCGACACAAAATTCTAAGGCAAGGGGACGCTCTTGGCCAAAATCGAACACCAAATATTGTCTGAAGTTTCCGAAGACAAATGTAGAGAATGAGAGCGCTACTTCCACTTCACAGTTGCTGTCCAACGCACGTAGGTATGGTGGTACTTGATAATGACAGTCGTCAACCCTCTCTACAGCGTCCTCCACTGTAAGTGGGCCTTTCGAGTATTTAATTTTAACACTGGTGAAACTGTAACAACTGGGGAATTTCCATAATAGTGCAATATCCTGCAGATGCCCGGTCTCAGTGGACTAAATAAGAATTGAGAAAACATATGTGTTAAGAGACTAATTAAAAGCTGAGGAAAGCCCATGAGTAATCCTTTAAATCCAAAAAAAGATAATTTTTCCAAATGTTGATTATGCATTTCTTAGCTCGCTATTCGTGAAAGTTTGGTGACTTATTACGACGATGTCATTTAGATTCTAAACTGATTTTATTGCCATAACCAATTTGGATAGACATGAATCAAACTGTAAGAATAATTGAACAAAGGGTTTCGGAGGCAATCATCCTCCTCCATCATTTCCAACAGCGGCTACAATTTCAGTCTCATTTATATTTTTGGTTTTGTTTTTTATTTTTGTCCTTGTTGTTCACTATGATTGTAATGATGGCGATGATGTCACCACCTTTATTCCTACGTCATAACTCATAAAGCTGCTCTTTTTTGTGTTATTTTTGCACCTGTGATACATTCCTGTGTTACGTTCCTTTGGTTCTCGAAATTTTATCTCAAATTCTAATACTTTCTCCAGGTTATTCAAAACAAATAAGTGATGAGTCCCTTAGAATATACCTCACGACCAAACTTCCCTCTCTCTTACCTCATAAGATAGTCGGACAGTCCAGCTAAAAGTTTTTTCTCCTTCACTGTCCAATGGAACTTGTAATGACACATTTTGAACACTTGGATCACACGCAACTGACACTCCTGAAAGACTGGTGACGAGATCCTTCAACTGAGAGATGAAGATGGATTTAGCTAAATCTGAACTGTCGTGAGGCTAACACGAAATATGACAATACAGAGCTAACCTTGTAAGTGGGAACTGGTCGATCATCTTTTATCGGTGAACGGGTGATGGTTTTTATTGCATTTTCATTTTCGTCTTTTTTCTCTTCAGTTTCCTTTTCCTCCTCGTTCTTAGTTTCCGTCTCCTTTTCCATCATTTTTACGTGTTTATTCCAAGCTTCGAGTTCCTGTGGGCCGTGTGCAAAAGTACATCCTTTTTCAATTTGCAAACTCCTTTCGTCCACCTAAGAATTAAAAGTAAACCTAGTTTAAGAGCTTCTTTCCTTTTTTTGATTTATTAATATACGATCTGAAACGCATACACTATGACGACCGATAGCCTGTACCTTGAACAAACTGCATGACTCACCCAGCACATATTCTAAACCGTCCCCCTTTTGGTGGCATTCGTAGTGGTGCTCGAACCTGTCCCTTGAAAGCTTGGCGCCACTCATCGAGTGACATGTAAGGTTTTTTGGTCATCAATTCTTTGTGTTTCGTCGGGACTGCACAAATATCTGAAATACGATAAACTTAGTGGACATAAGTTTACTTCACCTACAAATTTACCAAAAATGGCCAATTGTACATCCTACACTCCTTAAAAGATCCTGATGAAAAATAATGCATCGCACATAATGACGTGATGATCCAGTATTCGCACCATCATAATATTTTCTTACCAGCGGTTCTCAATCTTCTTGAATCGTTGCAAGTGAATATTCAATTTTCGTCCTTACCGTTACATTACTAGCACTCCTAAATGATTGGCAAGGGCTCTGTCCCGATTATCATAAGATTACATTCATAGTGTCCCGTAAGTAAGTAAAAAATGGGACGTGGCTGATTGGAATCCTTTAAATCGAGGAAGCAAAAGCCCTTTGTTTGCCATAATTAGTAGCCTACCTCTCTTCCTTTCTGCTTCCCATGCTTTTCGTTCTTCTTCACTGTGTGCATAGGAACAGCGTTCCCCTTGAAAACAAGGCTGCTGAAGGCGGTAGTACTTGCAGAGGCGGTAGGCGCCAAAGACAAGACGTGGTCTTTTACGAATTCCGTAGCCTCTTACACTTGCACTTGCTCCAGCTTTCTTTCTAACGCCCTCAGTAAAGGGTTTAACTTTAGCAACTGGTTTTTTCGTTTGTGGAGACGTTGAACCGACAGGGGGCTGCTGTGCCCCAGGTGGTGGTTTCTGTTTCTGCTGTTTGCCTTTGGAAGTTGACTGGCCGATACTTGGCACCTTTGATGTAGATTTTACGGTACTCATCGTGTAGTCCAGTTTGTCAGGGCAAGTGCGGGTGCTACAGACACTGTCTGTGTCGGATTCATCATCACCATCAGCTAGTCACGACATGGACGCAAAAGTTAAATGAATGCATATCTGCGTATACGTATGCGCTCATGATTTTCCATGAAAATTTCATTTAAAGCATGAAGAATATAATAACACTTCGTACTTGCGTATGCAGTCTTAAAGCTAAGACGGTGATTTATAACTTACCACAAACACACCCGCATTTTACAGCTTTTAAGGGACCAGAACTTATCGCCCGGGGGGGGATCGGAGTATAAAAGAGAAAACATAAAAAGTGACTGCTAATTGACTGCCAGTTTGGGGATCACCAGAATATTACAGAGCCTTATGGGGAATCAGGTAAATTCTTTTCGTGATACAACCAAAAACTTCTCTCCCCTCCCCCTCCCCCTCCCCCCCCCCTTGGCAATATATCTTTAAGCCTCCTTCTTAGCGTCTGCGTAATAACAAATTAATCAATTAGTTGCATGGGCATAAGAGGGGAATTCCTAATTTGATTGATCTTAGTTTCTAATTGTGATTATGAGATCTCTGCATGTGAATACTGAATAATTACTAAAGCGTAGATTAGTCGTAACCCGAGGGACGAGGAACTCCTTTATAATCCAAGTCCCTCAAGACTTTACTGATAAGGAAGCCATCAATAACTTGGATTTTTTTTATCTATCACACAAGTAAGGGGAACATCATGTAGCCGCACCCAATTACCTTCCCGTTTGGCTCTCAAGGTCTTGGTCTTTCTTCTTCCCTGCTTTTTCTTCGGTCTTACTGTAGGAGAAAAATCTGTATATATAGTCAGTTTCATGATTGGTCCTCATCCAAAGAACTGTAGGTGTTATTTTAGATACAAATTCAATGATATTGATTGTGTTCAAAGTTTGCCATGCCCCGTGATAAACGTCTCACTTTTAAAACACAACGTTCCTATCCGTTACTATGATGAAAAATTTTTGTGGCTCGGAGGAGCTTCTTGAGCTTCACCAGAATGAAGTACACGTCTACTGTAAGTTTAAAAGGTGCCTCACTTTAAAAGCTCGCCATAAACCGTTCATGCTCCTCGAGGAAACCGAGTCAACTCTGTGAGAACTACATGTCTCACACAGAAATAATAAAATCTCAAGCTTTGTAATAACAGTAATCGTGCCTAAACGCGCGAGGGATGATGGATAACAAAAAAACAAATTTTTACGTACCGAGAAATTCCTCTTTAGTTGCACCTCGCTTTACTTGTGGATTAAAATCAGCTCTTGCCTGATTAAAAACAGGAAAACCAAATTGTTTAGTTTTTTCTCACAGACTGCTATAATGCTGAAAGATTTAGTGCTTCTGATTTTCGTCTTCACGTGACATACCGCTCTGTCTCTATTTTCATCTCTTTTCTGGGGCATTTCCTTCGTACAGGGCTGAGCTATTTCTTGCCGCTCCTGGATTAAAAAAGGAGAATTATTGACAAATTTACAAATTTTCACCTAATAATCTATTTATTTCAATAACTTATTTATTTGAGTGCCCATGGAATATAGTATAGAAATTATTAAGGGCTGCAGTCGTTTTGTATCAATGAATAACAGAAAACGCTTTCCAAACTATTTTGTGTTTTCCAAAAAGCCTATTTTTTGATAAATCAATAGTTTTCCTCTGCACGTTTAGGAAAACTAGCAAAATTAATCAAATTTCGCGGATAAAATCTTAGAAAGATTAAAAAATCTTATTTTCTCCTGCAAGATTGAGCATGTCTGTAAAAAACAATGTGTTAAGAGTCAACCATGGAAAGATGCAGAGGTAATCTGCAACCACTCAGGAAATGGATATTATAGGAATTCTGCAACCACTCAGTCACTAGATGTCACAGAAATTCTGCGACCACTCAGCCACTAGATGTCGCAGAAATTCTGCAACCACTCAGTCACTAGATGTCACAGAAATTCTGCGACCCCTCAAGCACTGGATGTCGCAGAAATTCTGCGATCACCCAGTCACAAGCTGTCGCAGAAATTCTACAACCACTCAAGCACTGGATGTCGCAGAAATTCTGCGATCACCTAGTCACAAGCTGTCGCAGAAATTCTGCGACCACTCAAGCACTGGATGTCGCAGAAATTCTGCGATCACTCAGTCTCAAGCTGTCGCAGAAATTCTGCGACCCCTCACTCAAAACTTGTTGCAGAAATTATGCAACCACTTAACCACTGGGTGTCGCAGAAATTCTGCGATGACTCAGTCACAAGCTGTCGCAGAAATTCTGCAACCACTCAACCACTGGATGTCACAGAAATTCTGCAATCACATTTACACAATCACAATACAGCCATTTAGCAATCTTACTAAAACCAGTCAATAAAAGATTCCACAACATTTGGTCAGTGATCCTCAATCACTCTATGATTTACAATAATTAAACTATCAAATGGCACATCTTCATAAATGTGGTAGTTATACTCATCTGTTAAGGAAGTAAGAAATACAATAAACAGTTCAAGTCACGTCCCTTTATTGCACGATCAGATAAATGAAATGAAAAAATATAATAAATCCAATGACATAAAATTTTGAGATCTATCACACAAACAATTTGATTCCACTTTAAAAGAGGAAAATATAAACTGTTATACTGCCATTCCTTTGAACTATCTCAAAAACATATGTAAAAATTACAACTAATAAAAAATTTCTTATTTTTATCTTGCATTTACCCTACCCTGTAATGAAAGCCCTTGAGGCCTTATGGATGGAGAGTTAAGTTACAATAAATCCATGCTACATTTCAGTAGTTTCAATACACGGTGGCTTAGAAAATTCGACATCGAGGGAAAAAATTTTGGTTTCTTATATATCTATATATATGTCCTACCTACGGCCTCGAGATGAGAGACTCGGGTTGAAATCGATTGCTAAATAAACATCCATAAATAAATATATTTTCCTCACAGAGTGGCAACTGGATACGACTCGATCGATAAAAGACTTCATCGATGTAGGTGGATTCATTTACCACATCTTGCTGAACAGTGTCAAAGCAAAAAGAATACCTAGCTTTGAACTTAACTCGACTCTGTAACTTATAGAGAATTAATTGTAAACTCCACATAGGCAGAGGCCACTGAGCAACACACAAGTCATTAAACCGCAATTCCAGTACATGCGTGTTCTAAAGCAACGTTACTACGCATGTGTCACGACACTCTATGTAATTTTACACAAAGAGCTAAGCCCAATTTCAGAAAGGAACGGCGTAAAGGAAAAAACTCAAGATTGAATTGTCCTCAAAGCAACATATCTTTCCTTGAGAAATTTTCTTGTTGATGGCATTAGCTTGTTGTCTTCCGTAAGCTCAAATGAACTGCACACTATACAGCTCTTAGGAAGGATCTCCACCCATGGTCTGGATTTTTGTCGGGGAACATGCTGAGGAGTCCACTTTCCACAGTAAGTGCCTTTCCAGTAATGCACCTTAAAATTGTCCTCCTCGACGGCCAGGACCTTGCCAATGCAGGGCAGTTTATCGTAATTGGCGAAGTACAAAGCCACAAAGCAGCTGACTTGAAGAGTAGCGAGGAAATCGTCTACCATTTCAATAGGCGCTTCCCTTTCCCTCGGGGTCCTGTAACGGCCTGTGTAAATCTGAAATATTCAACAGACATTTCATTAGAATTTACTTGTTTAGGTGAGCATTTCGACTGAGATGTATCAATTATCAATTGTTCTTATCATTTTATTCTTTGATTAATTATAAGTAATGGATTATGTGACCGTGTCATATTCTATTAGTGCAATTTGGTGTGAATAAGCACAAATAAGTTTCCAAAGACAACAAAATTTTTGCACGAGCCTGAAGGGCAAGTGCAATTTCGTGGTATTTGAAAAATTACAAGTGCTTAGTAGACCAAATTGCAAGAACAATGTGCAGACAAAATTTTGAAAGTGTGTTTGCCCTATTTGTAATTTGGACTCATGTTGCAACTTTGCATTTGTGCTACATGAGAATTGGCTTGTTTTCAGCAAATCAGAAGCATGTAATTTTATCATGTACATTATTATATATCTAAAGTTGGACTTGTATAATCTATAACTGGACGCAGAAGGGGTTAGAGGAATGGACCCCTCTAATTATTTCTCTTTTATATCTGTAGGACCATTTGAAGGCTTGGCTTTTTAGTGTCCACTGCTGCATTTTAATTATTATTCACCTCTGTGATAGGCTGGATCTCTTTCTCTCTGAGCTCTAAAAGTTCATGAGGGAGTTCAGCATTTGAGGCTAAAACAGTCCTTGAAGTATTCTTCAATTTATCCACTGGCCAAGTGTAGTTGTCAGGTACTGATAATAGATTAAACTCTGTATTTGCTAACCAGGATTCCCACTCTTCAGATGCTTTTAAGGGCATATTCTTGGGATATTTGGTGGGAATATCTCTCTTCAATCCCTCCATGTCCAGTTTATGTAGGGAAGGAGTCACAGTATTTGGCTTTCCAGAGGGTAAACTCTAGTATAGCAAAAAAAGGCAACAATGAATTTGATATATTAAACCTCACAAGGCAGCCAGGTGAACAATCAAACATGGTTTGATTTTATTCTGGTTTAAATATTAAATAATTGTAACTTATCTGTTAAATTCAACAAAATTAATCTTTAAACCAGAGTAGCATCAAACCATGTCTAGCAATGTATTTGTTGGCTCAAATTTCCTTGAGAGACAATAATAAGGGCTTTCTCTTTCCATTTAATTCTTCTTTGACTTGTACACATTATGATCCCAATCTTAAAGACAGGGAAAAGCAGTGAGATACATTTTAAATTGAGGATCAATTTAAACCCAGCATATTCTTAACATGTAATGTCAGCAAACATTCAGTTATTTGGAGCATTAATGTTATTTTTCAGGCCTACAAATTGTCAGTGCCAATGCTACTTCAGAAAACATCAGGTAAGCTTTTAAGTTACTATTTTAATTATGACTCAGGAACCACTAATTAAGAATTTCATGTGCTAACCTACAGCATTGCAATGGGCTCTTTCCATGGCTCATGGCTCCAATTTCTGTAGTGCATAACTGCTTTTCCATCCTCATTCAATGTAAATTTAAAGCACTTTGGAACTGTGTGTTCATGTAACTCCTCACAATAATCACTAATCCATGATTTTATGTCATAAACCATCTTGAGCATATAGGGCTTGGGTGTTGGATTCTTCATGCATGTTTCCAGTGCCTTCAGTAATCCTAAGTGACAGTGAAGTGTAAAATAAATTAAGATCTTACATGTACTCTGTAAATAAACATTTACACCAAATTTATAACATGTCAATGTCACATTTAATCTGTTAATTCAAGTGGAAGTGTTCATACTTTCTATAGACTAAATTTTGAACCATGCTCTTGCCTCGTGCAGAAATTTGTTTGATCACAGTGCTAGTTGCTATGTATTTATATTGATAGATAACTTATGTGAATATTTGCCACACAAGATTATCACACTGCACAGGCAGTTTTGATTGTTGAACTCTCAGTTACTCCAACTGTACCTTGAAGTAATTACTTTATGTTAGAACAACTTACCTGTGACTGTGTAAACATCCAGTTTGTCTAAGTGCTTTGAATAAACCCCAAAAAAGGCATCTATGTCCTCATGGGTATTTCCCACTGGGAGAAAGTTAACTCTTATCTGAAATACAAGAAGGGAAAGTGGTGTTGTTTTTTTTTAATTTCAACTTCAGGTTACATTCATTCAGTAGTTGCAAAAATTGAGATTGAATGGAAACTAACTTCCCACCCAAATGGACCTTGAAAACATTGCAATGGGACATTTTGACACTTGAACAAAGTGCTTTGTGGGAAATGTGAATAAGGCAAATGCATTTCTTTTAAAATTACCCAAGATAACATACTTTTTCAAAAATTTTCTCTTCAACCAGAAGTGCCAATAGAGCAAACATGTAGCGGTTCTTGTTTTCTCTAACACAGTTGTCAAACTGCAAATAGAGAATGGGTGGTAGGTCAAATTCCTCAGACCATCTTACAAGGACTTCCAACAGAACTGTCATAGTGAGATTAGAGTCATGAGGATACTGGTAGTAGTCAAATGACCCATAAATCTCCTTTCCATTTTGTGCTTGTCCGTTGTGAATAATGGAACCAACAAGGTGTGTTCCCACAGTCGTAAGTGCAGACATTGCCTTGGTAATTCGGCGCACACTTGGGACATTTGTGGTGTGTTGGTCCATACCATCAGCAATATTTGCCACATACTTTGATGGGTACCTCCTGGCTTTATACCTGTGAAGATAGTACACCCTCCTTTCCTGCCTAGTGATATAAGGAAAAATTATTATTAGTTCTTAAGACCAGAAGACTAGTGAATTGCTTTTGATGTGACAGATTTTTTGTTCATCAAACTAACTGTACTTTTTTAAACATTTCTCTCACCAGACTAAATCAAGATGAAGCTTCAGCAAGTGATCAATTTCAGCCCTTCTGGCTTTGTCCACAGTTTTCTCTTTCTCCTGCTTGTATTTTGTGCAGTCTGTGCATTTTGTAAAGCGATTTTCCTAGAAGATTCAAATTGATAGATCATTTCTGCATGTATGAGGTATAACATGAAAAAAAAACTAGGCATGGTTCATCTCAGCAGTTTACAGACCAAACAAAGCCACAAAATAAAACTTTTTTTCACTCATGATTGTTGGATAAGAGATGGTCATGACCTACTGGGCCCCTATTTTGCTATCTAGGTTTCCATATTTAACTCATTTTCATGTTCTCTTTGGGTGCCATTGTCAAATTAATGTATTGGAACAGCAATGATATTATTACATAAATGGTTTGTAAAATACACACACCTGTAAGTGTTAGTCATCATCATACTGAAAACTATTGCATATTTGGTGCCACTTACCTTGGGAATGGTGACATGAAGAAAATTCCTTTCCCATAGGCCATAAAAATGAGAAAGGGATACTGTTGGCTGACTGAGTGCTTTATTTTCCTCCAGCATTTTTTTTGTAAATGTCACTTTTAGTAAAGCATGTTGGTAAATGGATGCCACCATTGTCTGGTTGGTGGTCCCCTACACAGCTAACAAAAAACTGCAACCAGGCAATGCAATCTGCAGTCTTGCTAGTGATTGACTTCCTTCCTTTATTCCCATGCTCCAGCACATTTGCACCATCTTTAAATTTTCCCCAAATTCGTCTAAAGGTTTCCTTATTTAAATTGTGTGCAAGAAGCCATGCTTCCCTACACACAATCTTTCCTTTTACATAAAATTCAGTTTGTAGTTCATTGGAATCATCAGAGCTACTGTGTTGATGCAGGTACTCTAAAAAATAGTTTCGCTTCCTGCCTTTTTCTTTGCTTCAGCATATCTTATGTCTTCTACAGACAGTTGCCTCATGCACTTTTTTGCGCAACAGTTAATGGAAATGATCCACAAAATTTCCTCGTCTCGTCTAGCAGATAAATCTAAATTTGAGAAAAAATTATGGGACCATATTAAATGGAAATTAAAACTTGTTCAAGTCTTCGTTGAAAGTATAATCACTTAAGACGAAGGTAACCTTGAATTTTGATCAATAACATTGATTAACTTGCCCTTTGCGCAGTAAACGAACAAAAGCGTAATAAAACAAGCCAATTTATTGTATTACATTGTATTATTACATATGTTTGATAATCTAAATTACGACAAAGATAGACCCAACCGATATCCCTCGTATTCTACGGTGAGAGAAATGCAGCATGTCAAGGCTTTAGAGCTGTTAATAATGTATTATTGTTCTGTTTTTTTTTTGGTAATCATAATCTATTTTGCCTAAACCAAGTATCGAATGGTGATGATGTTCCCTCATTATTAAAGTCAAGGTATGGGAATGATTTCATCTCAACAATATCTGGTCTGCATTTCCTTGTCTGATCCTCTACTTTTACGAAAGGATTGCGAAGTGTATGAACAAGGCCCTTTGTATTGATCCTAATTTGTGCACCCAGCCGGATTGGTTTATATTGGTATTCTTCCATGCAAGACACTAGATCAGTATATTTTAAGATTTTTATGTTCCAAGTAGACGCAATTTTAAAAACGGAAGACGATCCTCTTATTGCTGGTACTTTAGTAGTTGCAATTCCAAGCATCAGAGAGCTTCGTTTTTCATTGAAGATTTTTAGCTTATTGCGAAATGACTTTTTCACAGTTTCCTCTCGATCAGTTATGATAAAATCCACGTGTTTGTTAAGAAATGACTTCACAGTGGCTGCTGCTATGTTCGTAAGCCACTGAATGATGTACGACTTATTTTCTGATTTTGATAGGTGAAGGAAAACATTTTTCCCTGTGACACTTGAAATAAGCCAATGATGATCTGAAAGTACAATGAATGTGACGAAAAGTTAAAGCTTCTAGGGCCAAATTTGCTTTTGCACGCTTGAGCAACTTGTAGAGGCCGTTGACTGCCTGCTTATCTGTTTCACTTTAATGTAATTGTGTGTTCGATGTTACTTTTTACGGTGTGTCTTAATGTCCGGCAGTCGGGAATTTTCATGCAATTGCTACTGAAAGGTCCTTTCAAACTTCATTAGAGTACCAGATGTTTGTTCAGAAATGTCAAGCGACTCCAAAAATTATTTTGATTCTCAAGGGAACGAATTTTCCGAGCTTGTACATACCTTAAAATCACTAGATTATCAACACTTTGCAGAACTCTGACCTTAAGATTTCATGGTATACAGAAACTTGGAAAATAAATCTACTAGAAGACCAAAATGACTGTCTTTGGAATTTCTTACCATTGATGTCAGCGGAAAAAAAAAATTGGCTTCTTATTTACCTGGAGGTGCACAATCTGGTTCACATTTTTCTGTTTCTAGAACTTTCAAAGAGGAATCCGCATCGTGGAGAGAATCGCAGGAAAAATCTGTGTCAGATAAGAAAACCGACATTAGATTTACGAAGTTGTAGCAAAAAAAAAAAGAATAAAGGGCTACAGAAGTCCAACTCGTCGGCATGCTTTTGAAGAATGAGGCAGAACACAAAAGGATGTGTTGTGATTCATCGAGAGGTAAATGAGTGGCCTTGTATTCTGTAGTTTTGCTGTATTTTCTCGATTAGTGGACCCTTATGCACGGTTAAAGTCAACTTGAAAGTATGTAGTGTGGCTTTGTGATGCGGTCGGTTGTCTGTACAGTTAGGAAAAATTGTGATTTCAGTGATTCGATTACGCGGTGATCTGTGTTGTGGCCGGATAATTTTTTCAAAGGTGTTGCTTTTCTCAGAGATCAAAACGCCCCTCTTTCGAGCTTCACTATAAAATTTGAAAATCAAAATTTCCTCACCCTGTGGCGTTTCGTCATGCCCCAATGAAGTATCGGCATCGTGAAGAGAAATACTCATAGCATCTGTGATAAGACAATAAGTCGGCGTCGTATGGTCAACGTTGACACTCATGCATATAATTTTTTCCGAATTTGAGGTTATTTTACAATTAACAGTTAAACTGGATCTAGGTTTACGTTTTTCTTGAAATATATGGATTTACCGTTGAAAGTATATCACACAGACTTTGGTTATATAGCCTGCGAACCAGTATTTTCTTCTCCGCGCAAGTGAAGCAGGAGAAACAGTAAGACTCACAATACGCGCGTTCAGCTAGATTCTGCGACACCAATCCGTGATCAGTTAGGGGCTTTAAATTACATTGCGCATTTATGATCTGTCCTCAAACCAATCTTAAATTAAAATTAAATTTGTGGTGTTAATGAAAAATTCTTGAGACTGGATTGACTGCGTATTTAGTATTTACATCTTCTTGAACTCAAAAGAGCCAAGTTCATTACCTGTAGTTTTGGAGGCACTGACATCTAAATCAAGCCACGCTGTTTCACTTTCTTGTAAAGTTTCCATTTCTAATTGACTCTCGTTAACCGGGATTATTTCCTCATGAACAAGGGGCTTGCACTCAAAAGTTCGCTTGAATTATCCAAGTCAACCCACTCAGGTTCATTGGGAAGTCTTCTCTTTTGTGGTGATCCCAAACTACTTAAATCGGTGTCTGAATCATACAAATCAATGAGGCTTGCAGAACTAGACGATCTTTTTCTGGTGTACTCGCTAAAAGCGGTTGGAACATTTTTGTGCTAGGTGTACCAGATAACTCCACGCAGGGTCCGACAAGAGCACTAGAGGTATACCTTTGATATGGACGAAAAAGACAAAAGCCCAATTCTACGATTACATTAGATCTTGATTAGGCGGATGTACGCGGTTTTTAAAATAATGGGTAGATATTACTTTTGTCTTGCCTCGGTTGAATTACACAGAGGACAGCTTGCGAATTATAGTGGAGATAAAGCCAGATCATGCTCTCAGAAATGGTAAAAATATTATCGGCTCCTATATTTTCCTGTGTTGAGCGCATTTGCATGGGACATTAAATACTTTTTACCGCGGGAGGCTGCATTAACTGAGAGTATTCGACACTAACCGAGCCTGGTGCTTACCGTGGTAAAGATGTCCTCTGGTAAATATCCGTGGATATTTCAGAGAGATCAAAGGAAGCGAGGCGGTTTTTCTTGCTTTGTTTTGCACCGTAGAACAATAGCCAAACTGTTTAAAATCAATACTAACACGCTAATGGCTTTCGTTCACAAGTTTCGTTCACCCGATTTCTCGCCTCTAAATTTTGCTTTTAAAACCAGAAAAGGCATGGCGCTGTCGAGCACGGTATACGTATACTTCACCAGGAGACCTAACTTTGATTCACTGCGGGATGATCTACTGAAAATGTCATTTACTGTTGTGTGTTTAGCCGCACCGGTAATTGTCAGATGAAGAAAGGAAATGAAACACTTTTTCTTTCTTGAGAATAAAGGTAAAGAAAGGCCGGCACGGACTCCCCATGAGGCTTTCTTGGTCACGTCGTATTATCGCCTTCAAATTATACTTTTGCTTTCACAAGCATATCTTTTGAGGGATTTTCCCTATTTGTAAGAGATGATCAGAGGTTTTGTAAAAATTGTTTTCAGCAAGGGCTGATTGTGTATCAGACTCCAATGTTTCATCAATATTATGATTTAATTTTTTGACCGTCTGGTGGCACGTTGTGACAAAAGGCAACAATCGTTCGTGACCTTTTGGCTTTTGTGTACATGAAAGGGCCGATTGTTGACCCCCGACAGAGTCCTTCCTATGATGTTTTCTGGGTACCCTCATGCTTTGAAACGTTGTTTGAATTTCAAAAGGACCTCTTCAAATGCTTTTTCGAAGAGTTAGTCCGAAGCAATCTTATTCCTTCGCCTTAGTGAGAACATATTTTTCGCCTAATGGGTGGCACGAATTGGGAGGTCTCGAACGGCTTGTCACGGGTTTTGATGTCAAAGATGGAATCTTCAGCGAATTTTTCCCCTTTAAACACTGTGGTATCCACTTTTTATAGTGGATAAATTTCAAATCGCTACTTCAAATCTCTGACTGGCATACCGTGCACATAAGTTGATCAAGCATTAACCGAACATGGAGCCATTTTCAAAACGCCCGCGGTTTTTGTTTCAGATTCAGACCTAGTTATGTCTATTTGCCCGATGATACCGCCAGAGATCGTTGGACTGTGGGCGAAAACAAAATTAACTGTTCCCACGATTGAAGGAAACGACGATTTAATACCAAAATTTAAAAGGCATAGCGTGGACAAGGCCTCACAGTTATAACACAAAAACAACAGGAAGTGTCAAGGCAACTTTTAAGTTGCGTCGACTGGTTCTCACAGGAAAATGTCACCTTTTAATTTATTCTGAAGGTGTAAAAAGCTTTGACGGAAATGCAGTTCATCGCGACTCTTTTCATCACTGCTATTATTGTTCCCTCAGTAGTATAAAAAAAGGCAATGATGATTCGCGATAAGAGGTCTTCAGGTCTTCAGGAGTGTATCCCAGAACTGATCAGCCTTGGTCGTAAACTAACCTTCTACTTAAGATGCCTCCAAAAGATAAGCGCAGTAATGAAGCGAAACTGTGGTACATTAAAGTGAATTCGGGAGCCGCGTATTTATACAGAGGAGGAAAAAGAGTGGAAAATTTCTTAAACATAATCGGAGCCGAATCATACCAAGACTCATCAGGTTCTGTTGCTGAAGAATCTGGAGCATCACCTCCCAAGAAGAAACTCAAGGTGATTTAAAGTATACAGTATACATTTATTGCTGACATTGGACTCTAAATTCCCATTCAATCCAGGTTATGGCTAAATTACTGATGTATCAATTCACTGTAAGCCTAAAATCTATCATCAATTCTTCTTTCAGCTCGAATTCACTCCAATAAATTCACGGGGCGCGTATCGGTTTGGATCTGTGAACATTTGGGCTCGTAGTATTTAGCAACAGCCAGTTAGACGTACAACAAAGCGATCTGGCAAAGTTACCACATTACGAGGGAGCGTTTTTAACCATAGGTGAAGCAGGGGAGCAGTGCGAGGTAAGATAAAATCTATGTGAGACTCTCCCGCAACCGTTCGACTATCGAGTGACTTGGAAAGAAATGAATTAAGTGACGAGGCATTGTTATTTTAATTGCCCTTGTTAGCATAAGACGTTATGTTTCTTGTCGCCTTCTGTTGTTTTAATTTTCCGAAAAGTTTCATTTTAACCGGGAAATGTTATAAGTTAAGTTAAATGAACTTAATATGAACATTTACTTCATTTTTATGATAAAAAATCATGTTACGTTCCAGTTAGGCTGAGAACGGCACGGAAAAATCGCCTTTAACGAATACATGCAGGATTTTACTACAATCCTAATCAAATCCTGTGTTTTTGTGGATAACTTTTAGTTGTTTGCATTTACTTATTACGACTCATATTTTTCTCTTCACAGAATCCTGATGATGTAATTAGCACTGTTTCCCGCATTAATTTCTGCAAGCTTACATCATTTAACATTGTTTTATTTACAATGGTTGAAGGTGTAAAAAATCTAAAAGAAAAAATGCTAAAAGAGGGCGCTACTCTGGCACAGCATGGCTACTTTTACGTCCAAAATAAACCTCCAACTACAGCACAAGGTAAGATACTTCTAGAATTAAACAACTGTCCTCAGAAGAAAGTTTTAAAAACCTCATAGTCAACAGAATTGAATTATTTGATGTACTTGTAGAGTTAACAAAAATGTATATCATGATTCTATAATCTGAACTTGTTTTGAACTTTCTCCTTGAGAGCGTATTACATGCACAATTTATAATAAGGTTTGGTGAATTAAAACGTTCCAGCAGTGTCGAAAGAAATTAGTAAGTGTATAATACGCATATATCATATTGTTGATACTCATTTTAATTTTTTTAGGTCCGTATTTACAGGAAGCCTTGGAAACCTTTGTAGTTGGACACTGGTCTGTCTCAAGGCAAATAACCTCGAGACATTTGTCCGCCAGTAAAGAAAATTTGATTTTCCTGAATTCATTCCCAGCACAAGGCTACACATGGCTTGTAGAAAACCTCTCCAGAGAAGGGGACGTGGTTATTGATGCTGGAACCCCCAATGGCTATGCAATGGTGGCTGCGTTGAGGAAAGGGCGAAGCGCAGTTAGGATAGACAGTACCGCTTTGCCTTCCGAACAGGCAGCGATAGAGACTAAAATTTGTAGTCTTGTATCTTCCTAGTTTATATGTCAATGACAATCTACTAGTTAGTAAACAATTCAATTGACAAAGTTTATGTTATCAAAAATTTTTTTTTAGTGTAAGTCTGATTTGTAATTTGAATTACCTACTCATTAAAGCTATGGGTCCCGTTGGGAGCCCTTAGATTCCAATCGTGAGGTTCATTTCACTTGTTTTATTTAAAAGCATGGAAAAAGCGTCAGGATGAAGAGTATTGTTGACGTATATAGAAAAACATTAAAAAACTAGAGTTAAAAATGACGGTATAGATTAGGACCCTTAAAATTTCCTATCTGAAACTACTGCAGAATTTCTTCAACACTACACGTAACATGGTGCAGAATTTCTGCAGCACTTGACGTTACAGCGTGCAGAATTTCTGCAACACTTGACGTTACAGCGTGCAGAATTTCTGCAGCACTCGACGGTACATCGTGCAGAATTTCTGCAGCACTTGACGTTTCATCGTGCAGAATTTCTGCAACACTTGACGTTACACCCTGCAGAATTTCTGCAGCACTTGACGTTTCATCGTGCAGAATTTCTGCAGCACTTGACGTTACACCGTGCAGAATTTCTGCAACACTTGACGTTACAGCGTGCAGAATTTCTGCAGCACTTGACGTTAAATCGTGCAGAATTTCTGCAACACTTGACGGTAAATCGTGCAGAGTTTCTGCAGCACTTGACGTTACACCGTGCAGAATTTCTGCAACACTTGACGTTACATCGTGCAGAATTTCTGCAGCACTTGACGTTACATCGTGCAGAATTTCTGCAGCACTTGACGGTACACCGTGCAGAATTTCTGCAGCACTTGACGTTACATAGTGCAGAATTTCTGCAGCACTTGACGTTTCATCGAGCAGAATTTCTGCAGCGCTTGACGTTACATCGCGCAGAATTTCTGCTGCATTTGACGTTATCCAATGCAGAATTTTAAATAAACCAGGTTATCAGATTTTTTAAATATTATGTTAAAATCATAGACTTTATTGTTCATATATTAAACGTTCAGATAATTTTGGGCACTTTCACCATGTTTAACAGACCATGCAGTGGAAAAATGGAATATTTGTATGGGTAAATGCCTTGACATTTAACTGTCCGTGGAATTAAACAAAGCTTTGCCCTTTTGAAACGACTCTTTTCCTTCCTCCGTGAAAATCGAAGTCTTTCTGGTGCTATCATTTATGAGACATTTCCGTGCTTTCTGCCTAGATAGTGCTACTTTGAGGTCACCCTCCCTCTAGGTCTTTAAAAAAAAGGTGTTATTCAACGTATTTTTGCGGAATTGACACTAATTTTACTCCTAAATAAGCCATTTTTGGCGGAAAACGCTATTTTGGAAAACACAAAATAGTTTGGAAAGCGTTAGAATTTACCTTCTCTCGGATCCATTCTTCTCGTTGAAGCTCTTTTTTGCCCTTTGTTGTCTGAGCGCGGAAAAACAATAGATAATTTAAATAACGAATATTACCATGCCATGTCAACAGCTTAATTTTCCGGATCTCGCTTGTTTGTCAGAAGGTTAATGTTACTTTCGTCAAGTGCTTACATCCTTATAAAAACCATAGATCTAGTCCGTATTGGCACACACAGCGTTCAAGCGTGTGTTTGGGATCTCTTTGGTCAAAAATTGGTTTTGAATTCAGCCATTAAATGAAGTATTAATTCAACGAAGAACACACTTCACTGAAGCAGAACTTTTAGCTTACCTTGGCATGCTTGGAAGCTCGGAATTGGGGGCGTTTGTTTCCTTTGTAAGGCAGTAATCCTTGACTAGACGATATATCAAAGGACTTAGAGAAAAAAATCAGAAGAGTACTCTCAGCATCAATTTACATGTTTTGCAGAAATGCCAGAGAATGTAACACGAAGCAATCTCTTAGGGCCCAAAATTTTTATTAGGCAGTCGAGAAAAACTATTGAACTTACCGATTGTGTTCGGCTTATCCCCGCAGTGTTTTCAGGCTCAGCCATCTGGTCCCGTATCTTTCTTTCTATCTCGTCAAGATAAGTATTCTGAAACTGAAAGATTAATCGATTTATGTAAAATATAGCGTAAATTGAGAGACAGGTTTTTAAAAAATTCCAACGTAACCTTAGGAAGCAAATCCGAGTTTCAAGGTCAAAACCAGCGAATTTCTTGGGAAACGGGCAACCACTTGATTAAACAACAGAATACCAACAATTTTATAAACTTTGTGTTCGACAAGCCAGTTTCGCTTTCACGATTTTTTTTCTCACTGATTTCACTGAAAGTTTCAATTTCTTCCCTGTAAAATTTTGCGTGACGCCAGTAGTTTCGTATGTTTTCATGTATGGTTTTGCGCGGGAAAATAGCGTACGGCTGCCCAAAATTGATTCATTTGCGCATGCTCTACTTTGACCGGCTTGTTCTGCATGTGTTCCAGGTCACAGCGCTGATCATTTTCTTTAGCTAGTTATTGGAGAGGATTAACTTCAGTCTCACCTCAGGATCAATAAGCATCCGCCATTCATAGAGTATTTCAAGAGCTTCGGAAAACTTTCCAAGCTGCATTTGGATTTTGATCTTTGTATCAAGAGCTGAGATACTTTCACGGTCAGACAGATTAAGGGCTGATAGAAAAAAAGATTTGCTACAAGGTTATTCATTTGTAAGAACAGTTAGTTAGAACTTTCCCTCACCCTTCCGGGAAAGCCTCACATATTTCTCACATATTCAAAAATGGCTCACCTCGATTGCAGTCTTGATCAGCTTGTAAAAATTTCCCCTATAGACAGAAAAGGGTTTCAAAATCGGCGGTTATGTAAACCTCTGGTTAACACTCTTGTTTCTAGTATCAGCAGTTACCTAGACTAATGGTGTAAACAGCTATAAAAATTTTAAATAATTTCACAAGTTACAAATTTATATTACCGGGTAGGAGTGGGGGACGTTTGTCATCTCGTTTAAGGTGCACTTGGAATAGAATTCCTATATTTTTAACTGTTGGTGTATCATTTGTGGTTTCAACCAAAGAAATTGAAAAAATGCCATCTTTTTTCTAATTCACCTGCCATAAATCTGACATAAATCAACAGTACATTTAAACTAGCTGGAAAATAATAACTTTCGTCTGTACCAAATCTACTCTTACCTGAATGAAATAACATTGCGCTCGGTATTCATGGGCCATCTGTATTCCTTCTGCTCTAGGCGCAAGATTAACCATCTCTGTGAAGATACTCAAAGCTAAATCAGGTTTGTTTTTTTCAAACAATATCGTCCCTTGCTTCATCAGGATGTCGATGGTTCTGTAGATTTGGTGTTCACCCTTAAAGGCAAGGCACACAATACACTGTTCGTGATGGCAAATCCAAACCAAACTTTATAATCTGAACAAATACTTTCGCACTTCACTTTCATACTTCACTTAATTTCCCCTGGTAAACAATGGCGAATATCAGGTGATATTCAACAAGTGGTACTCCCGACTTTTCAAATCTTGCGAGAGATGCAACGAAAATATTCCTAATTGTTTATCAAAGATTGGAGGATGTTTCTCTGTTGGTAGCAAAAGAAACGGAAACCGTGTTTGTTCATAAATTCGCTCTGAAAAGTTAAGCTTAAAGTTTAATGGCGTTGAGTTTTGAATGTTTTGTTCTGTGTTGCAAAAAAATTGGAACGATGATAAATACAATAGCCTACATTCTACTCCCTCGAAGCTCAATCATTTCCTCGAGCTTCGCTTTTGGAAACATATTATGTCCGCAGACTAATATTCTAGAATATTTTCACGCCACATGGAGGCTACTGTTGACATATCAAACTGATTTTGTTCAAAATTTGACGTTGAGCATACGAAGATAACAAAACGATACCTGTCTGAAGAGCGATTTGACCTTTGTTCTTAGTCTGCGCACAGCATCTTTGTCTCTTGACTTCTGCAAAGTAAAAACGGTTCGATTGACATAAGAAAACGTAAATTGTTGCTTCTTCTTCTTCACCTGTGCCACACTTTCTTTCCAGGTGGGAGCTGGTTATGATAACTTTAGTCTAGAGAGATCTGAGATTTCTTTTGATGGTCAGGTTTGTGTAGGAACAGTTCCGGGGGCCTCACGAATTTATGAATGTCAAAGTAGACGACACACGAATTATCCCTAATTTTGGCATATTTTGAAGTATGCCACGACTCAACTGATAACTGACTGATAGCTGATTCCCCCATCATTGGCAGTTAATTGGCCGTCTATGGTCCCCTTTTTATGCTCTACAGTCTCCTCTGTTCCCTCCTGAAAACCATATGATCCCTATAATGACCAGTCTCTAAAGGGTTCGCTATGGCACCGCACTACGACCGTTTTTAGAATTCTATAAAAAAAAAAAAAAAAGAGAATTTAAATATCATTGGAATAAATCCATGGATTCTGGATATCATTTGAACGCCAGTGCCACCTAAGCATCAATATCACTTGAAAGAGCTTGATTTGATACTACGTGAAATTAATGAATGGAGAAGTTACCTCGGGATTGAGAGCTTCAAAGACAATAGCATGAATGAAGGCTTCTTGCACCTCTCCCTGCAATTCTAGAGCTCGTAATCTCAGGAAGGCTACATGTTCGTTTCCGCAACCAGTCAAGGTTTCGCCTTGAAAAGAAAACGATAAACGAATATGATATGATTTATCATGTGAAAACATTTGTTATCTGCCTTTTCCATTTCTCGCTCAAACTAAAATAGTCAGTGGAGAGGAAACAGAGCAATGGACGATTCAGTCTTTGAGTCAATTGAGCTTGTTAGTGTCATCATCAGAAGAGCGATTGGGAACATCTGTCCCACCCTACTACGCAACTTGATGTACTTACAAACATCGCAGTCATGTAAAACATGTTGCACATAATTCTGAAAGAAGAACAAAAGTATTGTCATTATTATATAATGAGATTAAATGATCCTTGACCAATCAGAAAGCGTGCGTGTCTTTAAGCATACTTTAGCATTATTGCTCAGGTGATTATAGAAATGTGCGCACTCTGATTGGTAGAGAATTACTTTCTGATCACATCGTACGAGTTGTTTGTTACTAAAGCAATTTTGTATGACTAGTTATTTGAATGACTTAGCGGTCTTTAAAAATACTAATAGCTGATAGCCAGTCACGTAAAGCAACTGAGGAATCATTCAAAATTACCAAACGAAGTAAACATTCAGCTCGCTTGCACAGAATATAGGCCACCCGTTCAGCAGATGTGGGAACTTGAAGATATTCAACAGCCGCAGTGTAAAGCGCAGCTGCAGTACGATAGTCTTTGGTCTCCAAAAACCGATCAGCATTTTTCAGAGTTTCCTCATGGTTGGTTGATACAAGGGCTGAAAGGAGCAAATCCTACCATGAAAAAAAATGGATACTGTTCATATACTGCCCAGTTAAGACAGATGTAAAACGAAAAAGGGTTTTTCCTAAAGCTAACTTTGGACTGACTAGTTGTGTCAGAAAAATTGTCAGGTTTTAAAAAAAAAACTTGTCAATGATATTTTAACAGGAAAAATCTATCGAGCTATACCTTGCAACGTTAGTCAAAGGCGTGGGGTGCACTCCTCAAATTTCCGAAGACCTACCCAACATATGCAACCTCCTCATAGGCTTTCTCGCTCGGTTTGAGATACCTGTCAGCCTACTAAACAAGGGTTTGTGTGCGAAGCTTTGATCCGGTGACGTGAGAATCGCAAGTAGGCAGGTATTTCTAAACAATTTCGGCAAAAAATCTTCCTGAAAAATCATTTGCGGTAACACTTTCGACCCCTACAAGATTTTCTTTGACATGTTCCGCTTTCAAAATCTACTGAACAATAATATACCTGATAATAATATACCTTGCAACGTTAGTCAAAGGCGTGGGGTACACTAGCTACTCAAATTTCCGAAGACCCACCCAATATATACAACCTCCTCATAGACTTTTTCGCCGGGTTTGAGAAACCTATCAGCCTACTAAACAAAGGTTTGAGTGCAAAGTTTTGATCTGATGACGTGAAAATCGCAAGTAGGTAGGCATGTCATATCAGCAACAAATCTCTCTGTCAAATCATTTGCGGTAAAACTTTCGACCCCCTACAAGTTTTTCTTTGATATGTTTCAATTTCAAAATCTACTGAGCAATAATATTCAAAATATCAAGGATAAAATTTTCATTTACGTACACTCCCCAGAAAAACTTTTCTAAGAAAAAAAAAAATGTTGCTATGGGAAACTTGCTAATCCAAATCGATCTTAACCAGATAACCGGAATTATTTTCGGAAGTTCTACGAGACTTGAATTGCTCACAAACCCTTTAGTTATCCTAGTTAACTCCATTTTTGATGATATAATCCATCATAAGAAGCTGGGTTAAAGGTCAAAGTATGATAAGCAATAAAATTACAACAATTTCACTGACCTGTGGTACTGGAAATGGCAAGGCGTTAAAAGAAACGGAACTGAAAATGATATCAAAATGGTTCATGTCAATGATACAAATTCACTACATAATGGACGAAAATATAAAACTTTGGGAATCGATCCTCGTTCCCAAGGCTCCTCCTCCTTCTTTCCTTCGCTTTGCAGGCGGGAATTTGCCGGAATCTAATTTTCTTTTCCACCCAAAAATGTCAAAACTAAATTGTAAGCTAATAATCAAAGTAATTCCACACGCCCATTTACAGTCAGGACAATGAACCAATGAGAACTTAAAGTAAAAGACATGCAAACTGTCTTGGTTTTTACACCTTAACTGTTGACAGGATGACGAATATTTTGTAAACCAATCTCAAAGCAAAGTTAAACAAACCAATGAAATCCCAGATTTCGCTCCAGGGCTCAAACATCATTTGTGGATAATATTCTATACCTTTGGTAGGCCATGTAGGATTCCAAGTGACCTAAAAAGCTGGAATCTTGTCAATACCTAAAAAGGAGGAAAAACGAAAAAGGCCAACTCAAAGAAAGACTAATAGAACAGTTATGAAGAGAGACTCTGTCCAAAACCTCTCGCGGCTTCGCGTGCTTCTTTTTATTAACGGCTCTACCGCTGGACGCTTCAACGCATGAAAAAACCGCCAGCTACTTAAACTATACAGTCCTCGATTCACGGAAATTATACCCCACTGAAAACAATGCCACGAAACGGAAACCAAAACATTTACTGACTTCGGCTGAACAAAAAGTGAATTCTTTTGATCGTGCAATCTGATTGTGCTGTGAGAGTATTCCTGAGAACGACTGCTGTCGGCAATGGTAAACTGCAGCACTAGGAACCTTAAGTGAAACCAAGATGGCGACAACAACGAGAACATGCCAAAAGAGTAGATCTTATAGACAAGAAAAATAGCTCGATTCGTGCGTTTTGAAACTTTGTACATTTCTAAGCCGTCCTCAGGAAATCGTCAAACTTTGCGTGGTCTTGTGACGGTAATTAAGACGATGAATTATTTACGTTTTTATTTGGAACTCTACGCTTCGCTAGCTCCCATGTAACGCTTAAGTTAAGGTAAGGCGCCGTAAGAAACGACAGATATCTCGATCTTTTCGCAAAATTCTAAATAAGTTAGTTAAGAATTTAATTTTTAATCGACGTTTTCCCATACCGTAGCCGTTCTGACGGTCCCTAGACGGACGTTTCGAGAATCTAGGTGGAAGTCATCTTCAGAGGAGTAAAAAGTTGTTTTAAGTCCGATCCCGGTAATAGGTTCGTTCGTCACCACTATCGAAGCTTATCGCAATAAATCAATTCCGCGTGTGAGTCACCTACGAATCCTCTACAATGGAGCTCCCCTCAGAATCGATAACCCAAATATAGAATTCTGCCTCGCTTCTTGAAGAAGTTCACCGATTAAGTTACCGACAAAAATTTCTCTGCCTTGCAAAAAGAAGAGGTGTTTAAGTCTGTGAAATCACTATATACGCGGTGTTTAATAATTAAAAAATTAATCAGAATGTGTGAATACTCACAAAACTATAGTTTGGCATCGTGACAGTAATTCAAAGCCGCTTGGAGCAAGTCGCGACAGAACTCACGCGACAGCTCGAACCTGTTAGGTAGAATTTCTACCGACTGTGAAATTCCAAGTGAACATTTTCTCATTCTGTTCGAAAAACCTTTCTTGATCAGCAATGGATGACATGAGATAAAGAAATTTCCTTCCTGTACAAAACACTTACCTCGAGCTCTAAACCAATGTTTAATTTTATCCTTCTCCTGTATGAATATAGTTTGACTCGGAATGTCTCGGCAAGCGAGCAGCAACACTTGCTTTCTAAACTTCAAGCGATTTATCAAAATTTCTCGGCTACACCTATTAAAGAGACCGAGAGTTTAGTGAATATGATTACGAACATGGCATTACAGCGCGTATACTACACAAGAGGCAGCAGCTACAAACCTTGTTTTGTCTTCTGAAACTAAATATGCAAATGTTGAACATGTGCGACCTTATGGTCCTGGCGCGGTGCATTCGTCACGGTTGATGATTCCCAGAGGAAATTGAGGAAATCATGAAATTTCTAGAATAAACGTATCGGCGGACAAATTTTTGAAAAACGCAAAAATTTTCTTTTATGACGTTAAATAGCACAGCATTGATAAATATCAGAGGGAAAATTATGATCAACTAATGCCTACTGATTCATTATGACGTTTATGCTGAATTCAAATCAAAGGAAATAGGTTCGCCTAAAAAAGTCGAGAGGATGTAACTCGCTTTTTAAGAGTCTGCTCAGTACTTGAACGAGCTCTTTTACACAAAATGGATCGCAGTATTCCCAAGATTGGAACTCATTTGCCATTAGAGAAACATCATCAACGATAAAGGAGTCAAGGACGAGCATAGTTTAGAGTGGGGACTGGGTCTGGGTACTGGCAATTGAAGAAGTGAACAGCTGTGGCCATATTTCCCAGTTACTGACGTACACGAATGGCAGCTAAATTGGTGCTGTTGGATCTTGGCCTGAACGTTATGAAGAAGTGTATCTCCAAAAAATGACAGCTGACGCAAGCGTATTAGGATATTCTGCTTCTTTCCTGACAGCTTAAAACTGAACTCCCAAGAAATTTAAAATATCAGTAGACCACGGGGCCCCAGCCGCGCGCGCGCGAAAAATTAAAAGCACTAAAATGTGAAAGTACACATAAAGTCAAACTACTGAATATCGAAATAAGCACCTTTCATATGATAATTTGCAGTAGTTTAATTTAACCACTATCTGTTTCAGTTTAGCACATCATGTCTGTTTGATTAGCGGTTGATAGCGTAACACCTAGTAGACTAAAGTTTGAAACTTTCTTTCCCCCTTTTTATTGGACATTTAAACTTTTTTTTCTGATAATGCTTTTCTTAACTTCGGTCACAAATTAACTAACCAAACTAAACCCTAACCCCTAACCCAAAACCCTAAGCATTTTGTTTCCTATTATATCACAATGAAGGTAAACTTACGTCAACAAAGACAATAATGAGATCGACGATGCTGTTAACGCCAACGGCAAACCAGGCAAAAAGTAAAGGAACTGCTCTAGATCTATCTATTTATCTAAGTTTCGTATACATCGGAAATGAAATCGAAGAAAAATAGCCAAAAGTTACTTGCAAACGGCTAATGCAAACATTTTCGCTTTGACGCACAAACAGCTGTAGGCCGATGGCGAGAAGTTTAAAACGTTACGTCGTACCCTCTTATAACAGGATAATTTTTACTAAATATGTAAATGGTGATAATTTTCATTGCCCGCGGAAGCAGACAAATCAAGTGATCGACGAGCAATGAGATACATAAAAAGAACACAGCAAATCAAACAAAAGGAAATAAGCTGTAGAAAATTCTCTTCGAGATATTTTTCTTTGTAAAATATTTTCATCTATTGAGACCGGTTTTGGATAGTGTTCATTTTTACCACATAAACTGCGGTGTTAAACAAAAACACAAAACGCCCTCTAACTTGAATCACTTTACATTTACAAGAAGACATCACAAGAAGCAACAATACATCATTGAATGATACATCACAAAAAGAGGCTATTTATTTAGTGAAAAAAAGACATTACAATTCGTTTTATGGATAATAAATAATTATCAGTACTTCATTTTATTTTAAAAATAGCCCTATGTACAAAAATACAATTATGAAAGATGAACCTGATGTCTACATGCGCACATCCCGCTACTACGTTATTAGAATTGTCGATGCTTTTTCCTTCTATGAATAGTAAAACATTTCTCAACTGAACAACAGTTTTCTGAAAATTTACACTAAACTGCCTTAACAGCAGCGCATATAACGCCAACTCTCGCCAGCAAAGTTGCACTCAATCTCGTTCACAAAGCCACGGTTTTTACCCACCAATAACATGCAAGTTAAATATTCGGTTTTGAACAGAGCTCTGCGGAAACAGCTCCGCTGAATGGAGAAAAGGCCCTGGAAACGAAATTGCATTTCCCACACCACTTTTCACCAAACACATACGACGCTGCCACTCTAAACTGTCGGCAACAAACTACAATAAAAGTTTTTATTGCCACAATAGCTAGGAAAAGCTTTGCAGTGTAACCCTACACTCCTCCACTGTCATTTCCTTTACATTTTTCCAAGGTTTCATTTTAAATCTCAATACGCAGGTGTACCGTACAGGTAGTGTACATTCATTAAGGTCATTTTTCCAAGATCTTGACCTTTAACCCTTTCACCCCCATGATCTCATCAGTAATTCTCTTTACTGTCTGCTATATAATTATGATGATGTTACTTTAGAGAATTTGGTATTGGATCAAGATTATAGTCCTTAAATTGATATTTTTCCTCATTCTCATCACTTGTCTGATTGATATTGTCTTGATATTGTAAGGAGAAATTCTGTCTTGGTCACTCATGGGAGTTAAAGGGTTAATGCCCAGCATCTCTTTGCCTTCTTCGAGTAAAATACCAAAAATAATTAACCCTTTCATTCCAGGGAACTGCTCAGCTATTCTCCTTGCATTGTGATTAGAAGGATTAAGTGTCACATCAAGATAAGTGGATAAGTTTTGCAACTCTTAGTAGCTCCTACTGGGTAATGTATCGATATTGTGAGGAGGAAATATATATTATCACTTCGGGACCGTTAAAGGATTGAAAAATAACAACAACAACAAAAACAATACCGAAAGAATTTTGTCAAATCCTCTACAATCGTAGTCTATTTCCTGTTAAGGTAAAAAGCTGATAATCAATGAATAAAAATTTTCTTCCCCCAGCAACATAACGCGTGAAATGCAGGCAAACAGAATTTTTCTTAAAAACGAGTAAAACATGAATTCATTACTCGATTCCAACAATACTCAAGTTGTAGAAATTGAGGAAATATATGTGGTTTCTCCAAGTGATATGTTTTGTATAAAAAATATGGCGAGAATAGGATTTTTTTTCAACGTCAAGTCATTTTGCATTTTGGTATATACTACCATATGTCCTGGAAATACCGTAAATTTCGTGAAATAATTTCATATTTATATCTTTCAATACCTAAAGAAATGTTGATATATTTTTAACACAAATTCAAATTTCATTAACCTGATGTTTTCAGCATCATTTTGATTCCTGTAAATTTAATTTACTTTCCACCGGACTACCGCTTCGGTTTTGCTCTGTACAAGTTATTTCTTTTGATTGCAACACTACAATTTTAAAACAAAACTAACCCTTCGGAGATTTCCACGTAAACCACACGGTCAGACGGGGCGGACAAACGGGAGACTAGGGCGAACCACGTCTTTTGTTTCCCAGTTTGCCTTTCAACCTTTCTTGCAGCCGCGATAAAAATTTAAATTAGCTTTCATCCTGTCCTCTCCTTAGTTAATGATAATTCAGCACTCTATTAACAAATATCTGAGTCCTTTCTTAAGAGGTCATCACTCGTCTATCTACACCATTTTTTAAAACAATGTACAAATATTTAATTTTCTTCTACCGCTTCTTTTCAGTCTTCTCAGTTGAGTAGATCGAGATAAAAGAATCCGTGCTGCCAGCGGCCAGATGGACCTGAAATCATCAACAGAATCAATCGTAACCCTTTAACCTCTATGAGTGATTAGCATAAAACTTTTCCTTACAAAATCACCCCTGTGTCAAACTCTGAGACCATGAGAAGAAAAGAAATGTTCACCAAAAATAAAGAGGCTTTTGATTGTTAAACAAATTCTCCTTGTCAGCACCAGAGGAAATATATAAGAAACACCATGGAGGATATGCATCTTTGTTGTTCAATAAAGGGTTACGCACAATCATCGCTAAGGTCTGTCACGCAACCTTCTAAACTAAATATTCAGTTTTCACTCACTCTGTGCGGATGGAATTCAAGACAGCTGATAGGACCAATCCGCTGACCCATAAAACCGTCGTGATATCTTATGGTACTCAGGTTCCCTCCGTCCAGGTTGTATACCTTGATCATTTGACTTGCAGAGCCACTGGAAAAATAATAACATATCTTTTACCCATTATAAAACAATGGGCCAGTGTTTTCATGGCGTGTTCTCACAAGAGTTTAACATTTAAGTCTGACATGTTGACTCAGAGATGCACTTGTGTCGTTGATGAACAAGAATAGTTTTTGTAGCTGGAGGCAAATTGAAACAGGGAAGCCAGTCTGTCACAGGCTACCCAGTCTGAGGCAATTACCCACTCTATCTCCCTCATCCTCCCTCCCCCCCCCCAAAAAAAAGGTCGAGCTTTCCATACTGATTCTCTTAGCGCAATCCTGCCTTAGTTTTAATATGAAGCCATTAACGGATGTTAAAAGTCATTGCTAATCTCTCCAAAGTCAAGAAAAGGCAGTTAGTGCAATACCAAGGAATATTTTAGTTGCCTCCTTACATTTTCCCCTAGTTCATCTTGCTATAAAAAAACAAGATGCAGTACCCTTTGTCGACACTTTCACACAAATGTTGGACCAATGTTGGACCAATGCTGGACCAATGCTGCTAATACTCACGTGGCGAACACTTTAGCTTGCTGGTGAACCTCGAACGCCGCCGCATTACCGATAGTTCTCAGGGTTCGCACTGATTCTGTGAAACGCGGATCCCAAAATTTGACGTCTCCAGCGACACTGTAAACAAGAAAAGAAAACGATATTCCTTCCTAAGTTTTGAATTAGAATCAAAGGTACGCTCATGCAATGCTCACTTCCCGTTCTCATAGCATGGCCTCCAGCCTCGCTCGCAATCTTTGTTGAGCTTCGTCCGAGAAGGGGGGAGGGGAGGGAGGGCGCTGAGAGAAGAAAAGAAATGACGACTGAGGAGGAACTACATTTTAAATCTACTGTTTACCTTGCACTTATGATGTTCCCATCGCCACCTTTCTGTAAGAAAACACCAGTAACCCAGCCTAAATGCTCACGAAGCGCCATTACTCGGCTGCAAGACAAAGAATGATACTGTTATGACTGAGCGACCAAAGCACTCAAAAATAACATTTTAAGATTGACAACAACCACAACAACAACAAAAAAATGTGGAACAAGGTGAAATAAAAAATCTGTTTGCTTCTTTACTTAGCTAACAGCTGAGACGGTTTCTCGACCTGCACTACATGTCTGTCTGGTAACGTATTTATAATGAAAGAAGAAACTTCATGTTAATATTGTAGGGAGAAATTTTCTACCTGTCGCTAGGCGGCAATCTTCTATCAAACAGTCTGACGGACCCATCACCACAACCAGCTACTAGCAGCGATCTACCCACAGAATCACAAGCTAAACTCGTCACACAGCTGTCTGCACCGGTGGGAATGTCCTGAAATAAAGAAAACTTTCCTTAATTTCCCATTCAAGCTCTGCTGTTGACGGTTGTCAAACTATACTAATTGGTTGTTTACCTGAAAGGAAACTCAAGTCAGTTCTCTAGAAGCTTTTGTAACTTTACCTCTTTTTCTCTATTCTTTGTACTCAAGAGGTAACTTTCTAAACGAGAACCACGGCAATTTTTAAATGAAGAAGTAACACAAAGCATACGCAGGCATGCACACACATGAAACTGCTTTCTCGTATTCGCGTCATTGAAACACTCACCTGCATCCTCATCTCTCGATGAGTGTCCCAAACTCGAATGAACCTAACATCACCTGATGCTAACAGGGTGCCGGTCTGCTGTTCCCAGCCGACGACAAGACCAGAACCACTTCCTGCAACAGGAGCAGCATTCAAATCAACCAAAGAATTCCTTCGATTTTCACTTTTATGAAAGATCTACAATTTGGGTAGACGAAATGTTGCCCTCCCTCGGCCCAGTGAAAGAATCACAGCGGTCAAACGCAGGGCATGCGCAACGGGATCAATTTTGGCCGGCTGCGCGCAAATTTCCCGCGCAACCGCTATCACGGAAAAACAACATAACGTTTATGTAAATCTGTTAAATGTTACGATAGCAAGGAAAACGAAAACGAAAACTCGAGACTTCTCGTACTCAAAGATTATTTAATTACAGATTACCCGCTAATTAACAATTTCGTTTTGTATTTTATCAACAATTTTATATGGTTTTCAAACTCCGCGACTTACTCGCTTGTGTGGTTGTTTCTAAGACAACTTGCTATTCCTCTAACTGTAGTTGGTCTACAGAAAAATCGCGAGTCAGAGCCAAAAAAGACTCTTCTCAGAGGCTCACTTTTTATATCTTAACCAACTTCAGCAGTCACAAGGCGAAAACAACCCGATTCAACTTATTAACAAGCATAATCTCAATACTTTCACCATGATATCACACCAACTTTTTTTTACAAACCTCGAGTGGACGGAAGCATCCCGGACAAAGCTTGCCATGCTGTCACCATTTCCAGACTTTTGTCGCCGTAATTTTCTCCCTCGATATTTCCCCATACTCGTACGGAGCCATCGTCTACAAAGTTGTTAACACAAAGAAACAAACAGTTAATTCAACTCCGTTTCAGTTAAGGGCAAGTGACCTTGGATCATTTTTCAGCAAAGTGACAACTCAGAACTCAGTCGGAATCGGTTCTGAGGAGGGGAGGATAAATTTAATCCTTACCGGTTCCTGTTAACAACAGCGTCAAGTCATGTGCGTTGAGGAATTGCATGCTCGTGATGCGCGACACTTTAGGGTTGTTGTTGGGAATGTAGTTTATTTTCACTCCCTCCGCCCAATTCCAGATACTGCAAAATAACAAGAAAGGGAAACATTTTCAATTTTGGTCCCATGCAAATTATGGTTTTTCTCCTACATCTTTCCCAAACCACACTGAGCCACATATGACTCCTTGGAATGGCTAAAAATGGTTTCGTGTTTTTTGTAAACAACAATCCGTCAATGGATCGAAGCCCCCACACTCTTTTCGTTTGTCTCGCTACAAATAGAATGAAAACAAATTCCTAACAATTTCGAACAATGTTGAACATTCTTGACGTAAGGTTTCCATGGCAATACTACGGCCTCTTAGAAACTCCCTAAATTATATTTTTATGTGCCTGCAACTCAAAAACGAGTTAGGCGACCCCCTCATTCTATTAGTGAATTCTACTCAATATTTTCATTCATCTTTCTGCAAAGTTACAAATACTCTATTGATACATTTCAGAGTCACCTCAACTTCACGTAAATATTACTGAAAACATCTTGAGAAGAACTGACTTTTACTTCTACCTCTGAGGGGAATTTAGTTTCTTAGCCTGTACCTCTCCTGCCTAGGAGAAAACATCGTGCCGATAGTAAACTGACATACGTACCTCACCCCACCCCTATCAGCAACAGCTAGGTGTGGTTCATACGGGTGAAATCTCAACACCCCTGGCGCACTCACATTCTTATTAACAAATATCTGATCATCAATTTTTCCTGAAGCTGAAAGAACGAAGGACGGTTAACAACAAAATTCTCCACATTATGTCAACACACAAAGTATGGCAAAACCAAAGAGGTCTCGAATCACTTTTGACGCTCAATTTGAAGTTGCGCTGGTATACATATTACCTGTTTTAGCTTGTTGTTTAGCCGCCTCCCACCGTACTTTTGAGTTTCTTTCAAATCTCCACTCTCTTTCGAAGTGCAGGTGACTTTGAGGATCATGTTCCTCTGGTACCTACAACAAAAACATACTCATCAACTGCATTTTTAAGACGATTCGTTAATTTATTTGCGGCGTCGAATCCTTGCCCTCATGACAGCCTTACAGTACAACTGGGCAAGCCTTGAAATGGAATCCCCAAGGCAGAACGAAAAGAGGACGCCCAAAAAACTCCTAGCGGCAACATGTTTAGGCTGAGATGAAGAATTGGGGCTGGCCACACCTGGACCACACTCGAAAGTTCAGGAAAGGAAGAAGTGGAGAAGGGAGACCCTTAATGGCCTTTGCTCTACAAGGCAGCTTCACATTTGTCTGAGCTGGATTACCTTGGTAACAGATTGAGCAAAGTAGCTGGCACACCAGTCAGCAAAGTTAGTGGTGACCATTGGAGGTTTGGAGGAGCCTGTTTCTTCGTCGGATTCTTGGTCGTTATCTTCACTTGCGCTACTTGGCTGTTTCGAATGCTGTAAAAAAAAATCAAAAGATGATAAAGATTAGATCAAAATATTGCCGGTTGAAAGGCTACCCGGAGGGGCAACATGGAAGGTTAAACACCTTGAAAACATGAAGCCGACATTTTCAAGTTCATCATTTCCCATTCTGATTAATCTTCTCCACCTCTCCAATGACATTTACATAAAGCAAGAAGGAAGGACGACATTTATCAGCCCAAACCAAATCTACGCATGGGAAACAGAACTTTTAGATACCAAGGATCGACTTTTTAAAATACTTTGCCTTATGCCTCTAAGCAAGCTGAGTCCTTGCAGACTTTAAAGCATCGATTTAAAATCTATAAGTTTTAAAACTTCCATTTTAAATTTTATCACCTATAGGACTGCATGCGAATTTTTTAAATCTTTTATTGTACCTTATATAATTTTAGGAATATATTAGTTAGATGGATTTAGTAATTTTTATTGTAAGACAGTATTATTAGTTTCAACTTCAAGGCCCCTCTGGATACCAGCCTTGTCGCTGAACGAGCTTCCCTAAATAAATAAAGTTTATCACATCACATCACTTTAAGTACCTTGAGTAGAGTAGTTATGACCCCTTGAGTTTTTTTTTCAAGGATTCAGTTGCACATGAACAGAAGATCGAAATTAACTATCGTCGCATAAACTGATAATCTTTCTGAACGTCAAATCGATGCCGGGACCAAGTCATACAAGCAACAAGGTAATCGTAATTAAATACTTAAGACACACATAACCCACCTCAGGACCTTTGTCGAACATTTTCCGTTTTGTATGGAACTCGTAAGAGTGAGGAAATGCTGCCCCAAGGGGACCGGGGTTAGAGCCTTTGGACTGGTTAGGATCCATTTTCATTATACGAGGCGTTTCATTGGAGTTGCTATGAGGGGGAGGAGACATACACGGGCTAGATTAACAAAAAGGAACAAACAAGTTAAAAACTGAACGCTATAAAACTTTAAGATCTACAGTAGCCGATCTCAATAAATATGAATACTTTTGATTGATTGTTTCAAAGAATACGCTGGTTTAGAGCAATTTTCAACTGTGTCAAAAGTTATCTGGGATTGCTTTGCTTTTGCATCACTTCGCTCTGTGATTGGTCCAGTAAATTCGCGTCTCTCACTCTACCAATTAGATGCAAAACTAAAACCACTCACGACTTGGTAGTCGCGTTTTTCCCGCTCTTTTGGCAGTTTGGTTGTTTTTACTTTGACTTTTCATTGGCACTAAAAGGTATCTTCCTTTTTTTCTGATTACTTTGGTTTCAGTTTTACAACACAGTCGACATGCGCGACCTTTCTAACCAATCAAAAGTAAGACTACAGCCAATCGTCACGTGATCACTCTCAATTTCCCGCGCTACCACAGTCTAGTTACTGCAAATGTTCATCGGCTCCTTGTGGTACTTTCCTTGTTATCTTATTGGCCGTTGTAAAAATACTGCTTTTGGGTTTATGCCATATAATCGAAAAACGTAAAAAGTTTAACGCCCAGTGAAGATTGTTCAATTTCACTCACTCTGAGCCCGCGTGGTACGGAAATCTCCCGGGTGATGACGGGGCAGAAGTAGAAAGGCTGGATGACGGCGTCTGTGCGATCCTTTTGGGGCAAGCAGCAATGGTGGCCTTCGTAACAGAAAAAGCTTTCATTTACCTCAAGAAGGTTGATAGGAAAATATGAATGACAAAAATAAAGAATCAGCAGAGAGAGCAGTTCCAGTGAGCAGGAAGTTTAACACCCGGAGATACTTTTTCAATGCAATATTAACACTGACATTGACACACATTTCGAAATTAATGCTTGTAATACAAACTAACCTTCAAAGTTATGCTATTTACGATCTTTTTGGCGAGATCTGCAACACCCACAAATGGATCAACCGACAGATTGAGCAGAGCCTGCAGAATCAAACAATTTCATCAGTTTTTCTCTGAACCCAAAGAGTCATCAGTGATTCTGGAAAAGAAACTAATCGAGTAACAAAACCGAAGTCATGCAAACGTCATGTTGAGCATTAAAAAACTGCCAAAATTTTATTGATCGCTTTATGTGAGAGCTTCCAGCCTGCATCAGAAACTTAAAAAATTTGGTCACATCTTGAATTAACCCTTAAACTCCCAGAAGTGATTAACCTGTAAATTCGCCGTATAATATCCATACATTACCCAGCAAACAGGTAATGAGAATACTCAAACTTATCAGGTAGAAGTTGTCATCAGGATCTAACACCAAACTCTTGTCACCAGTTTACAAGGAAATGTGTCACAGCAGGAGGGGAGAATTTATCTTAGGAGTAAAAGGGTTAACTTAAGCAAGCATTCATCATCCAATGACACATCAAAGATCGAGATACTTTTGAGATTATTGAAACCTTCAAAAGTTACACTTGCTTTTAATTCGTTGGCCTGCCGTGATATGGTTAAAAGCAAATTAAACATAATTTGCTTTCGTTAGGCATAATTATCTAGTAACAGATAATTACAATTAACCAAATACTTACCTTCCATACGTTAGCATAAACATTAGACTGAAAACTTGAAGACAGGGAATTTTGTGAGCCTGTCCGCCGCAGATCTTTCATGCCAGGAATAAAATCATTGCTACCAGAACTGCCACTACTACTACTGTAAGTCATTAGTGACGATGACATATGCTGGCCTGTAAAACACAAAATTGTAACCACGTTTTAGAGTTAAGACATACTGGGCCGATAATTTAAACGAGGTCTAACCCAAACCTACGACTCGGTTTTGTTACACAACGGTTAAACTTTGTTCAAGTAACAGGTTACTCCAAACTTTGTTCAAGTAATCATACCATTATGTTTTCTATTCTATAGATGAAACAAATAAATGAGACACCTACCCTCTCCTTCCCTCATTAAATAAAGTTACACGTCAGCGATAATTAAGCAACATTAACGTTTTTCGTGGGGGTGGGGTGGGGGGGAGGTTACCAATCAGATAGCAGAAGATGAATATTGCAGCAATGATCCAAGCCGTCTTTACAATTTAGTGTGACATTTTTCTATTCCTCAACAGGTTACTCCTTCCTGAAACATTTTTCGTCACCTCTGACGTAACAAACCACTTTCTAGAATGCGAAATGGCCGTCATTATTAGCGCTACACCAACGTTTCTTTGCCCGCGGAATTGACGACCATACCGCTAATAAGGAGCCAAAATGATCCTGGACTAGTGATTGGCGGAAAGCAAGAGGCCTCGAGTAAAACGAGCCTGCGAGAGGTCCGCAAGGTGTCCAGCGCCTTTTTATTAGCGCCACACCCCCGCCAAACCTCTCCCCGACTCGTCTCAAATCTTCCCGGGGCAGAAAAAAATAATTAGCCTGCGGTGCTAATTATGAGGGCCTTCTCGCAAGCAAACCGCTATACTCCTTTAACAACACAGCCCTCTGTAAGAAATAAAAAGTCCTAGAAAGATACAAGTTTGAAAATTCCTCACCACTAACAACAGGAGGATTAGCAGCGAAAGTATTGAGATTCGACGTTGAAAAGCTGGAGCGTATTCCTTTGGTGTTCTTGACTCCACTGTTGGGGCTCATGTGCGTAATGGGCTCCAATCCTGAAGAAGGGCCAGAGCCGACCACAATCCAGCCACTAGGTGTAATTGCCGCTGCTGGGGGTGCATTCTCTCTTTGACGGTCTTCTTCTAAGAATTGCAGAGCCACCACGCCAAAGTTGGTTTCAAACTGCAGCACCAGTCCGTGGAGAGCGACAACCAGTTCCTGAAATAACCAAAGCAACCCTTAGATTAGAACAATTTTCGATTGACTGTCGCAAGTAATGAGATTGCATTGGTTTTTCTGTATTTCACTCTGTGATTGGATAAGAACATTCAACTCAACCAATCAGAAGCAAAACTAACACCAATCACAACTTGGTCACCCGCGTTTTCCCGCGCTTTAGGCAGTTTGGTCGTTTTCACTTTGAGTTCTCATTGACTCTAAAAGGTATTTTCCTTTCTTCCGATCGGTTGTCGTGATTAATTTGGTTTTGGTTTTACTACATTAAATCGAAAAGCACTCTAAAACCAATTACCCAATGATTCCCTTCAAGAGAGATCCACAGGGTTTTCGTAAAGAAGTTTAGTAGAGAAAAAATTGACGAGATACCTTTCTAACGAGCGGACTTCCATCCAAGGACTGTTGGGTCAGAGTCATGGCCACTCCAAAGTCAATCTGATTAGCTTGGTCAGATCTGTCCCCACTGTTGGCTACAAATCGTCCCAAGGCAAACACCGCTGCAGCGCGTACCTTGATGAAAATAATCCTCTAATTAAGTAAAGGAGCGCTAATAGTTTGCCAAAGTTGTGCTCGAAAACTTTACGCTTTAATTTGGAGGGTTAAAAATCGTGACCTTCATGTAGCGTCTCAAAGATCGTATCATGTTAAGTACTCGTGGTATTTTGACACCTTTACCAATGTTGTGAAAATTTAGGTATAATTATTATAATTATTGACAGCAATTTTTTTCAGTTCTGGTTGAAAAGAAATAGCATGAAAAACTACATCATAAACAAACAAAAAAAAAACTGTTGAACTCGTTCTTTTGGTTGGAGTGGTTTGAGATGCCCTAATAGCTTACGTTCAATTTGCAGGTCATCGAGATGTATCTTGATTCTATTCAATCAATTGGTAAAAGTATCGAGTTACTACGTTGGTCAAAATGAGCCTCTTCTATACTTCACCAGGCCTCTTACCTCTGGAAGAGGATCAGAAAGAAGGCAGTACAGTTTGTCTGGGGCACTATCCCTTACTGCACACCATCTGGCGGCTTCATAATGATACCACACCCGACCAAGACAGATAGCAAGCCACTGTCGCAATAGAGGGTGGGGATCATTCAGCTGCTCCAGACAGATGGCAATTAAATTGCCTTGAACACAGGCTTCCTAAGGACAGAAAAACAAACACAACCTTTACAAATGATGCTGATATGGGACTAACGCTTGAAACCTGAGCTTTGGTAACTCTATACTGTGGCCAGTTTACATTATCAACTCAGTTGATGAAACCAAATTATCTTGTAATAATAATAATTAATAATAATAATGATGATGATAATCTTTATTGTCTGCAACATGCATTTTACATGCGCATATGATCAAATGCACAATAAAATAAATAGAATAAAATAAATAAAATGGAGGAGGGGGAGGAGGGGGAGGAGGAGGGGGAGGAAGGGAGTTAAAAGAGCTGGATCAGTATCAGTACCTGGGCAACTGCCCACCTACCCCTCCCCTAACCCAACAACAGTCTATTGATAACAAGTTAGGATTAATGTTGGGTTAGGGGAGGGGAGGGGAGGGGTAGGTGGGCAGTTGCCCAGATACTGATATTAACCCAAAGAGCTTTTATAATGAGCAACCTTTCAGAAGTAAAGTTCCCACATATGCCATCAAGGAACAAATATTTGACATGATTTGATGCTTCTCTGGTTTACAGATTTAAACCAGATTAGCATCAAACCATGTCTGATTGTCCACCTGGTTGCCATGTGAACTTTAATATATTGAACAAATATTTATTTTCTTTTACACACCTGACCAACTGGATATTCATTCACAATCACTGACAGAACAAATGCTGCCATTGTTCGATCCTCTGCCTGAAACAGGAAATAAAAAAAAACACAATTTTTACAATGTACACGAACTAAGAGACTTTTAAATAACCTGATCTAACAAAAGAATTTGGCTTACCCGCATGTACCCATCGGCTAGCACAGATAAAAAGTATTTGTGTCCATTGTCTTTGACTAGATCAGCTTGACAAGACTGTAAAATAAGTTCCAGAAATTATGCAAAGCAGGTTATTCATTTACAATCTTCTTTTACATGGTGCATTATTGTACTTTCAATTTGTATGATATAAAAAGATTTTGCAATTCTCTGCATCAGACAAAGTTCTCACGAGTCATGAAAGTATATGACACAGAGGTCAGTAAAGGTAGATGACCTGCCATAGGGAATTTCTTAATTGTGACATTTGGTAAGTAAACTCCTTTATCAGAGCAAAGTGCTCTCCATGTCTCTATTAAGTCCAGTCATTTCCTAAAGTGTTGACAAAAAGTAACACGAGCAAATTTGACAAATTTACTAGTTTTTCAGGGCATCTTTAGGACTATGCTTAATGTCTATTGTTTATGAGTGATGAAGTTTTAAAGAGTTGTTTGCTTTCAGAAGTATTTATACTCTTGTAAATAAAAGAAGAAAGATGGTAAGTTTTGAGCTTGGTAAAGATGAAGAGAAATATGTTTTTTTGTCTTGTCACAAGCACAGGACAAAAAAAACTCCTCAGACCTTCAGATTTTGCACTCCACTGCTTTACCACAGAGACTATGGTAGGCAAGACCCATTAGGAAGATTATATACATGACATGCATCCTGCATACTGCTAAGATCAGCAATGTCATTAGTGTCATGTTTTGTAAGAAGATAGGTGTTATCACGAAATGTCAAAAATAAAACAGTGCAATCATGTCCATACACCCATACATCTAATCTAAAAATCTATTTTAAATTTTTGTTCAGCCAACCCACATTATATTTACATGTAGAAACAGATTCTTGTGGCCCTATGGCAGCTACTGTACAACTGTATAGCCTGTCCAATCAGAATTGAGAATCAAGTCCATTGAAGTCACATGGAAAAGGAAAAAATTTAATGATAATCTCAAGGTGGACATACACTATCAACTGCTAAAATCTTTGCCCAGATGAACACTAACAAAGGCCTCAACTCTCTTGCTGAACTCTGGAGAAGCTTAAGCACATAAGGAAAGATGCCAACTGAAAGTGCCTGAAAAAGAAAAACAAAAAGAAATATATTTGGGACCTTTAGGCTGACAAAAGTCAAACAAAATTGTGGGTAAAGCATATGTAGGAGGCAGGTGCTGAAATAGTTTGGCAATCACTCTGTTGGACTCTGCTGACTACTGCACTCTTAAGTACTTTAGCTAAGAAGCTAATCCACGTAATAAGAAGCTCGAGATTGACTGCACAGCCTTATAACAAATACTATCTACTTTTCAACAGCAGGTGTCCACTTATTCAATGAAAACCCTTAAAACTCACAAGATTTACAGCCCAAGGCCCCAAATCCAAGAATCTCCCCAGTAGATCAAGAGCTCGCAATCTATGCACTTGACTCAGTAGCACTTGTAGAACAATTGGCAGCTGTTCAGGGGGGTCCCTGTCTTCTGCACCCATGGCTAACCACACCTGGAATGCAGTCAATTGCTCTGTGAAGAATGTACTATGCTGAAAGAGGAAAGAGGGAAGATGTCCATTAGTAGATAGAAGGTGGCCTTAAAGACACCACACTTGACTACAGATCAAAGAGGTGTTGGTTCAACCCCTGGCCAGGGCACTGCATTGGGTCACTGTATTGTGTTGGGATCACTGTGTTACGTTCTTGGAGCTCTGCCTTAGAACATAACATTCATCTGGTAAAAAGAAAAGCACATACCTTAAAATTCCCTAGGTTTTCAATCACATCTGGTAATTGGGACAAACAAATGTCAACTGCTAAATCCCAAGCTTGCCTAATAAATACAATCAATCACTAAATTCACCAACAGATTTCCACCATAAATCAGACATCATATTAAAATTGCCAAAATCATCAAAAGAAATACATTAAACTCAGTGATGCTACCCACCAAAACATCTCATAAAATATGTTTACTTACCACATTCGATGCATGTACGTTGGGGGAAGTCTAGGACTAGACACAGGTGTACAGTTGTATGACCTCATCACTCTCTCTGCTAAAAGGAAGTTCCTGAACAGGCTTGCTACCAACAGATCCTGCCTGAATAGCTTGTGAAAGAGCTCTAAAGGATTTAAGTGCCAGTACATTACTAACAGTTGTTTTTTTTCAAGAGAAATCTTAGACAATAGGATATTCTAATGTCAATGAGCAAAAGGTATAAAGCTATATAATACCAACTCCCAAGGAGTCAACAGAACCCCACCCAAGTTATGTTTATACCAGGATCCATTTTAATTTCCTGGTAAATAAATGAAGGAAAACTGTTGGCTTTTGCAACAATATTGATGCCTCTGTTACTTACCTCTTGGTAAGGTATTCCATGCAATGGTATCAGTAACTGCAGTGAAAATCCAATTCAATTCTCCTAGGGGTGTTCTTCTGTCATTTAGGCGACCTGGAATCCTATGCATAATGTACAAAAGTAGTAAGCAACAATATAGTTGCACAAGTATATATTCAGTTTAAATCGAAGTTTTTGCTGCAAAGTAAAGTTGGTTTCTGTAAACTAGCCACAAAGACTTTTTTTTCTCTCTCTCTCTCTCTCTCTCTCTCTCTCTCTCTCTCTCCACAGGACCAAAGCCAGCATTTCTAAGGGTGAGGGGGCTAGGACAAATCCCACCCACTCGGCTGCTGATAGCATCCCACGATTTGCTCATCTTGCTCATCCTACAGAGGGAAACAGCCATCATGGTAAATTTACAACACTGAAATATAAATTGGGATAACCATCTTACTTTTCGATCAAGTCAAGGGTGATACCAGGAACCAGCTTGCTGCTTTTTTGATTACAAAACCTAAAAAAAAAACCAAACATTCCCATTAGAACTGCTTCATAATATGACGCAGCCAAAAAATAAGTAAGCATGGTGGGCATGGTTTGCCCGAGACTCAGAGTTATCAACTCACCATCGCAGTGCCACTTTAATGGGTGTACTCAGACAAGCAGTGAACAGATCAGCAGGAAGCTCTGGGTTCATTGGCAGTAGCTGATTTGCATCACATGCTGCCAGTTGGATGCAGTTTTTAACCACATGTGGGACAGGGATAGGGGTACCCTGAGCCAAGCAGCGCTAAAAACATTTCATTAAATTCAACATTATTATAAGCACAAAATTAAATTTACAAGTCAAAAATTATTTGGTTATAAATCCCTCAAAATTCACAAGATTAGAAAACTGTCAATACCCTCAATTTGCTACATGGCTGATTTCATGAGATAAAACATGGCTTTTATCCACTTAATTCCTGTACATATAGCAGTGTGCACAATTCAAATCTCAAGAACTCTTTATTGTCATTCAAAAATTCTTGCTTTTTTCATGAATTTCACCAAATCAACTGCAAGGATTTCTCTGGAGCAATGTTAACAGGACTACACATGTCACAAAATCCCAAAATAAAATTTAGCAACTTTATTAATGAATTACAACACAAGAGCCTTCACTTTCCCACAACACACAATTGTCAATAACCTCCTGTTCCTGCTCTCGCTGGGCAGCAAACTGAATAAATGACTGCACTATAAGTCCAGCATTGTTACAATCATAGACAAAGATTGAAGGGCTTCCCATCCACGTCTGTAGGTCATACACTGACAATGGAATATATTGAGTGTAGCTCTGAAGGGAAAAAAAAAAAAAAAAGATTATCACAAAAAGGATTACAAGGGCATGAGTAGATAATGAAATTTACCAGCCACCAATAATTAAAAGCATTTTTAAGCTCAAAAATGGACCAACTTACTTTGTTAAAGACCCAAATCTCCCCATTTGCTGTTGCTCTTGGAACACCATGTCCATTGTAATGGAAAAGCACTCTCTCCTCCTGTTATTTCAAAAGAAATTTGAATCATTCTCAGACAATTTATAATTCAGAAACTATTGAAACCCATCCCAAAGAGTTCTTCTGACCCTTTTAGATCACAATAACAACCTCTACCTGATTAGTTTGAGTATTCTCATTACCTGTTTGCTGGATAATGTACAGATATTATATGGAGAAGTAACATGTTTGTAGCTGCTGGGAGTTAGAGAGTTAATGCAAGATGTGACCAAATTTTTAATGTTTCAGATACAGGCTGGAAGCTCTCAACTTCTTGACTTTCACATTAAGCAATGAATAAAAGATTGAAGTTGCATGATTACAATGTTTGAGAGTTAAAAGGTGATCCTCTCTTGTTGTCTTACTGGAAAGAGATTGGAAAAAAACTAACTGATGATTAGCTGAGGACAAAATAAGGCAGCAGATCAAAATAGATTTAGGCTGAGGTATTAACAAGGGAATCACTTAACTGGCCACAAAAAGAGAGTAGCAGGTACTTCCAGTAAGTGAGCTACATCATTAATTATTACTAACTAATATCACGTTCACTTGTTCAAAACAAAACTGCATTAAAACTACTAGATTACTCTGAATTTCAAAAGGATAGGCAACACCAGGTAATTAATAACAATATCTTACGACTTAAAAAAGAGTACCTTTGCATTTCGTCGCAATGAGGAACACAATTTCTTTACTTCTTCAACAGTGGGATCAAGACTCTGCTTGTAACGAGCCTGAAAGGAAAATGTCATTTCTTAGTCAGTCTCTTCTGTTTCAAACTGACTTGATATCACTAACAGTCTATTTTAAACCAAATTTTTAATGGACCAGTCAAAAAGGGCTCTAAGCATATATCAGACATTAGCCCTTACACTCTCAAGATCTCATAAACTGTCTGCCATATAATACTCCTGATGACAGTTTAGAGAATTTAATATTGCATCACTAATAATCTCCTTATTGATATTTTTCATCATTCTAATCACTGTCTTCTTGATTTTCTGCTGATAATGTAAAGAGAAATTCCCTTTTGGTCACTCTTCAGAGTTAAATAGTTATGTCAAAAACTTCATCTTACTCTTGGCTGCCAACGTTCATATTGTTCCTGTAATTTGTTTCCAACAATTTCCAAAGCCTTCTGCGGACTCATAGATGAAGGATCTGTAAAATACAGAGATATCTCTCCATGACAATTACATACCATTAAAACATCCTCTATCTACCAGATTGGTAATTCTCTATTTTAATGTCATAAATTTCTCAGTAAACTGGTGAACCTGGTGGTATATCAGATACAACTCCAGGCACAAAATGCTCTTTTTCATGATAGAAACTAGGTACATTATGTTTATTATTTTTTGTAACTGACTTACTAATGTTGCATGCCACAACAAAAATCTAAGCTATTCTGTTGCTAGCAGAAGGAAAAAGTGTCTAAATCCACTAGGAACAATACCCAATACTATAAGAACATTACAATAAAATCAGCACTGAGTTCTTACAGTTAAGGACATTAGTTCATTAAGATTTAGAAGCAGTTTTGTGTCAGTACTTTGAGGAAAGAGACTGATGATACAGCCATCATAAACAGTTTGCATGTTCAAACAAATGCACTGCATCTGATACAATTAAAACATGTGCAGGCATGTTTCATGACATCCTAAACTTGCATAGGATTTCATCAGAATTGTAGTTTATTGGATACTGTGCACATTCAGCTTCCTGTCACTTACAACTAACAAGGGGACAGTAATCTTCTTTTAAAAATAATCTGGAGGTATGTTTTGTAATCCAACAACATCAATAGTGTGCTGAGAAAGTCGGGTTGTATTTAAATATTTGGGGTGTAGGCGATTGCAGAGCTACCTGACTCTTGATAATTGCTTCTACTACAAGAACGAAGATCATACATTCAGAATACTTATTGTAAAAACATAAAAATCGGCTGATTGGGGGCACTATACTTCATTCGAACTGTATCAAGTATGATTCGCGAACCCGCCATATTTACAGATGCTCAAAGACGAATTGATGGGGACGGTTGCCAACAAGGCAATCATCACCGAGTTATTTAATTGGATGAATCTTGCGCAATTACTCAATGTGCGCAAAGTTCAATTTTTTTTTTTAAGTAACGCAGTTGTTTTTCTGATTTCCTTAGTATTAATTTGTGCAAAATTTCATTTACTAGGCAACCAATTGTGATGAATGAGCATGGAAATGTACAAAGTTATGTACACAGTTATGTACACATACTGAACAAGTTTGACCGGTAAAGATGGGTTTTGATAAATAACAAGCCGGAAATTAATGGCGCCCTCATAACAAGTAAAACAAAAATGAAAGGAATGTTTTAAAGAATTAAAAATTTTCCCAACCGATCCAGCACTCCATTCTTGCACAAGGTGAGGTTTTTACGACATCTGGTGGATCGACCCCAATGTTTAGGCATAACACTAGTGCTACACTGACGGTCTTCATCTGAAACAAAGCGAAATCGATAACTCAGCGTTAGGAAAAGGCATCACGAAACACGATAAATAAGAGAAGGAGTACTCCGTGACTGGATCACTTACTCGCTCCTTCATACGCCACGTTTGAGCTAAAGATCTAGAACCTTCGATCTGTTCTCTGTGGCGCTTCTTCATAAAACATAGTGGTAGTTGCCAATCTACTATTTCGTCTTCGTCCTCCTCACTAAAGGAATCGTAGTGCACAAAGTCATCAGCTGACATCCTGGAAGCCTTCAGTCACTCATAGACACAATTCAAGGCTCCAAAAACACAATCACATCCATCTTGAACGGCTTCTCCTCTCGCCAATTCCCAGAAATTACTAAAAGGAACCACAACGTGTTCGCCGAGCTATCACAAACTGCGCATGCTTGTGTTTATGTTTACATCGCGATATAAAAACTGCGGGCCCCCTTGTACTTTGATCCAGCGTGACTTTCACACGTCACGAGGTAACACGTAGAAATTGCTCATTTTGGGCGACGCCTCCACATCACAAAACATTTTGCTTCGTCAATTTGACACGTCATGAAAGATCACGAGATCTTCCACGTTTAAGAGACAAAAACAGGTGTTTTGTCACGGGAAAAGTACTTTTGATGCCTCAGCTAACGCGGGCGGTCAGATGTTTAATACCTGCCTAGGTTGCACGAGATGAAACTGCTTGGTTTGGAAAAAAGACACTGCAATATTACCGCACCTTGCATAAGATGGGAGATTATTTTTTGTACCTAAATCGCAGCAACAAGATTACAACAACTGCTTCCGGATAACATGCACCTGGTGTCTGTGCGCTTCTATGCTAATTTTTCAAGTTCACTATGTTCAATCAAGATTTAGTGGCCTTGAAATCTAGTCGAGATAATAGAATCTGTGAAAAGTCCATTAACACTCGTTGGTAAATATGAACGCCATGAACGAATGATTGTGATCTTACAACAGGCAATTTCCAAAATAAGTATTGCAAGAGCTTCAGGAGATGACCAGACACACGGGTTATACTACGGGGACACAAGAAACTTTTTTCATTATCACTAGTAACATGAATGATAATAGAGTTGTGTACAGTTTCGTACCAGGTTGGCCGACGGCCATCAAAACAATGTTTCGCAACCTTCAAAGTTTCGCAACTTTCGCGTGACTAGCGTGAACCAAGAGTTTCTTCCTCCTGTCAATCACAACTCAATCGGCCAATCAAGAACTGGAAGCAAAAGCATGGCTTTTAGTTGCCTTTCCTGCAGTAGACCGTGCAAAGCAGGTATAAATCTGCATGGTTGTAGTTTCTTTTACCATTTTGTCCAAAATTTTGGGTGCCAGCCCGAAAAATTCCCCTTGCCGACTTCGTCATTTGACAGCATTACGTAATCAGTTTTTGACAAGGATACCCACATGGCTCATATTTTAGACCGGCTTTAATTTCAACAAACTATCGAATTAAATGGGCAAGAAACAAACTATATTATGAACTCTTACTAAAAGAGCGGCCCTCGAATCTGGTTTAACACCCTACATCAATATCCATAATCTTTGTCCTACATTCTCTTTTACACTAACAAGAAGAGTACGTTTCAAGATCAAAGCTTCTTAGGGTCGATTTATATTTAAAGACCACTTATTCACAACAACAAACTGACTTTTTCTTTCAAGTTACAACTATGGGTGGTAACCGTATAAAATTATAGTATCAGGTAGTTCATATTTTCATCGTTTTGGCACTTGCAACACTTACAAGTTCGATGGCGAAATAAATATTTCCCTTCATAAGAACTGCTCTTTGTAAAGGTATCTTGTTCTGTACAAAAATATCGAAGAAATAATTAATCAGCTTTCTTTTCTTCTTCGTCTCCATCCTCCACTGGATGCTTCTTCCAGAAGTCTTCCACTTTTAAGAAAATGTCGACAGCTTCCTAGAGCGAAAGTTAACAAAAAAACCAAATTCAGAGTCGACAGAGAAATTGAAACAAGAGGGAGGCCCACGTAATAACAATAATAACATCACTTCGATGGCGCTTATACATTGCTGCTCTAAGCGCTTTACAATAATTTTCAAAAGTTAGAGCTAATACTAAAATCTAATTACTAATAACCGCTCCTACTTAATCTGGCACTCAGCATGCGGTCGAAGGGAAGGATGTGTTTCCACGCACGGGCAGAACTTTCTGAAAGCGTTGGCAGCACCAAGCAAGCAGAAATCGGATAAACAGGAATTATAACTCAAGAGGAGGAGTGGACGTAGTAGCAGATGGGAGATTAACAAAGCCTAGGCTGTAACAAAAATAACAGTAGAAAGCACGCGAGGTTTACTGCTCTTTTCAAAACTCAGTAATGAGCACATGTTAAGACCACTGGGATATTCAATAATGACGTTTATTGCGCTAACACTACAACTGATATTTTTAGTTTGATTAACTCTAACTGTATTTTAGTTTGATAATCCGTTGACAACTTTTGACTGGTGAATCGTCCCATTTTTTAAATCCCTACTCACCAGATTTTTCTTCATCCCAAAATAACGAAAATGTGTGACCCCATTCTCGTAACTTCACTGAAAATGCAACCCCATTATATTTGATTCAGTAGTACGACCCCATCCAGCGCGATAACAAACGACGCAATAGTAGCGCAGTGAAAAAACGAAGAATGTTTTAGTGCGACCCGACCCCACCCCCGTCGTTTTTTCCCCTACTATCGCATCGTTTGGTATCGCGCTTCGTTTTACTAACTGAACGCCTGAAACAGGCTAAATATGTTTTAGTTAAGAGTGCTCTCTCTCAAAATCTCTTACATTTCTCATTTCTTTCTGGTACTCTCTTAACTCTTGAACCTCTGGATGTTTGCGCACCTGTGGATTAAAAAGAGACTGTATTAAGACCTTTACTGCAACTTTTGCTGTAAGGGCACGTTATAACTTCTCCGCACTACGTTATAACGTTAACAGACCAGTGAGTGTAGATGCCATATTCAACAACATTCCATATTCAAAATTCAACAAAACCAGCTGGCAAGAAAAATAGTTTCCTAGGCTAATTAACCCTTTACACTCTAAGATCAACGTGCCTATTCTCCATGTTGTTGTCTAAACATTCCTAGGGTGCCAACGAGGAGAATTTGTTGAACAATCCAAACCCTCTTTAGTTGGTGATCATTTGCCTTACTCTTGTGACCTTAATAAGTGATTCAGGGGTGATATTGTGAGGAGAAATTAGATGCTGGTCACTTTGAAGGGTCAAACGGTTAAGGATAAAAGAAAAGCATCAGTACATGTTTGTTTTCCAAACCGTAGTACGAGTTCTTATCATATTCTTAGGTTGAAAAAAGGTCAGCCTCTATCGAGACATTTCAGTTTTTGGCATTCAAAACGAGATGATTTATTGCATTTCTGATATTTCTAGGTAAAGGAAAATTATAGAAATTGCAAAGTTTTACCAGATATCCTCTGAAGAATGACTGAATGATGATCGCGGCCTCCTCATCGCTGAGAAGCAAAGACAATGGTAAAGGAGGGCGAGGACTACGAGAATAAAACAAAGAGAGAAAAAATAGTTTAATTCTTAAAAAAGACAAGGGCTGTCCATAGTCACAGGCTAAAATTAGATTAAGTTTTACAATCATCATAGCTTATTACTGCAGGAGCTTATCCTGGTTTCCACGGCATGAAACAGCGAGAGCCATTTCTACTTCTCTTGGACTGGACACCAGTCTGATACAGGTGAAATCCACCCCCTGTTTCCTAGTATCTAGTCACTTCTAGGCACTGCAACTATCGCAATTAGCTCTGAGTTAATCATTGATTACATTAAGTCATTTGAGATACTAAGATAACTTACTTCTCTGCCAGTATTGTTTGCACAAAAGGAATGTCTTCCAGTACTACATTAGATCTATCCTTGTATCTGGGATTGTTCCTGTGCACAAGATAGAAAGTACATTATCCTTCCCTTCAGTGATCTGTGTTGCAGCTCAGAAGATAGAATGACCTGAAACTTTCCTAGCTATAGGATGTACTTATCGTGTCTCACATATACTACAGCTTGTATAAGACATGTATGGGTTAAAAGGTACCACTTATATGGCTGAATCACTTCCTATCTCGGCTGCAACTTGTTTTTGCATTAGTTTCCTTGACTGAGTGAATTGTTTCTTGCTGTCCAACTTACACCACTTGGGTTTTTGAAGATGTCAAAAACAATTGCTCTGTCAATTCTCTGCATAGTAAAACTTCATATTTGCTTTTCTGTTGACATGATGCTTGAGAGAAAATGGTTTCTCTGTAATTTATTTCTCTGCAAAGCCAGTTAACCTATCATGAATCTTCAGTCCTCATCCCTGAGTCTAAATTTCTTCTATTCCAAAATCAGAACCATAATTAATATATATAATTATGCAATCTGCTAACCTGTACAAGAACTCCGTCAAAAAATCACATGCATTAAACTTTGTTCTTCTCCTCTATGGAAAAAGTATAGAACAATAAATCAGACCAGAGAGACAGCTTAACATTTCCTAAACATTCCTCATGCTCTTTCCTTCTAGAGTAAAATATACAGAGGACACACACATCAACATACATAACCCTAAAAGTAATTTAAATGAAAAACAAACCTCAAACACTTTGTTCTCTTTGGCAGCTACCAGCATTTGCTCGATTGCTGGTAAAAGAACTGGAAACATATAAGCATCTAGGTATTCTCTGGGACTGCCTGTAATGGTGAAAATCGCAAATGAGAAACATAATTACCTTTTTTCTAAGATGGGTTGCAGTATGAGGAAAGGCAACCTCTGCAAACTGGTACGAAAATTTTCTTACAAAATACTCATGCACTGTCATTTTCAACTGTAAAAATTTGCCTCATTCTCCTCAGTTGATTTGACCTTGAGAAATGACACGCAAATCTCTAAATACAAACTCCAGCCTAACTGTTTACTCCAGTGACAAGCACTGCAGTTGACGGTTTAATTTATCATGTAATATCACCCAAGGTGTCTCTTTTTTTGGCAGCCTCAAATTTGATTTCTGATGACCATTTTATAACTTCAGCTCCCCAGATGGCAACTTGCAGAAAAGTCAAGAATGGAACCGGGCACTAGCCTTCGTGCAGCTGCTCCTTACCTTCCAGAAGAAAATTGGAAAAGGCACTTCTCAATTTTATTTTGGAGGGTAATGGGCAGCTGTACACAGGCTACCCTGCAATGTAAGTATTTCCATTCCAAAATCCTTACATTGTAATGCATTTTCACTCATGCTCCTCAATAAAATATACACCTTCATTGCAAATGAGTATAAACACACATGCTAGAGAGAGCCCCCTCCTCTAGGAAAAAAAGTTCTATTTTGAAAATCTCATTTTCTTCTCCTTTTCTCTCTTTTTCTTTGATATTCCTCCTTTCCCTTCTCATTGATCTTTTTACATGTGTACCAGGTGAGCTGTCTCTATTCTCTTCTGCTGTATACCCAGTAATGCCAATGAAAATACAAAGTTCTGTGAACAGTTTGAAAAGTGGAGTCTTGAAAGTGCTTACCTTAGAAAACACCTGATTTATAATGAGGAAATGTGATAAAAGAGGCTTTTGAAACTATAACTTAAAATGCATCACCTACTGTAACTTTCATTGGCTTTCCAGGTGTTGAAGTTTAAAAGATATGAGGAAACACATCAAACAATAGTTGTGTGGGGCAGTGGAAACAAACCAAAAACACTGGTGTGGAGGAAATTATAGCATGATTTCCGCACAATTGAGGACTTCATTAAACATAGAGTTCTTGGATAATGAAAACAATGGTGAAAGCAATAGATTACCTTTGGGACTACAATGTTGATTTAGAATAGTCTAGGGCTTTATAGAAATCTTTAAGAAATTATTCAAAATCCATTAGTGTGGCTTCCAGCATCCTCTGATGCATAATAGAAAGTTCATCTCCTGATTTCTAAATAACCCCATACTTCATTGAAAGACAGTACACTGTGGCCTAATGTTTGCTTCACTGGACTCAGCCAAGAAGTGAAGGTTTGAGACCTGGCCAGGTCAAAGTGTTATGTTCTTGGGCAAAATAGATACTGGCCAATAGTGTCAGGGAAGCCTGATAAAATGCTTTCCTGCAGTAGACTGGCATCCTATCCAGGTGGGAGTAGTAATTAGTTGCTTCATGCTACTTAGAAACTGGTATAAGCTCTGGCTGGGTGGGCCAGAAGGCTCAAGAACAGACATAACTTTTAGAATAAATCATTAACGCATGCAGTTCAATGACAAAAGAAAATAATGAAAAAAAGGAAGTTTAGCTTTGAGACATGAGCATTGCTTTAGAATTGTATGGAGTTACACAGATATCTTTCCCTTTTTTCTTCAAATTTAATTGGGATGAACCTCCAGTACCGTACTTATTCTTATGAATGTCCCCTGCCTTATCTACTACTCACATTCTTTGGGATGAGGTAAAGGTACAGATTCTTGTTTTGGAGGTGCAACTGGTTTTCTATCCAACAAAACATAACCAAAAGTTGCGGGATGATTGATGGAGGCATCAAATTCGGGAAACATTGAGGATCTTGTCGACGTGCCATCTTCTCCTTCGCGAATTTCAGCAACAGAATCGGAAAGTTTTTGTCCGTAGCGACCAAAAAATACTGGTGAACTTTTAGCAGCATCATAACTACTTCCAACAGATAATTGTTCCTCCTCTGAATAGTCCCGTTTGCTACTATTTCTTGCTGCATTGAGTTCCAGCATTTCACTGAATATAGAAGAAGACGGGCTACATGGTGCTGCGTACATTTTGAGGAAGAATAATCGACGATTTTCCAAACAAATTTTAGTTTATGCTTCGTCCGCCATTTTTCTTCAAGGTTGTCAATGGTAACTGCCGCTGCTCACGGTTCTTTACCTGCTCACGGGCACAGTTTTGCTCTACACGCTCTGGGGAAGGTCTTCCATTATTCCATTTCTCCACTACAACAAAAATACATAAGAAAGTCAAATAGTTGAATAAATAAATGAATAAATAGATAAATAAATCATTAATCAGGTAGGAAATAAAAATAGCGCCGAAGCACTAATCTACCTAGGTACACCACCCAGTAAATTAACATCTGAGGGAGTGTTGATGGTGACACTAAATTCTTGAGGTTTCAAAAGGGAAATCAACTAAACTTATTGGCTACCGACTCGTTATTAGTGAACTTAGCTCCGCAAGCTGTCGCTGATACTGAATTTTACTGGAGTATGAAAGAAGAAAAAGAATATAACATTGATTTCATGACAGAGGTCATTTAAAGTTAGGGCTGCAGAGGAGCACATGCATCTGGCACTTCCCCCTTCTCCCCCCCCCCCCCGGGCCTTCAGCTACGCCCTTGTCTTAACGTGAAATATCTCCCTTTTCCTGAATAAATTTGATGAACTTTCAATAAAACTTACCCTCAAAGCAGAACCTATGCACCACTGGACGCCACTCTTTCCCCCATAATGATTGGTTCGGTGTATAAATCATACACCAAGACAATATCGGGCTTATATGTGGTTATTAGCCAGAAGAAGCTTGACGAAAGAAGCGTAGAGCATCACAGTGCCTTAAATTTTAATGCGAGAGATTACGAGGCAACAAGCAGGGTGACAAGCCAGGATGATGGTAGGCTAAATTGGTAAGTAACCTTCGAAAGATCAAATTGAACCACGTGTATGCTGCTAATTGATAACTGTAAGGTGTTCTTTTATTTCTTCCGCACTGATTACGGTAGTAAGACAACTATCTGGATATCTAGTACGACAGGTATACTGTAAAAACAATTTTTTTTTTACGACTGTACAACCAAGGAATATTATCTCATCACTATTTTTATCCTCGCATGAGCAAAGTTCGGAAAAAGGAAGACGGCGTATTAATTTTTAAGACAAGGTGTTGCTGAAATTCTGTAATTTATATTTTTATCAAGCCTGTCCTCTCTTTCAAGAGCTCCCTGGAAGACAAACCGAGGCAAACCGCTTTGGATCGAAGAAAAAGGTTGTTTCAGTTCAGCAGAAGAAATATTTGAGAATAGCGTGGTTCCATGACTCGGAAGCGATTGAGCATTTTCGGCTGTCACTGATTTTACATGCTTTTGCTATGAAAATTTCTTAGCTACGCTCTTGCTCGGCACATAAGTTGTTACCAGAGCACAGGGTTCATTTCCACTTTCTATGCTACTAGCAGCTTCTTCTTTGCCGAAAAACTCCACGAGCTTCTTTCGCGCAAAGAACCCATGCTACATTGCGGTCGTCGCTCGCGTGCATTTCGCGCGGTTCTCAAACGCCAGGAAGTGAAAGGGCGAAAGGATTCTGCCGTTTCTTGTCCACAACACGGCAAAAAAACCTCGCTAAAATGAGCAGCGAGAAGGCTGATGTGATCTATCCGAGTCCCAAGAAGACAAAATTTGAACAACTTCGAGCAGATCACGAGTTATTTCTTCAAGCTTTCGAAAGTAAGTGAGTTTGTTTTGAGTCGAAGAAAGATACACAATACTTCGATCAATTTCGCTTCATCCCGTTGAATGGAATTGTTCCTCACTTTCTAATTTATTAACTTTTCCGCATTTAGAACCCACACAAATTTATCGCTTTCTTCGAACGAGAAATGCAGTCGCGGTAGGTACACATTTATTTAACTAATTTTATGCAAACGGACCTCTGTTATGCTTTTGCTATCCGTTTTGTACCAAAATTTGTCTTTATTTGCAGTATTTGAAATCCTTAGGAAAGAAAATAAAGTGCACTCACATATTTAGGGCCAATGTCGATACGAGATCATAAAACAAGCTGGTTTCCTGATCACATTTAAATATCTGTTGCAGCCCGTATTTCTTCATCGTACTTTGTCTTATATGAAGCATCGTCGAACCAGACCGGCATCCACGAAAAAGCGGTGAGTATATTTCAAAGCCTTATTGAAGGGATTTTGGTTGACCACCAGGGAAAAATTAGTTCATTTTAGGACAGGGATGCAGTAATTTTTTCATGTAAATCTATTAGCTATTGTACCGAATATCAGGAAATTTTTATGACTTTAAAACAAAAGGACCCGACACGTGTGGCGATCAAACACGTGTCTTTGTTAATTCTGGTTAATATATATGTATATATAGTTTTTTTTTAAGATAACCCTTCTTCCTTAAACGAGCTACTCATCTTGATATTTTTGTTTAGTGAATGATTTTGGCCCCATGCAATCCGCCATCTTCTAGCTTTCGAACAAAGCTGCCAGGTCCCTAAATTGTACAGAAGAGGTCCTGTGTTTAGAGAGTTCTGTACAGATAGAGAAATTGGATATCACTCGTATAACTAGCTGATTGTCCAAGAAAAGATCATTTTGTTAATAAAATGCAGTGAATGGTAGACACATTAAATGAATGGATGAAACATAGACAAACAGATGTCCCAATTAGAACAACGACGTTATTAAGGCTGATAGATACCTAAAAACTTTTACCTATTTTTCGAGAAATTCCAATTTTTTGTAATGCTGGAGTATTTTTCCACAATTACAAATCATGTGCTTAAAGATAGTTGTGTCCAATCTGAAATAATGATCACCTTGCATTTCAATTAATTACACTAATTTTTCATCGCCGTGTAGCCAAGGTCACTACACAGTAGAACCCCCTCTAACTCAAACTCCCAAGGGGAACGAGTGAGTTTGTGATTATATACCAATATTTTAACTTTATGTGTAAGTTACCAGGTTAAATGTAAGCTTAGGGAAAGTCAAATTAGTATGAATTAACCAAGTTCAAGATAGCTGGTTAGAAATGAACAAAAAAATAGTGTGAAATCTTTGGGAAATCACATTTTATTTGAGTTAGCACAGAGTTTGAGTTGGCAAGGTTCTACTGTACATTTGTGATGAAGAGCAATTATGAACTGTTGATTTGTACTTGTAAACATAGCTTATGGTTTTTTTTAAAATCTTTTAATTATCCTTCAATCCAGAAGGTATTAGAGGAAGAATAACCAGCCACTAAAATAATTACTTCACAGTATTTGTCTAATTGTATTCAAATATAAATCAAACTTCTCCTGCAAAAGCATTCATTGGTATCTTAGGGAATTTTATAAAAAACAGAAAAATGACATTGTCTATTGAAAAATTGTTTGGAATTCCAATCATTACACCAAAAAAATTCTTCATTTTAGCCTTCCTATCTAGAAGTTCAATGTAAGTCAAATACAAAGCACTTAAAAGATTACTGTTTTAAATAAAATTGAAACAAAAAAGTTATCCCTCTAAAAACCCTTGGCTGTTGTCTTCTTTGTCATTTTAAGTAAATAGTTATCAACTTAGTATACTTATATTATCCCCTAACTACGCATAATCTTGATGAAATATATATAAGCTTGACTATTGTGTTGTCATACCAACACATTTTAATTTTTTCTTCTTAATTTTTTTGCCCAACTTTTCCATTCTGTGGATGACAAACAGAACAATCCAAGACTCACTGAAACATCTGTCGCAAATGTAGCTTGTTTGAAATTATAATAGCAAAAAGAAGGAAAGTATTTGAGAGTTTTAAGTACCAAGACATGCGCAAAAACCATTTCCATGTTGTTTAGTCCAAATGATCTCTAAGCTCCATTCCCTCATCTCTCCCAAGTTTAAGATCTATTCCTTTGTCTCAATAACTTAAAGGCAGTCTTAATTTTCTTCTTCTCGGCAGGAAAAGTTTCAAGATTGATGACATGCTTGAGAAAGTTGAAAATGAAAACAACAGATCGGATACAGGAGATCCTCTGTGAGTTCCATGTTTGAACTGAGGGAAGATTTATTAATCAGCAAACTTTTGCTTCACAAAAATGTTAAACTTTGTTTTCATACTTTATTGTTTGGATAAACTTCAAACAACATCCATCACTCTTTGGTAATGCACAAAGCATTGCTAAATAGCATCCCTACTGTGGTTTCATCCTAAGGTCTTTTTAGAAATCATATACCACATATGTTTTTCAACAATAAAAATATTCTGATAATTTGTAGAGCTAAGAACCCATTTGGAAGAGTTGAAATTTTGTATAAATTTGCAATTTCTGTTCAAATTGATACCTGTAAATTCATGCTCTCGTTGTGGCCTCAAACTTTGCCACAAAAAAAGTATCTTAATGGTATACTGGCTCCTGCAAAGAAAGTTATTTTTATTTTACAGACTCTAATTTAGTGTAAAACTAGTTTTTGATAAGATTCTTAGATGTCTTTTATACCCTTTTAAAGTTTTGCTTTTTCCTTTAAAACTGAAGTTGCATATTTGTTCCTTTTCTGCATTTCTTCTCCACCAACATTGTTTCAGTACAACGTCAATCATGAAACCTCTATGAAATCCTTTTACCTCATATACTGTCCGATTTAGCTTTGATATGTCTGCAATTTTAGAAATGACTCCTAGAAAAGAGACAACATTTTCGTTAGCAATTGCGTGAGATATTAACTAAGGGCAAATATTATCAGAAATAAGTTTAGAAATTACATTTGGAGAGTGTATTGTTGAAGAATATTGGTCGTTGAAAAATCACTTGAATTATTTAACGTTAATCAAAGATATTGCAATGTCATGATTAGTGTGGTTTGTGATATGTTGAGCAGGGTTTTACTCCATTCAATACGTTCATTGTGAAGGAGACGATTGAAATTATTGTTGATGAATACAGAAGAAATTTATAAACTGAAGTTGTTTTGAGATAACAAATAACAAAACAAAATTCTAACATCTTAGATATACATGTCTCTTTACTTCATTTGCAGTGAAAATAGTGGCTACATGAATCTCACATTTACGGGATTTTTCCACGGATCAGGCCCAGGTATTTCATAATGTAATTTGAAATAAAGAAAACTCCAAGTGAAGGGGAAGATGAAAAAACTAATTTGTGGCTTTCTCGGAAATCATGATTTTTGTGCTTTTAAATTATAGTGGACTACGTTCTATAATTGGATGGAGGGTATACATTTGAGGAATATACCACATCTCCCTCAGAAATTGTGCGTTTCCTTCTTTCTTAAAATTCCATTTTCTATGGAGTTTTTTTTTAAACAACTCCCAAGCAAATATTTCTGAATTAGTCTCATATTCATCTGTTTTTATACTTCTCCAGCATGAACTCTGTCATAAACACACATTTTTATAGCGAAGGTTTCCTGTTTTAAATCAACGCCATCTTTTCCTCGCTTAAATGACCTGAAAAATGTGCATTGCACCAAACGAACCCGTAGGAAAGATTTTCAAAGTTCCACAGCAATGTTCACGATATATTAATTACTCTGATTATTTCTTTTTTAATTCTTGATTTTCTAAATGCTTTTTTGTTTTCATTTTTTGTGTGTTTTATTTTCGCCTCTTGCAGTGAATGGTGATTTGTCAAACAACAAAAAGAGCTCGCTACTCGTGGAAGATTTTATTAAAGTTGATGTACTTCTCGTCAAAATCTGTCACAAGCGAAGAAAGGTATGTTCATGGTTAGCTCAAGTTTTTGTAATTGTGAAAAACTACTCCTCTCTATCGACTGTCGGCCGACAGATAACCGACAAGTTATCGATAGCCATCATTTCTGCTGCATGCGATATCTCGAACGATGAAGCATGAAGCATGTCGGATCGCCCTGCAATGCTTTGCGAACCTCTTTGGTACGAAAACTTATCGACAGATTACCGACTGCCAATAGTCTGACAATCGGCCGTTAGTCGGCCAACAGGTTTTTTCAGGAATTTTTTCTCCACGGTTCCTCAAGTTTCCGTGACAAGTGAAAATCTAACTAATTTTGGGTTTAGAGTTAAATTAAGTGTAAAGGAACGCGCCGTACACGTGCGGCTCAGTCTTGCCAAGAGCGATTTACAAAACCTCCTCTCTGCACGTCTGTTCTTTCTTTTCCTATAGGAAAGTGATCCACAAGTAGTCACAGTTCCTCTCGGCCAAGGCTCTGCGCCATTCAACCCTCGCTCTCAGTTGTTACCAGCTTCCCCGTCATCAAGTGTGTCCGTCCCTAACGGTACTTTTAAGAGTGGTAAGACAAGTCGAACATGCATTCTCAGTTTGCAAGTCAGTGTCCCGTACCGCGTCAATAGCAAAGGCACCAAGAAGAGAGGAAAAAAGAAGAAAAATGCTGGGGAATCCCTCTCTGATACGGCAGAGGACGAAAACGGTATGTTTTTTCGTAAACGCATTCGAAGGTCTGAGTTGCTAGTAACCTATTTGCAGCAGGTTACTTAGACGTAAGACTCGATACGCATGTACGCGGTCTCATTCTGGTAATGTTATGTCAATCTCTATACCTTAGGCCTCGATGACACTCTCACCCCAGACGAGCCCCCCACAAAACGACGTCGTATGGGGCGGAGCTTTCCCGAGGGGGAGTGGGATGATGGTGATGCATCTGATAATTCAAGTTCTTGTGAGACTGCGCATACTGTGTACACCGCTGAACTTATCGTGTTTGACAATAATAAACACTGTTTACTAACGGATGGCGATTATGAGCTGGCGCTGCACGAGAAGCACAAAAGACCAGGAAGGAAGAAGGGGATACTGTCCAATAGGACCTCCTGGGAGAACGTGTTTGAGGGACAGGTGAGTTCTAGTGAGGGAAACTTCACGTATAATGCTTGAGGCCAAAAAAGAGACAAGGGCATGGCTTGGGGGACAGAAAACCTGGTCTATCAGTGGCTATTCTCCTCCTCGCGAGCAGAGGTCAGATTGTAAAAGATGTTTTAGACGTAAGATATGTGTCCCATTGTCCCTGACCAGTTTGACTCGAAATCTCTGTACATCAAAGCCATGTTCCTGTTTTCGCAGATGGGTCCTTTTGAGGTGTTCGCCTACGGTCCCACTTTAAAGTTCAAACTCTCTTGGTCGGGTGCTCCATTGGCGCGGCCACCAAAGCGTCCTACGTCACTTCCGTTGCGAGCGCCATTGACCAGTCAGAACTCGGCTTCGACGAACGATGTGCGTACGCCAAGCGAAGAGGCCAATGGAAGCACTGAGAGTAGAAAGAAACAGCGAGTGTTTTACCAGTTCATTTACAACAACAACACGCGCCAACAAACAGAGGCAAGAGATGATTTTTTCTGTCCGTGGTGTTCTATTGACTGTCGAGGACTGTACAGTTTGTTGAAACATCTGAAACTCTGTCACAGACGCTTCATCTTTACCTATGCTGTGAGTATTTTAATTGAGGGCTGTTTTTTGGTTTAAGAGGTACATTTTCATAGGGTATGAATTCAAGACCATTAATTCATTAACTTAGGAAAAAGGTAATCAAATGCGCTGAATTTAACCCACAAGACTTTTTTTGTTTGTTTGTTTTTTCTGAAGTTTGTAGTAATGCATTGCGTCTATATAACTGGTTTTGGAAGATCCGTCAAATCACAAGTAAAAACTTGTTTCAAAACAGTTACAAAATCACATTTATCGCAATTTTCCTTTCAAACTTAGCCTGCGAGCAGAACCTCGTTATTATTTCTTCGGCAGCAGTCTTTCTTCGTCATGCGGGAAAGTAAAAAGCATTTAGGAGCGCGACTCAGCCAACGGTGTGCGAGGGACCTGGTACAGCCCCCGGCAAACCTCTCCTTGCTACGTCTCAAATCTTCCCGCGGGTAAAGAAACGCATTTTCCGTAGCGCTATTAACCCTCTAACTCCCATGAATGACCAATACAGAATTTCTCCTCGCAATGTTAATTCAATATCAAGCAGACAAGTGATAAGAATAGAGAAAAATTAAGTTGCATCGTTTGCTAAAGGCTGTAAAATGGATGCTAAACGTAGTTAGACATATCGCAGGAGAACGCAAGAAACACTTATCCATGTAATCTTCCATGGCCACATGTTCGTTTTCAGCCACACAGTAAAGGAGAGAGAATCGATGTCAGTGTCAACGAAAACTACGATGGATCCTACGACGGTAAACCTGAAGACATGAATGATATTCTTGGTTATGCACTTAGTCGAGAGGGACCTTCCAGGAGAGTGCCTTCTACCCATGTCGTGGTCTGGAGGTAACGCAACTGTCACGCATTTTTTTCACTTAAGCTTCTTTCTCACCACCCCCCACACACACACACCTTTTGATAATGTGACTGAGAATATTATTTTAATAATAATAATAATAATAATAATAATAATAATAATAATAAATAGCTCGATGGCATGTCTTAACTTGCGATTCTCAGCACTATCCATCGTATGTTCTGTGGTGTGCCTGTTGGGATAATTTTGTTTTATATTAAAGTATTTTATCTGATTCCGTGGTGATTTTTTGTAATTTTCATGTTCTGAGTGCTTATAAAATATATTGATTCCGGCTAAAAGGAATGCTTACATCTTATCTGATTTGAGGGCCAATCCCCCTCTAGAGGTTTATGTGTGCCCCACCCTCCTCAAACGGAGAAGGGGGTGCACTTAAATCCCTTGGTTTTAGATTCCTGTGTAGTTACGGGGTTGTTTGTGCCTTAAGTTAAAATTTGGCCAGTGGGCTCTTAAGTTTCGAAAAGCTAGGAGAGAAGGTTCCAAAATGTTATCTCTTTCGTATCCATTGTTTGAGCTTGTACCATGACGCGCTCAGGCTAAGAATATGGCGTGATGAAACTAAACGAGCTGTGCAAGCGAGGATTGTTGCGCACGATCGTTAACCGCTTTGTCAAGGCGGTAAACCGAAGAATAGTTCGTCCGATGTATGATTTAATAACCAAGACGTATTTGAGCAAGAACTACGGTGTTGTACCTTGTAACTCATAACTGAATTCTGCTTCAGACCCCAACGTCGAAGAGAAAGTCTGTCGGAATTCTTGGAGCCTGATGACGGAGAGCTTGACGGCAATAGACCATTTTACAATGGACATCACAGGTACATACTAATGGCTGTATTCATAAATCTATCAACCACAATCTATATTTTAATCGCCTCTCTCTCGCGCACCTGACTTGAAGTAGGTTCACCACGTGCCATCGTTCATATTTTCACGTGGCAAGTGCGTGATTGACAGGCTGTCGTTCCTTTCAGGATGTACTTCCATTCGGAGACAACGCTTCCAATCGTAACCACTGAGAAGGACCAAGACAGTGAAGACGAGACTATTCCTGAATGGATGAGAGTCAAAACCATTCAGGTGAATTTTTTTTAACGATCTGAAATGAGATGTGCAGCAATTTTCGCCATGTTTAAGGTGGGTGGTAAAACTAAGGCTTGGGTGGAGCTCTATGCTTAACCTGCATGGTTCCTGCTCGGAATGAATAGCCTCAAGGCATACATCATTGTGCTGTGTTCTTGTTCAAGACACTCCACTTTCACAGTACCCCCCAACACCCATGAGCATGACTGGGCACTCGCCAGTTTTTAGGGAACCTCGTCAAAATGTTTGGGTGTAAACTGCGATGGACTGTGGTTTCCATCCCATCCATGAGGTTCAACAATACGTCTAGTCGCTCTGTGTTACATACACGGGTGTAAGCTGGTTTAAGTCATTCTCGTTTGCTGACTTCATTCCTGCATTAATCTTTTGCTTGATATGAGAACGTCACAGCAGGAAAATTGTCGTTGTACCTTGCATATTCGATCATCTGAGTGTCATTCTCTTTATCCACAATTGCCGGGAAGTCACACGGGATATACTTGTTGCTAGAGGTTTTTTTTTTTTTTTTTTCTCATATATTTACATTTTTATTTTCAGTTAATCGATGAGTTTACTGATGTGAATGACGGAGAAAAAGAATTGATGAAACTTTGGAATCTTCATTTGATGAAAAACAGGTTGGTTTTCGTGTTGAATGTTGGTGACACATAATGACAATGAGAAATCAGTAGAAAATGGAATCAAAAGTGTTTTTAACAAATTGGCATCTGTGTTAGTCAAATCTTATCTGTACTGCATAGTCAACAGTGGAAAATGTTAAACTGATTTCAAGGAATGACTTAATGAAACAACGAGAATATTATCAATATTTTTTCATTTTCGTTGTACTTTTTCAGCTACATTGCCGACTTCCAAGTAATCGACGCTTGCCGTTCATTTATCGATAAGAACAGCCAACAGCTAAGAGAGAGAAACTTGGAAAGGAATTTTCTGCTTCACTTGGTGAATCTGCACGACTTTAATTTGATCACGTCCAGTCAGATTGAGGAAATTAGTGGAAAACTAAGGGACTACTGGAAAGAACCGGCCACAAACACATGTTAAGAACAGTTTGCTTGTCTCTTTAAGACCTCCCTTTAGACTTGGCAATGGAGCCATATTTGCCACAAGGGGACCCTCGCCCTGCAGTAACTTCAGATTTTATACATGTTGACATTTTTTTCTGCGTAATGAGCTACCGAAAATTAAGATAACCCCCAAAATGTAGGTCAAATTTTCCCTTACGATAAGCTTCGCAACGTCGAGGAACTTCCGTTAATCCAGACGAAGACGTTTCAAGTTGATCCTTGCTCAGGGACTAGTCATTATTTATCGCCGGGGGGGGAAGGGGAAGGGGAGATGGGTGGTCGAAGGATTCTGGGTGTGTCACAATGGAGTTTAGCTGATTCCCCCATCCCCCCTTGAGGCTCTGTAATATTCTTATGACCGCCCGCCCTCTCCTGGCTTCATTGGCAGTTCCCCCCTCCGTTCCCCTGAAAATTGTGTGATCCCCAAAATCCTTCAAACCCCCGCCCCTTTCAGGCGATAAATAATGACTGGACCCTTGCCGTTTCCCCCTTTTTTTTCCTCATTTCGTTTTGTTTTCTTTTTTCTTTTTTTAAAATTGCATAACGTCCTTGATTTGAATCCTTAAATTCGCGGGAAATGTTTCGTTAACTGAACTTTCTTTTTTAAGGGTGGATCCGATGGATGATTTTCCTCTTTTTGGTAGCTGTGAGTGACATGTGTTTTTTTTTTTTCGCGGTGGGGAGGGGGGGAAAGGAACGAGGTCCCTTCTGGCGACATATTTCATCGCGTAGGAGAAGAGACTGGGCTAGAAGTACTAGTTTTGTCGTATGTAGATACCTCTTTATGTATGAAATTTTTGAGACAGTGAAACTAGTAGAGATTTGCTCGTTGGAGACATATACTTTCCAATTTAACTTACGATTAAATAGTCATTGGCAATCAACTTGTACAGATACTAACAAATTCACTACTTATTTTTCTATTTATTGAATATCAAATGATATACGTACTTTTGGCTGAGGGAAATTACCGCATAACAGTCAAATCTCGAATGCTAAAAAGAAAATCAGAGAAAAATCGCTGGATTGCCTATTTGGATAGCTTTTTCCTATGAACTTTTACTTTTCGCCTTTTACTTTTCGCGAGTGTAAAGGATGTCGTGAAATGTTAATGAAGTCTGATATTGTAAAGAAATTTTTTTGAGATGTTCTTAATCCTGTGATCACTTGAAATTTCAAGATCCTATTAAAAAAGTGTTGTCGAGAGTAGTAGAGAAACCTTTTACGTTTACACCAAATCAGCGTTAGAAGCATTCCTTCAATACCTGACAAAGAGGTTCTTTTTTTTCGGAATCGATTTTCTGCTTATGCGTTTTCTTTAGTGCGCCATTCTTGGTTTACTCGCGAAATTTAGAGGCGTCTTTTCAATGCTTGAACGAGTCTACTGCATAGAAAAATCTTGTGCGTTCGTCTGCCTCGATTTTAGAAGAACCTTTGCACGAACATGGAAGGAACTGATTCTGTTTTTTAAGTTGACACCCCAACTTGTGTGACTTGGCGACAATTATAATTTTGAATTCCTTCATGTACTTGATACAATTTTGTTTCTCATAAAGAGCTTGTAAATAAAGATCGCTGTCATTCTCTCTTATGCATTGTTTCTGAGTAGTCTTCTCAAAGTGTATGACAACTTTGATTTCCAGTAACTCGAGCCTTATAATAAATGAGTCAGGTTCATAACTGCGGAGCCCACTGAAACATTTTAGATCAGTGTCAGTAGCTGAGCAACTGCACACCTACCCCTTCCTCAACTGAACAACAGTTACCTGACCTACCCCTCCCTCAACCGAACAACAGTTACCTGCTAACAAGTTAGGGTTAATGTTGAGTTAGGGGAGGGGTATGAAGGCATTAGTTCAGATTCTGACATTCATTCAAGAATTTCACGAGTGAAGCAACTTCTTGATTTCCACGAATTTGCTTTAAAAAAAGCGACAACCACCACTATCGATATCAAAAGTATTTAAGTCTCCTAAATGAAAGAAAATTTATTAACACACGAGTGCAGGTTGATGTAAGGTTAATCTCCACAAACATGAAATGCTGAGAGAAACGAAAAATATATCGCGATAACTGGCAGTTTGTATAAGATGATAGCAAGTGATTCCAAACATTTTCTGCGAGGCGGATATTTTTGTTTGAAAATTTTTAACTAGATCTCATTTTAATTAAGTCTTCTTCCAATTACAGCGATTTGTATGCACCTCCCTACTGAACTATGCCAAATTGATCGGTAATTGCCGAAGAGCTTTTCGCTGTCTTTTCGGGTCCGCTTACATTGTCGGAAAAAAAACTAATTAGAATTTCAATTAGTTTTTGGTGTTGAATATTCACATCTACGAGCAGTCCTGCACGTGGAAGAGTTTACGAACTACAAGAAATTTCAGCATTTTATCAGCCATTTAGGAGCCAGGAAACATGTCACATCCACGTCCCTGCTACTTTGGTTAACCTGTGTTCTGTCAAGGCAGCTGGCGTGTGTTTCTGTGAGGTTATTGACGGCGAGTGGTTTGAGTTCGACGTCAAGGGTTGATCGATGTCATTTCATCATGAACTTTACAAGGTAAATTGCTACCGTAAACAACTTTTTTATAGAAACACAGTGTTTTGATTCGTTACCCTTGAAAATCAAATTAAAGGGTCAAACGTTTTAAGGAAAGCATGTTACTAACTATCACTTCATTGTAAGACACATCCTTTTCGACAGCCGCCATGTACCTCGTTGAACCACGCGACAATCACAGCAGCAGCGGGAAATACGTAGTTTACTATCTGTCCATTTATCGCTTATTTACTTATTTACACTTTAAATTTGTAGACTTACTTGATAACATATACTGTTATTCATGCTAGCCGTATAATGTTGTACCATTGATAAAGCTTGTTTTGAATGGTCCTCTTACAATCCCAACCACCTACCCTGGTAAAAAAAAAAGGTTGTAGTATCGTTACTTAAAACTTTTTAATTAGATTCCTTTTAATGATACCCATGGTTTTGCTCCAATCTTTCACACTGAGGCTGCAGCAGGGATAACTTCTTGTTATATCGGGTTTTGAGTGATATTGGTCAACCCTTTACGCCCTGATCAATATGCATATTCTCCATACTGATCTCCATACATTTCTTAAGGCGCTGACAAGGAGAATTTGTTAAACAATCAAGAGCTCCTTAAGTTGGTGATCATTTCCTTCATTCTCGTGACCTTGGTGTGTGATTTAGGGGAGACTTTGTAAAGAGAATTTAGATGCTTGGTCACTTCTAAGGGAGTCAGGGTTAACACATGTTGGATTTCGCTTGACAAGAGATCTGGGTCCAATTCCAGGCCGTCATGTTGTGTTCGTAGGAATGGCATTTAACTCCCACGGTCCACTTTACATAGGAGTGTAAGTCGGTAGACGAGATACTTTGTGGTAACCTGCTATGAAGTAACATCCTACTCAAGAAGTAGTGACATCCTTAGTCACACCGGAATTAACTCCAGCACCCAAGGACTGAAGCTGATAAGGGAAGATTCCAATAATTTTTTTAAATTAAAAAGCAAAAATGTAGATCACATTTTTTTTAAAGTAATTTTTCGAAAATCTAGACAACTGGCCTAAGTGGTACTTGGCAAAATATTTTCGCGATTGCAACATCTTGGAACACAAATAAGTTTTGGGTTTTTAAAAAATGTGATTTGTGGATTCAATAATTTAATCAAGAATTTTAATCATTTCTTAGATTAAAAAGAAAATTCTAAAGGATTTTTTTAAAACATTACGATTTAATACATTTTTTTTTGGATTAATTTCATATGTCTTGGCCTCCATACCCTACTTGAATCAATCTACATCTCCCCTTGATCCATCGAAACCTTTTCTAGTTTTCTTTAACATGTTGAGTGTTACAGTAACTCACTGTATAGATCAGCTGGCTTTTATGTTAAACATTTGTCAGAAAAGTCTCCTTCTGCCTTCAAACGTCAGACAATATCGTTGTCAAAAATGTGGACTACAATAACTTTTTCTTCCTATTGGGGGAGCATCAAACGCGCAAAAAAGTCTTGACATCAAGAAAAGACAGAGTTGTTTTAAGGTTGGCGATTCAGCTTTGTTGTAAATCAACTCATTTAAGCTAGAGTATTTAATAGAAAAATTCAGGCCTTTTATGGCTAAAATCGATCTCGGTAGGCTTCCAAAAATCGCGGTCTTTGTTCTAATATTTTTTAGCAACCTTTTTCATCCGTTTACATCCCAAGAGCATTCAGTTTTTCTTTGTTGAAAAATGGAGCTAAAAGAATTTTTATTTCTTTTTTTTTTTTTAATATTCACAACTTTTCCACGTACTAGTATACATATATTATGTGGTTATTCAGTGTTACCAGAAGCTTGCAAAAATAATGTTATTCTTTAACTTTTTCAGTATTTCAATCGATAAAATGAACAAGAACGCAATATCTATCGCCTAGAAGATAAATATGGACTTTAAAAAACTAAAAACGGTTGAAAACTATAATTTTAAGAAAACTTTATTTATGTAAAATTAAATTTTGCTTCATGATGGAGTGATCGCTCGTTGAGGCCTGAATTAGTAGTTTATAACCTGTGAGCTCTGCATGCATCAAATACCTCAGTCCCTGAATACAAGAAGAAAAAGCTAAAATTTAACTAAGTTTTTTTCGACGATAAAAGCATTAAAATTTCACGAATATTTATCTGCGATCGTGCTGAGTTTATCGGTATATCCCGGTTAGTACGTATACGGTTACACTAATTGGGAGAAGTTAGAAGAATATTGAATATAATACTAATTATATGCGTGTAAAATAATCAGATTAGAGTGACGTCCGTATTCTTGGAGCAACCCACACGTAATCATTATGGATCGATGTAAGCAAGGCGTATAGTCAATTTTATTTCTTTATTCATCGTTTTTTTTTGTCTGTTTCTTACAGACTGCAGGTCTTTGATGCTTCACGCACGACTTAAAAAAGAAAAACAGTGATCAAAGGGAAAGACAATATTTATTGAGAGGTACTAAAGATGCAGTCCGCTTTTCTCAAGAATACACAAGAGTCAGAGCTAAGATTAATTTGCGAAAAACAAAGATGGGAAACCGAACATAAGCGAATCTTATTTCCCGACCTGTTATTTCAACTTAAAAGAAAACATTTTCTTTTCTTTTTTCATTTTAAGGGGCTGTTCAAAAGTTTTAAATTTCCTGCCAATATACGTGAATTCTTTAAGTAACATCTGTTCAACTGTGGCGAATTTTCCCGCCAAAAGATTTGGAAAAAATTTGGTGCTCAACACGTATGCGCCGATTTTCTTTCTTTTTTTTTTTTTTTAATGTTGTAGATGAATTTACTAATAAACTTAACATTTAACAACTTACTGTATTATTGTCAATGAATCAGTGGTCCGTGTAATATTTAATTGTCGTTCAATATATACTCAGTAAACCACACTTGTTTCATGACGCAAATTCATTTATTTGGTTCAAAATCTTGACGGTTTTAAGTATTTAACTGAATAAATTAAAAAGGTGTTTTGAAAAATGTGTCGTATGTATATATATATATATATATCTGAAAGTTGACAAATCAATAAGACATAACTTTTCTGTGACTCTGAGTTTCACGTCTAAGCGATCATCAAACAGATTTTAATCTGTTTAAAATGTGAAATTAATTTTAAGATATTACCGCAAGAATAGACTATAATCAAGATTTATCTATATATATATATATATACGAAAATTTCTTTCAAAAAGACTGGAACAATTTGCACAGCGTTTCCCCTGGCAACTATGTCGGCAAAAATTTAAACAGGTCAACTTTTAAAGTTTTCCTCCAAAACTTATTTAAACAGTGTCTTGGGCGAGAAAGTTAAAAAAAGGAATAATAATTAACGAAAAAACTAAGACCCATTTTCCCCGAGTGTGCCTATCTTTTTACTAAATAATTTAAACAGAACTTTTTTCGCACGAGACGCTGTCTAACAACAGTCTTGAACGAAAAAGCCGTGACCCTGGCAATGATATAGATGATCCAGTAATTTCTCATTAAAATTGAATTTTTTTATTTTTTTGCCATGATAATGCTTTAAGACCGACCCAAACAGTTTTTCTTTTTATAATCCTATGATTTGCCATGATGTCTTTTTTTCAGGATGAAAGATCTTTAAGTGTCATTGTCTGAGAAAGTGTTCCAGGGGCCAAAACTTGTGGTCAACCGATTTGGCTGAAACTTGGCACAGAAGTTGGTTGCCATGAGATATTTCAAAAGCCAATCTGGCTCACTTCTCTGACTTTAAGTTTTAGAGTTTCAGGGGGGGTCTCATTTTTTGCCCCTTGAGTACAAAAAATCCAGCCTTTCAGGGGTCATTTTGAAAGTGCCTTAAAACCCAACTGGTAAATTGTGCTGCCAAATGAATTTGACTATGAATATTTCTATAATAGAGCTTTCATTTCATGCATGTAACTTTGCCTTCAAGGTATTGGACAGAGAGGAGCCTGGGGCTAGAGTTTGGCCAAAATTAATGTCAAAATTACAACCCAAAATTGCCATTTTTCAAAAAATCAGTGTATCTACCTGCCTTCTTGCATAACATCCGTACCTATACCATTATTTACTTTATTGACCCAATTATCAAAATCACTTGAGAAAAATTTGGCTTATCACGGTTTGTTGAATTTTTGTCACAAACACTCCATGCCCCTCTAAGGCCCTGCAAAATGGAACTTTGAGCATAGTTAATGCCATAAACAAACCAAACTGTTGATATGAAGCCCTGATTCTGTATTTGGTAAGTGAAAATGAATTGTTAAAGCCAAACCAGTTTGATTGTTCAGAATTACCCCGACTCTTACCGTACAATTGCTCTTAAAAGGCCTTTCATTGGGCAAAAAAAGGTGACTTTTTTCTTTGAAAACCTAGTACAGCCAACTTTGTCACAGCGAACTGGCTTTTCGTAAGCGATCACCCGGCATGATCACGTACGACTGTAAGAAAACCATTGCTCAAATATCACAAAAGTTCAGTTTCAAAAAGCGCTGACCAAGTGTGCTCGCAGATTATAACAGTTGACTAGCAAAAAAGGCTGTAATACGATCCATAGGTAAAATTGGATTGAATCATTGATGAAA